GGGGGGGGGGGGGGGGGGCAAAAAAATAAATAACCTGCCTATAAACTTAAGACAACACAATACAAAATATTCATATTTCTATTCATAGTACTCAGTTAATTAAATGCTTACCTGTTCAATTGCTTCTTGGACTTCAGGTGGGAAAGAAAGGACTGAATGCAAGTGCTCGTCATCCAAGATATCCTCCTCCTCCAGGGCAGCCATACTTCAAGGATTGATTCGGAGCGCAATAATTTTTAAAAAATGTCATTAAAACTCTAGCAAAGCTAAGTAACCAATCTGTTGCAAGAATACACAGTTAGCTGTTTTTCTTATTGACAATAAGAAATAATGTCGTAATAAAAATGTAATTCAAAAAGATATTCTTAACAACCTCTGAGAACTACTTTATTTTTATGGGCGAAAGCACTTCCTGTATATATACAATGCGCTTAGGTCGCACGTGTACGTTGTTGATGTTTGAGATGGATATTTAATTTCAAACCTTAAAGAGAAGAAACCAATCTGGTTTTAGCAAAGATAACCTAGCAGGAATTACAACTATGGGTCGGCTTAGGAAAAAGCACAACTGGAAAGCTAGACAGCAAAGTGAAGTCGTTGTCGACCATACGGAAGAACAGAAGGTAGAGCAAATTGGGGAACATTCAAGTTTGGATTTTTTGGTCAAATTTCATTGTAACTGTTGAACAGAATTTACTTTTGATATTACCGTTTAGTAAATGCCAGGTTCATTTTGACCACTATCTTTCCACATACGATATCAAAACAACAGAAAGGGTAAAACGATAGAAAGGTTGAGGTTTGTACTGTTCTTCAATCAACAACCATAAATTAAATATATATAAGTACTCCAGTTTACTCCGGTCACGATCAGGCAATCCATTCAAGTAAGTCCACTAATGGCAGTCTCCAGTGGGTGTATGATTTCACTGAAGCATAATGTGTGCTTGATCAATTCTTGAATATCATATATTTAAGGTGCAGCTTCAAGTAGATCTTGAAGATGTGAGGTCTGAAGGATATGATGAGAGCAACCCATTGACTCTGCCATCAAAGAAACGTACAACAAAGAAAGTGCAACAGAAAGATACCACAATTAGGAAGCTGAGCAAAAAGCAGAGAAAGCACCTGGAGAAAATTGTACAGTTAAAAGAAAAGAAAGCCAAGGTGATTTCTTCAGTTTTGATGTTTCTTGTGTGATTTGACATTTAACTTAAAAAGTATCGAGTATTTTCTTACTGAAGGCTCATTGTAGTGAAATGATGATGCTTCTGTCTTTATATGTTTTTGAAGTCATTAGATCTTAAATAATGTGTAATTGACAATCAGAAGCTTTATTCAATATTGAAAGCTGTGTACTACATTGGTGTTGCTTAACATTTTCAGAGGGCAGATCTGCTTGCATCTTTGTCTGAAGTTCAAGCTTCTCAAGAAGAAATGTCTTTACTTACTTCACTAGCAGAAGCTCAAACTAAAAGACCAAAAAGGTAATATAATGTAATGCAGAATATTGGACAGTTTTATGATTGATGGATGAAAGGCATGTCAACTTCTCAAGTCTAGTGCATTTTAAATAATGGCAGCCTCTTACATTAGTAGGACTCAAAGACTGCAAATTAAGAAAAATATTTGAATTGATGTGATATTATTTCTCTATTTAAGGTTACTAGATATTGAGCAGGATTCATCTGGTGTGGTCAAACTTAAAGTGAATGCTATTGGTGGGAGTAATAAGAAAAAACAGAAATTGTCAGTTGATAAACAAAATGTGACACAAAATGAAACTGAAAGCAGTGATACAGACACTTCAGAAGTTTCCTCTGATGAAGAAGATATACAGAAAACTATAAATTCTGTATGCATTGTAACTGAGGAAACAGAAAAATCTGATCCAAGTGACCAACAGATTCAAAGTGCTAACACTGAAGCAGTGACTTGTGTTAAGGAATCTGCAAATAGCATTAAAGAAATTGAAAAGAAGGAAGTGAAAAAAGATACTGCTAAAGTAAAAGAAAATGAACATGTTGACAGTAAACCTGCTGTTAACATCCCATTGGATAGGAAACCAACAGTGCAGGTGAATACGCAAAGTGATTTTTAGTAAATGCTTGAAATTTTGTAACAGTCATATCTTGAATGAGCCTTGAAATGAATATGCTTGTGAGAGGAAACTATGTTTGATGCTTGCTATTTTAATTAAAAATTTCTTGACATTCACAAATAACATCACAAATAATACTAAGTTGCAATTAAAAGGTGAAAATTTGCAAAGTATCCTTTACTAAGTTGCAAGTTTAACACCATTGTCATATTTGATGTGGATCTTTAACTAAATGATTTCAGGCTGCCAGACTAAAACTTCCCATATTGTCAGAAGAACAGTCTATAATGGAGGCAATCCATGACAGTCCTGTAGTGATACTGTGTGGTGAGACAGGGTCTGGGAAAACCACACAGGTTCCTCAATTTCTCTATGAAGCTGGTTTTGCACAGTGAGTTTGATGCAGTTCTGTTTTCCAAAAAAGATCATTTTTTTTTTTTTGTTATTCAGTACAGCACTTTTCTACACATGCACACATATTTATTGCTTTTCAGAAAGTTCGTTGCAAAAAATAATATGATTTTAAAAACTTTAGAACGTTTATAAATATTGTTCTATGTTACAGCTTTATTGAGTAAATAATAGCTTTATTTCCCATTTAAGAAATAACTCTGACTTTCCTTGATTAATTTAGTGGTACTGGTATTATTGGAGTAACCGAGCCAAGGCGTGTGGCAGCCATTAGTATGTCCTACAGAGTTGCTGAAGAAATGAATTTGTCATCAAGGTTTGTGACATAACAAAAATAAGTTGAATCAAGATCTGAAAAGGGTGTTTGGTAAATTTCTTATGCCTGAACCCATGCACAGACACCTCTGGTTGCTTGATTATTTTTAAGAGCATTCCATGTGAGGAATTTACATTGTGATAATTTATAAATATAAGATTGCTTTATGTCTTTTAAATTCTGTTTTTAGGATGGTTTCATATCAGATCAGATATGAAGGCAATGTTACAGACGATACAAAAATCAAATTTATGACAGATGGGGTGCTTCTGAAAGAAGTTCAGAAGGTTAGTTTTAAGGAAAAAATAAAACAAAATGAATATATTAAATAGAAATTAGCTTGAGATTCCATTAGAATTACTTCTTTAAATACTTGATATTAAGGAAAAACTGTGGTTATGAATGCTTTGAGATGTGTAAATCTTAGGAGACAATTTTTCTCTGTTATTAGGATTTTTTGCTGACCAAGTATTCTGTGATTATAATAGATGAAGCTCATGAGAGAAGTGTGTACACTGACATACTGATTGGACTTCTCTCCAGGATAGTGCCACTAAGACATAAGGTACTCTAACAATGTTTGATGTTATCTTTGTGTAAAGTCTGTTTGTTGGAAATTGTAACAGGTGCAGTATCATATAGTGACATATAGGCTGGCTGACTTGATGGATATTATTGTTTATTCAGATTCACTGACGGTTTTCATATATTTGTTAGTCCAAACTTGTACATTCAAATCTGATACCCCACAATAATTCAATTTTCAGAAAGGGAATCCATTGAAGTTGGTCATAATGTCTGCTACATTAAGAGTGGAGGACTTCACTGAAAACCAAAGACTTTTCAGAGAAACTCCACCAGTAATCAAGGTAAATATTGAAAGTTTTCTATATATATTATTATCTTGGTTAAAGTAAAATAGAAAACCTTATTCTGTGTACTGTTTTGTTGCTTTTTCATCTTAATTTTATAATTTTTTGTGTTTTATAACATCACATATGTATGTGTACTTGTTATACTGACATTGCAGGTCGATTCCAGACAATTTCCAGTTAGTATTCATTTTAATAAGAGAACTCCTGATGATTACCTGGGAGAAACATTTAGAAAGGTATGGTTTTAAATCTTTAAGTTTACATGATTACATTTGCTTAGTTATGAGTGTAACTGGTAAGGTTCACCTATATGTCTTGATTTGCAAAGAATAGAATTACATACATTGAAATGCATTTTAAGACTAAATAAAAAATGAGAATGTAAGAAAAATAAGATTTACCTCTGTAAAGTCAGAGGTTAATACCTGATTTAAGTGTTTACTTTATGAAAATCAGATCTGCAAGATTCACCGCATGCTCCCAGAAGGAGGGATTCTGGTGTTTGTAACAGGGCAACAAGAAGTGCACACGCTGTGCAAGAAACTCAGAAAAATGTTCCCCGCAACTCAAAATACAGGTATATGATTTTTTAAAATTGTGGTATTTGATAGAGCTATAATCCTCGAGAGGATATGAACAATGAATAATAAGACAAATTTTGTATTTGTTGATGAAAAAGTAAATCAATTGAATTATGAGTAGAATTTTAATTGATGTGTATGTATTTTGATTAAGGTGACTCCTTAGAGAAAAAGGAAGAGGGAATTGCCCCAAATTCTATGAAAAAAGGAAGGAGGGGACGGAAGAAACAAAACAGTGAAAGTAAAGCTCCACTGCCTAAAATTGATTTGGACAAGTAAGGTTATTTACAATTGTGATTTTAAATACTGGGACAACTATGGTCAAGCGTCATGTTCCTGTGCTTGTTTATGTTGATCTGAATTTGTAAACATTGTCTGTGTCCTTTCTCATGTAATAAACATAGTATTTATGTGGTCAGTTAAACATAAGATTATTATCATTCTAGCTACTCAATTCTTCCATTGGATGAGGAGGCAGATCTGCATGTAACTCATGGGTCAGACTCTGAAGAAACCTCAGAGGATGAAGAAGACATGGTATTATATGACCTTGATACCTTTCATTGGTTATTTTTGAAAACGGCTATTTAGGAAAGTGTTTCTTTAAGATTAATTCAGAAATATTTCTCTATTATAATGTTGATTTTACTAGATCTGACAATTATAATAAATAGTTTTGCATGTTTTCATTTGTTATAAACTTGGAATTATATTGTATGGTTTTACTCCACAATTTGAATTAATTTTCAGGAAGAGATTGAAGCAGATGTGACTGGTGGGCAGCCAATGTATGTTCTTCCACTATATTCACTGCTGGCAGCAGACAAACAGAGAAAGGTACAATCTACAAGTAATTTTCTTCACATGAAATTGACATGGAATTAATTAGTTTTAATGGTATCATTGTTTTTATTGAGCACTAATTCACTTTTATCTACATTATTTTATCTTCAAATGAATTTCAAATCTCTGTGGAGTAAGTTTACTAATTCTGCAATACTTGATGTAATGCCATAATGCCATTTGATATCATGAACTCTAGGTATTTAATCCCCCACCTGAAGGCTGTAGGCTGTGTATTGTCTCCACAAATGTGGCAGAAACTTCTCTAACAATACCAAACATCAGATATGTGGTGGATACTGGAAAGGTAGGAATCATAATATGACATATATATATATATATATATTTATATATATATATATATATATATATATATATATTTGCGATTAATACAGTAAAGATTGGATTTCTTAATAATAATTGTTTAATAGGGAACATGATGAACAATTTATCTTAAACTCATCGACTACAGTTATTAAACTTTCATGTGATGTCTGTAAATACTAAATTATGTAAAGCCTTTTCTTTTTCTAATAATATTATTCTCCTGTCTTTACACACCTTTAGGTGAAGACAAAGTTTTATGACAAAGTAACAGGTGTGTCCACATTTAAAGTCACCTGGACATCTAAAGCATCAGCCAATCAGAGGGCAGGAAGAGCAGGGCGCACTGGGCCAGGACACTGCTACAGGTATTGACAGCTGGAAGCTGGTCAAAACATCAAAGATGAAATTTTTTGTCAAAATGCTATTCACAGAAAGTCTGCTTAATTGTTTTTTTTTGTTTTGTTTTTTTTAACCTGACTTTGATTCATAATATTGTTCAAAGTGGATTTTACGAAAAGATGTTTCAAATTGTTTGAAATCTTGCAATATGTGTGAAAATGCTGGTTAATGTCTGTTGCTGCATGTGCAAAGGAAATTATCTCATTTCAGATTGTATTCATCAGCAGTATTTAATGATGAATTTGAAAAATTCTCCCCTCCTGAGATAACTAGAAGACCTGTGGATGACTTGATTTTACAGATGAAGGTAATTTACAAGGATATTTAAAGTTTTTCTGCTGTGAATTGCTACAGGTTACCTACAGATTGATATAATTTTCATGATACTAGGCACAACACATTGTAGTTACTGGTCTATATTAGTGTATATCAAACACTTAAAGTTTTTTTGTCCATTATATGTGCAATAATTAGAACATTTCATGTCCTTGTGCGTTTTGTTAATGATTTGTTGAAATAATAATTGGTATATTAATTATAGGATATGAATATTGATAAAGTGATCAACTTTCCCTATCCAACTCCCCCTGATGAGGAGGCCTTAAAGGTGAGTATGGAGACCACTCTGACTGCAAATTAAAAATGAGAAAAAAGTTCGCTCTTTGTTAAACATTTTCTGTTCATTATCCCTGTTTGATATTTATAATGGCATTGTATTGGGTTACAATAAAATATGACTGTCACACACACAAGCACATGCACTGACATGCATGCACACTCAAACACATTGATGATGATGATTGACTTCAATATTTCCTCTTTTTAGGCTGCAGAAAAGTTGCTGATTTCTTTAGGTGCTCTGGAGGAAGTAAAAAAGACTTCAGGAAAGAAGGAAAAGCAACCAGGTAGGGGTATATGTTTTATTAACATGCTGTTTATTCAGCATATTAGTATGATTCTTTTATATTAAGATTTGTCTGAACAATTACCATTGTATCCACTCGATTCTGTAAGTTTAAGCCATTTTACAAACAGATTATTATGCATATGCTGATAAAAAATATATCTAGTTTTGGTTTTCAGAATTTTTTTTTTTTTTTTTTTTTTTTTGATGTTTCATTAATTTTAAAAAGGTGAAGTTAAGAAATGTTAAAAAAGTGGTTTTTGTTTTCATTTCCCATGTACAACTCCAGGAGACTCCAGCTCCAGAATCTCTCCCCTGGGGCGAGCAATGGCTTGCTTTCCAGTGTCTCCTAGATATGGCAAGATGTTGTCACTGGGACACCAGCATGATTTACTGCCATATGTCATAGCCATAGTGTCTGCTCTGTCTGTACAAGAGCTGTTCATTGAGTATGAGAAACCACACAATTCAGAAGAAGAGGTGAGGAGGATATTAATTTAGTTTCACCTTTGAAAACTTAAAGCAATACTAACATACTTTGCCTTGAAGTAGATAAATAAGTTGTAGTCTGTATCAGTTGCAGAAAGTTTCGATATAGGATAGTTTGCCTGTGTTAATATGTATTATGTTTTTTTTTTATTTAGAAAGAAGAATTTAAGCAGAAAAGAATTAGAATTATGCAGCAAAGAAAGACATGGGCAGGAAGTGTAAGTATGAGTTGCTCTTTAATTGACCCATTTTATATTACATGTAAATAGCATCTTAAACTTCATTTATTTGGTGGCTGCTTCTTTGAGTCAACAAATTCATTGGCATTTGGCATCATACTGTTGACTGAAAATCAAATAATTTGATAAAATGACAAAAGCAAATTTCTGTTTTCAGACAACTGTAATAAAGACCAAGGGGTATATTTGTAAATTTGTGCTATGAAGTTTTTTTTTTTTTTTTTTTCCATAAATACTTTGTATTGTACTATTTACTAACCAGGGCCACTCATTACTCCTGGGGGACCTGATGGCTCTGCTGAAGGCTGTGGGTGCCTGTGAGTATATAGGCTGCTCCCCACAGTTCTGTGACAAACATGGGCTCAGGTATAAGGCAATGGTGGAGGTCAGGAAGCTTAGGGCACAGCTCACAAATACAGGTCTGTCAAAATTTGTTAATGTGAAATTGTTTTATTTATCCAGAGCTCACAAAAGACATATTAACTATTTATAAATCTACCTAAATGATAAATTATATATTACATTTTTGGTCAGAAACTAGTTGTTTGCTATAGCTGTACTTAAATATTTTTCTGCTAAATTATATATGTCTTCTTTAGCTGTTTGGTTTATGGCCATACAGTCAATCGTATCATTGCCTGTTTATGCCTTTCTTACAATTGCCTACAGATTTACTGTCTTTTTCTAATACTTTCTCTTTTTCTCATTTTATCAAATTTTGGGTTTCAGTGAACAGTGTGATACCAGATGCCAATGTATTTGTGGACCCAAAGATGCAGCCACCTACTGACCTTCAAGCCAAGCTTCTCAGGCAAATAGTTTTAGCTGGGCTAGCAGATAGAGTAGCCAGGTAAGCCCCCTCTCCCTTTCTGGTAGCATTGGTTGCTCTATTGACTCAGTATTTCATGTTGTCAGTTGAAAGGAAGAGTAACATGTGATACAGGTAATACTTAAGACCGTCTAAATGAGGTGCAATATTCTATTGTCATTTGGCAAGAGTACCAAACTATCTAGTAATACAACTGGTTGCATCTGGGTAACAGAAAATTAATCAATACTAAACATTGTTAATAACTTAGTGCATATCATAATTTCAGAAGGGTCCCAGATCCCCCACCAGGGGCCGATGAGTCACAAAAGAAACTAAAGAATTCTTATCAGGTTGGAATTTTTTTCTTCATGTCATAACCTATTTGTAAGTCAAATGGATAACTAGCATATCATGCATGGTCATCTTTTTTCAATACTAGGTAAGAAGTTGACCCAATTTCTATGTGTCAGTCATAAACATCTCCATTTATATTAACCAATGTTGTTTTATGTTTTACTTTTTCAGTGTATGGCATTGGAAGATCATGTGTTTATTCATCCACACTCAGTTCTTTACAAAGAGAAACCAGACTATGTCCTATATCAGGAGATAGTAGAGACATCTAAACTATACATGAAAGGTAAGTATCATTAGATGAATAACTGAAGAATATACTCCTTTGGAATTGCCATTTTATGCCTTTGAAAAAATAACATTTCCTTATGGCAATTACAGAAAAGATAGTTAAAAGAATATGTATGAAGCAGAAGTGAAAACATGGAGGTAAAGTGCTTTCTGTGAAAATACCGAAAAATTGCAAATTATTGTTTTATTACTGATTTACTATACTTCGGTCAACTCCAGGTATAACTGTGATAGAGCCAGAATGGTTGTCAACTTACGCTCCTCAGCATTGCACCTTCTCTAAACCTCTGGAGGATCCCCCACCCAGATATAATGCCAAGACAGGGACAGTAGTGTGTCATATGACTGCCTTGTATGGTGAGTATACTGTACTTACCTTAAAGTAGAACTTAGCAATTTTAAGTCAATATGTTGGGAAAATGGTCACCATATTTTGTTGATCGACTGCAGATCAGTATTATTTATCATTAAATATTTGCTACATTTTTTTGCATTGCTTATTTTAATCAGTCATTTTTTTTTTTTTTTTTTTTTTGGCTAATATGTATTGTTTAGAAACATGATAAACCATGAAGTTTTACTTTAACTGATGACTTAATATATGAAATACAAAGATAAAACACTAGGTTGATAACAACTGTCACAGTGAAATCCACATTGTTCATTCTAGGGCGCTGCTCATGGCAACTTCCAGCTGTAGAGTTAGAATACCCTGCAGGCTTGGACAAGTTCAAATGGTTTGCCAAGGCTGTGTTGGAGGGTCAAGTGGTTCCTAAACTGCAGCAGTTTACACCAATTTTACTGTCTTCTCCTGTAACCATGGTGAAAAGCTGGGCTAAGTAGGTGAATGTTTTAAAACTTCCTGAAAGATATTACATGGATATACAGTTTTAACCCAATATAAGTATTTTGGACATAGAATTTCCTGGTATTCATATATTCTTATGTAGTAGCTGTAAGGGTTTATGATACACGTCAGTTCATTCTCCAAAAAGGTAAAATTGTACAGTAAAATTGAAACCATGCTGCTTTTGATGAAAACTGCTTATGATATTTTGTAACTCTAGATTGCAACCAAGGACAGAAACGCTATTAAAAGCTCTCATAGCAGAAAACGTGGACTGCAAGGAAGCGCTTTTGAAAACCTGGAAGAAAAAACCCAAATGTGAGTTTGCAGTTCTGCTCTTTGGTTAACTGATTACAGCTAGCATTATGGATAAAAAGAACTGTTCATTTGAAGTCATAGTTAATTTCAAGAGTATAACACAGAATGAATTTTACTGCTAATGATTGTCAAGAGAAAAAAATGCCTGAATATAAATTCTTCAATTTTCAGTTCTGTTGTACGCCTATGCAGAGTGGATACCCAAGGTTCGGCATCCGGATCTCAAGGAACTATGGCCGCCGCTTGATGAAGCATGAGGCATTATACCAAATTTTCCGTGCTCTAAACTCGAAATGTTTACTAATTATAAGTGATCGAAAATCGTGTGATGTGGTCATGCTGAATGATTCATGCAAGACAATGTGACCTGATGATTTTTTTTACCAAACATTAGGTATCCTGTGAGTCAGAATACCCTTCTTTTACTGCTAATAACTTTTTTATTTCACTTTGTCGGGCCTGTACATAGCTCGTAACATTTGATGAGTCAACAGATTTAACATTGTAAACTGAAAAACTAGTCGAAGTGTACGTAAGAATTATGGTTTTATTCAAGCATTTTCTAATATTCTTTGTATCTCAGTAAAGATCGTCTAACTGTATTTGTGATTCTCAAGGGGGAAGCGTATGAATTCAGCTAAAATGTGTTATTCATCAAACGTCTGAACTATCTACGCGATCTGCTGAGATGCTATTAAAACAAGAGCCATGCCATAGTGTTTGTTTTTCGTTTTCACAGTAGATCTAGGCTATAGTCTATTCCCATGCGTCTTTTTTTTTTGTCTGTATCAAACTGAAGCGTCAGACCGACCACTTCGAGCAATCATTGATTTCCCTGGCAAAACTGTCTAAGCCCCTTTGCAGAGATGACAAATTGTGGTCGGATCAATATTTTTGGAATATGCTCGTACTAATGGGTCCCCTGGCAATTCTGTGTGTGAAGAGTTTACCGCGGTTGTCTACTAAAAGACGGAATTTCTTTAACGATATAAACATGAAAATGATTATGCGGTATCTTGTCGGTATTATCAAAACTAATGATATTCCACTCTTTTAGACCCCTTTTAGTGGTCATTTATTACAATAAGTTCCATAACATCAGTTACAATAAAAGCTGTATAAAATTGTATGTAGAGTAATGTCTCACAAATAAATCTATGCAATATCTTTAAAACACGAATTTACACTTTACAAAACCCTCCAGTTTGCTTCAGTAAAAAATTACTACTGTATCTTTGGCGTATAGTTGATTGAGAGAGAAAACGTTTAATTCCAGAATGATCAGCACACGGCCAATTTAGTGCCAAATATAAAAGATAACAAAAGAGGCAAGGTGTGTGAACCATAGAAGCTGTTTGCTCCATTTTCTCCGACGTTTCCAGAAACCACTATGTTCTCGGTTCCTTTGTTTTCAGCTGGTGCCACAGACAATCCCGACACCCTGTAGACCGCATCCCTGTCTACACTGAACTCATTTTTAAGAACTCTGACTTTCAGTGTGTCAGCACTGGGCCAGCTAAAATGCAGCAATCTTTGGCGTTGTCGTCGACGAGGAAAGCTAGCAGCAGTAAGACAATTTCCCGTTTCACCGTTACAGTGCACGGAATCCATGTAAACGAGCTCCGGTTCTCGTGGGTTAGGCATATAGTTTCCGCAAGACCATGTTTCAGCTGCGTCTGAACTCCAGCACACGCCGCCTGGCACGTGAGAAAAACTGACGCTGTCGCCTCTCTCAGGGCCTAGAGACGAGGGACGGGATGCCACGGCGACGCAGAAAGTCTCGTTTATACATGATACGCTGGACCAAGTTGGGTTCTTAAACCAACAGGCTGGGCCAATGATACAAGGTGCCACGTCCGAATTCCTGGCCGAAGTGAAGCTAGAATTTTTGCTCCATGTCTCACCTCCATCCTTAGAGAAAAATAGACCGTTTTCGCCAATTACAACACAAAGGCATCCCGAGCAAGAAATCTCTTTCAGTTTCATTCTTGGATTTGCGTTCTTCAAAGGTTGTTTTATTGGCGTAACGATAGGTTTTGGACTGTGTAATTCGTTCACGATTGAAACATGCCCATCACTGCCTATCACCAAAATTCTATTGTTACACGTGACGGCTACGTCGACCAGATTGCTGGAAGGAGTTATGCTTGATGGATCCACCATCTTAACCGTCTCCCAACCATTCGTAGTGATAAGTAAAGTAGTGGGGCCCTCTACGAGGCCACACGTACCTTTTCCGCCACAGTCAATTCTTCGCTCCAGGAGGTTGTTCTTTAAAAAAGAACTCGCCGACGACAACACGTCGGATGTTTCAAATTTGTTGTTAGAAAAATGAACGCTTGCATTAACACATTCGGGTTTTGCAGTTTTTTGTTCTTTAGACACGGCATAACAGACATCTTCAGCCGGACAAACGACGTCTGCGAAAGCCAAGCATTCGTCTTGTTCTTGTTTTGCAGTGATCTCTCCGGAGTCATTGTAAGTCATCATATTTGCCCTGCCATCATATACAATGAAAAAACCTTGCACTGCATACACGGTCAAGAAGGATGTTAAAAAGGCATACAGCGGCTTCATCGTCGTCGGCTTATGCCTATGGCGGCAGTGAGAGTGAACTTCGAATTATCTTGTTGTTGTACAGCAGTTTGCCTGGAAATCGATCGTATGCTGCCTCACAAAATTGCCAGAACCAATTGAATTACCCATATGATTTACCAGAGCATTTCTAGCATCAGCTTAATTCTACAGCGGTTGCAACGATATTGGAAATTCGGAACCTCATTTCGTTAATCAACTGCGAATTAATGGGAAGATATCAATTTACATTGGAAAAACAAATTATTTGCCCAGGAGTTTCGTCATTGAAAATGTCTTTGGTTTTTGTTTCGTTTATTTCAACATTTGGTACGTTTCCCGGTGTAGAATGCTTAATGACGCATTCAATCAATTCATTCAATACATTTTATTTCTCCATGGTTTTGCCAACATGTTGGAGGGGATGACTTTTTCCAGCTAGCAGTAGAGGCCCAATTGATATCTAATTATATAATTGACATTCGTGTACTTTGGCAGAACGGGGTCGGCATCGACTTCGTAGCACGTGTTGTAGCGCTACACATACGAAGTACATCCATTGCTCAGTAAACCGAATTTGCAGGTTAATATGTCTAGCAAATTATTAAGAAAGATCAATGATACAAGATCGGGTTTAATCAAATAGACTCCAATTTAATATCCGATATTTTTTTCTTCAGTAAATAAATCAACAATAAATCATTGTCGGTACGAATAATGCGATATCGTAATGATTCATATTGTTATCCATCCGTTTCAATCCACTTCGTATTCTTGACAAATGAGTAATGATAATACAGGGTTTACATCTTTATTCTTTAAAAACTGTAAACAAATACGAACAAAAACGTTGTCACTGGAAAGCATTTACTTTCGAACAAACAGAAAATGTTTAACTGTAACTCTACTTCATGTACGTCTTTTTCAACTCATACATTAATAAAACGTCCCAAATAATTCGTGACCAGACCAGATAACGGGAATATGTATAACTCCCGGAGAGGGATATCCTATTTCTTCACAATCGTTATGGTACGTAGGGTACGTATCTCACGAGAATAACACCAGAAAATTGGAAATGACCCGGCAGATCGATCTTCCATTTGGGATGCGCAGGGGAGGGATAAATTGCACATTGTCCATTTACGAACTGGGTTGCCTGGGATATCAGCGCATTTTCCAAGAAAAAGCATTTACTGATCCAACAAAATCTCTAGCTCAGACCAAAAAGGTCATTTTTTGTTTTAGGATATAGCCGCTATCTATGCATACTTGAATGCTGAACGCAAATGGTGGATTTTACAGTTCCATTAAAAATTGATAACTACAGAGAAAATTGGAAGTTCTCATTACAGTTGCACTCATTTCCATATATTCTTGAAGTCAGCCAAAATCACACTACCAACTGCAAGAAATAAAGCATTTTCAGTTTGTTTTCTTCACTCCCTCTGACTCTTCTGTACTGGATTTAGATTTCTTCACAATAGGGTTCTTTTTACACTGGGTATATGTCTCATTCAATCCAAAATCTTTGATGACATTTTCCTACAAAACAAGATTAGGAAAAAATTAGTATATTTACACCAGCACAGAAATAGTGCTACAATATTTTTTTTTCTTTATGTCAAGTAAAAAAAAATACAGTTAAAAGATACATAATAAATAAAATGAATTTTCCACATGTACACTTATGTCTTCTGACTGAGGTGAATTTCAATATTTTTATGTTTCATGTGTACATAGTCATTATCTTACCATTATAAAAGGGAATTTGTAAATCCTGCCAGCATGGTCAACATGGGGCCTCCTCATCTTTTCCTTGCCATTTTCAAACAGTATGAGGCTGGGGAGTTGCTTTGACCAGGAGGAGTTGTCAACACCATATCTGATAACATGATCAATGTCCAAATAGTATTATGACAACAATGTTATATTAGTCCAATATTATTATAATTATCAAAAGAAAAGTCATATGTGGTTGACTTTGAAAAGAAAATTTAGTGACAGTTGCTTCTGGTATTTGCTTTAACGAATCTTATTCCATCTACTTTTATTAAAATAGCCAAACCTTGGACATTCATTTAGTTATTTCATCAATGTCATACACATTACTTATGAACTATACATTCACTGATTATGATGTTCTACAATCTCCATGACAACACTTACTCTTTTGCTTCCTCTGTAAATCTGCTCACATCCAGCTTACCAAATTTTAAATTATCCAGTGAATATCTGAAATAAAACAGGAATTAAATATATATCTATCTATCTATCTATCTATCTATCTATCTATCTATATATATATATATATATATATATATATATATATATATATATATATATATATATATATATATATATATATATATATATATATATATATATCAATGGTGGCAGGATACAAAATATATGTAACTATATTTTTTCAAATGCTGGCTGTTTTATATAAAAATGCAGGATAAATATACTCAAGTTGCAATGTGTGTGTTGATATAAGTATATAGTGTATATACTCACTTTGCTGAAAGTTCTGAGAAGACTGGTGCAAAGTTTACACAAGCTGGAGACCAGGCTGCATAGAACTCTACAAGCCATGTTACTCTTTTATCTTTTGAAAGCTCTTCCTGCAATTTAAAAAACATTAAGCCATTCACAAGAATATATCTGCTTAATGTTAAATATGTACAAAAACATTACTTATGTTCAGAAAATTTTAGACACCATGATGTTATTAAAGGTAGGTGGATTTAATAAAAGTACTAAAACTTTACGCTTCAAGTTTACCTTCAAAAGCAATTTAAAAGTCATGGCTAGTATTTATAACTCTTACCCTTAATCCATTTGCTCTAAAATATGTAATAAGTTCTGGACCAGAGTACATAGGTTTAGGAAGAAATGCAATGTGTGCTGAAAACAAAAAATCATACAATGGTTAATAATTTTAATGTCTATAATTTAGTGTCTCTTTTACTTTTGGAAATAAAGTTCTTATTTAATTTGACTTGACTAACATGAATTTCACGTATAAGGGTGCATTCCCATAGATTTTAGATCGATCTATCCCCATGGGGAGTCTCACTAGATTACTGTCAGATAATCTTGCTTAAATGTCCATCCCGCCTACTACAAGCTGTAAGGGGGTAATTAACTTTCGTGCCCGCTCAGCTGACAGCTATTTAGCGTGAACCCCAGGGAGTTAGGTCGATCTAGTTGGATCGATCTAATCTCTGGGAATGGGGTCTAAGACAGTACCTTATGTCAAACTTATGTTGCACTACTTTCACTAGTTCACACCATTCTGTTGGGATTTACTGAATTACACAAAACGTAAGTGTTATATCCACAAAAAAGAAAGGATATGCATCTGCACCATTTGCATGACAATAAAAGATAAATGAATACAATAATTTTGACAAACTGATAAATAATATAATAAATTATATATATACTAGTAGATCCAANTAGGAGGAGAAGCGGTAACGGTAGCCGTCCGGCGGAGCCGGCGGAACGATCCGGACGAGACCGAAACCATGTGTACCGCCAGCGCTAACGCTGGTGGTACAATAATGTTACCTAGACATAGTAATCCATATCCAACAGCCATCAGCACATTCTGTCTGAAGAACATGATAATACTGGCAATTTTGGCAAACATACATCCCACATCAATGAAATCTTTAATTGAATCTGAAAAAAAAAATGATCCTGTTAATTTCTGCCACAGGTTTTACAAAATTTTCTCATTCAAAAGATTTTCTTTCTATTAGTAAAAGTGCAATATAAAATTCAAATCAAAACATTTAAAATGGTTTGTTATGTTAATTCAAAAATGTTACATACGTGTCTTTCTGTTTTTCAATACAATGACGCACCCAAGGAACATCAGGATTTCTATTTCTCTCTAAAAACAAACAAACAAAAAAATGCATAAAATGCATCAAGCATAAGGCATCAAACATACAGAAAAGGAGTGCTAGATTCGAGACAAAATGCTAGAAATCGGGCTACTACATGTAGTATATTGATTGCCATAGCCTATGTCTAGCCTCAGTCTGTAACTTACAGTAGTAGTATATACGGCCTAAGCTACAACTCACACTGAAAACTTGCAGTTATGCAGTCACAGTCATTACAATACTCTTCTTGGAGGGATATGGTTTAGCCAGGTACTGCCACTGGTACTGGTAGATACCCCAATGTGGATACACTGTCACTGATTATTTACTGCATTTGTTAATAACAACAGGCTTCATGTTACGTAGCTAAATTACTCACCATTTCAAGAGTGCAATTATCAAATAGATATATGCATGTCAGCGGCGAAAGCTTCAGCGTGACAAACAATAGAGATAATGCATAATTTCCCACATAGTGGGGTAGTAAAAGTTCTGTCCACGAACCCATTGTAAAATTCTTGAAAGCTTTCGAAATACCGGAAGTAGCCGGAAGTTGCATGTGCTGCGCAAGAAAACGAATCGGTGAAAACCGTAGTACGCGCACAGTGTATATCTACATTTCCTTCAACATGACATGTATATGACCTGATAATTGCTATGATGACATGGAAGACTTCTACAAGATTTTATCGTGTGAACCTGATGACTCAATTGAAGATTTGAAACGATCTTATCAGAAGTTGATATTAGAATGTCATCCCGACAAACTGTCTTCCAAACAGCTGAGCCAAGAAGAGCACACCGTGGCACTCCAGCGTTTTCTACAAGTTGACAGGGCCTGGAAGACACTCAGCGACGAAAATCTCAGGAAAGATTATAATGCCAGATTGAAGGAATGGCAATTTGCACAGAAATTCCCAATACATGATTCTGTACGTGACATTTATATCGCTTAATTAGTCTCAATGTCCTAAAGACAGCTTTGGGGGAGGGGGGGGGGGGGGAGGGGGGAGATGTTGCCTTGCCAGACAGAGGGAATACACAAAATAGCATGTGGACCCAGGAAAAGTGGTGGCTGGGGTGCATGTCTTTGTGAGGGGGGATGGGGAGTGGGGATTGAGTACTGCCTGACACTGAATATAAAGGTAAACTATTTAGCTGAAACTTACAAAGTTGCATGTTATCATATTCAAAGTTAATGTTGTAGGGCATCTCTCATCTGTATTCTTTCTTTTAACTGTCAAAAGATAGTGATAAATTCTTTTTAGATAACAACCCGATTGTTAAGGGTTCATGTTTTGTTCAGCTATATTGAAAGTGATAGATTAGGCAGTATTATACAGTGATACAGAATTGATTTTTATGTGTTATGAATAAAATATATTTATGGACAGGTTTGCTTGGAAGACTTTGACTACAATGAGGAGCTAGAAGCACACACCTACCCATGTCGTTGTGGAGATGTCTTTATTTTAGACCAAACAAGTGTTGATTTAGGTGTGGACACAGTCTGCTGTGAGTCCTGCTCTCTGGCTATACATGTAGAGTAAGTATTGGTGGCAGATGGAATCACTTACACCCCATTTCCATAGATTAGATCGACCTACTTTAGATCGACCTAACTCCCTGGGGGTTCACGCTAAATAGCTGTCAGCCGGGCGGACACGAAAGTTAATTACACCCTTACAGCTTGTAGTAGGCGGGACGGACATTTAAGTCGGATTATCTGAAAGTAATCTAGTGAGACTCCCCACGGGGATAGATCGATCAAAAAATCTATGGGAATAGAGCCTTATTCTTTTATTTGCTTCACTGTGAACACTATATATAGAGCATTTAAATTTTAACAAAGATAGGTGTTTTAACTCTCAAATTTATCCTGCCTACCTAGTAATGTACATAGTAATACATTATTCACCAAATATTCACCAAACCTTACATTCAAATTAATTTAAAATCTGTAATACATAAAATTGCTATCAGGTGTTGATTTTAAAAGAAATGAGAGATTGTATGTTTAAAAAAGTCTTGTGAGGTAATATTAATTTTGGACTTTTCTGTTTTAGTCTGGAAAACACCTGAGACAAAGATGAACCAGATGCATAGCTGACATCGAGAGCCCATTTAGCAGTGGTGTTCCTGATGTACCACTGATGCATCCAGCTAATGTAGTGAAACCAAGTGATTGATAGCCAGCTATTACAGCCAAGGCCTGGATTGACTGCAGCTCTTACTATGAAAAGTGTCAAGCCTTTCTTCATGTTGGAGCAGGCAGGATGCCAATTATGTTGATGCAACATTTATGGAATCCTGTAACAGCCAATTTAAACAAGTCACAAGTGCTACGAGAGATTACAACTGATATCTGACACTTCATAAGATGATTGATTATGAGAATCTTGAACACAAGGACTATGGCTTTTTATATAGCCTTAAATGACTTTGTCCTTGAAAAGCTTCAATATGATAATGGAACCCTTACAGTTGTAGAGTAGATGAAAAAAAGTATAGCAAATGATAGAATCCATATAATTTTATGATAATATATCTTTCACAGTTGCATGCACTTAAAATGTGCAAAGATAACATTTTTGTTTTTATTTCATTTTTATTATTACATAATTTTTGATCTTTCTATTTCTACATGTTTAATTCTGTACAACCCAACATTTATTAAAACCTAGAAAATTGTTTGCGACAAGATTTTTTAGCATTATTGTTATTCAATAAAATAGACCCAGTATCTGATTTGGGATTTTGGCTGAAATATATCTACATGATTTTCTATTTAGGATATGTATTTTGAACTCACTTTGTCCCTTAAAATAATCTTAGGCCCATCACCTCAAATTTTTTTTTTTTTTTTTTTTTTTTTTTTTTTAGATAAGCATGAGAACCTTGAATATTCACAGGTGGAAAGACCACGTTCTAAGGCTGACATAATCATGACTACTATATTATGCCTGTTAGAGGGAATATATATATATATATATATGGCATGTAAATTTTAAACTCTGTTCTGCTTCTTAGATATTCTATTTAGAAATCCTTGTTGCAGTGGGAGGTCACACCTAACACAATCGGCTACTGTGAAATTCATAAAATTTGTCGGGTGTGCCAAGAAAAGCCGTTACCAAATCAATTTGCCCCGTGTCTTTTGCTACTAAGGTAAATGTGCATAATATATCCATATTGTTGTAAATTTTTAATCTTTAACAGTATCTTTTAGTAATCTGTTTTATTTGGCATGTTTTAAATCCATGTAACGCTAAAATGTATCTTAGGTTTGGTCTGTCTTGAAAATGAATCAGCCATCGCTTCGCTGGCAAACGGAACGGTAAGTGGGAAGCTGTTGGTAAAATAGTTTATATCTTGATCTCACTGACTCCTATATCGCTGTTTCAAAACATTTAAATGATATCCAAGTTAGTGAGGAGTTGTATAAAGTATGATACTGCTTTTAATAGTGGTGGTTACATTGTTTTGATTTTACGAAAGCTACAGTGACAGGCCAGCTTGGCTGGCTTACTCAGTCACTGGCAGTGGCATTTCGTAAATCAAGTCCATTTCCAGTATGCATTCCTGTGGACGGATGTTTGTTAAGCAGTGCTTCTGTTATATATGGTGTATTGATTTATAATCTTACCTTGTCGTCTTAAGACTTCTCGAACTTATCGAAATATTTTTCCTGTATCTATGCGCTGTACTGTCAGTCTACTACTGCCTCAATAATGTGTATCAAATGCATTAGTGTGAAGACGCTGAAGCTGTTGTCACTGCTAGTATTTCTATGAGGTAAGCATATTTGAATTGGAAGCATAATGAAATATACAAAAAAAGTTAAATCCAAAACTGAGGTAAACTGTACATACTGTACACATCTGAATCAGTGTACTGGTACATCAACTGCTGTTTGTTTTCACTGTTATTATCATTGATTTTATAAAGATACACAGTGACTTTGAACAAATGGTAACTTTCATGTCTTTCCCAGCTCATCTCAACAGTGCTGTGAACATTCTCAAGACCCAAACAACTCCTTTAAATTATATACTGTAGAAGGTCAGAAGGTCACTAATTAAGCCATTAATCAATAATGTCTTTGGTGACTTTCTTATAGCTGGAGGACTTTATTACTCTGAGTCAGGATTCATCTGTTAGTGCTAGTATAAAGAGAGATAAGGTGTTCCTGTTTTGATGAAGAACCTTGGTCAAGTATCATGTTACATGCAGATTTGCATTTGATGTGTATAATGGTTTTAGCGCAGTTTTCAAAGAACAAATTTTACAAGAATGATATTTATTTGCATACTGAATTTTAGAATGTCAATGTGGACATAGTATATATTTGTTTACATGGAAGATAAGGTGACAGTTTGTATGGGATCCCACAGAATAATATACATAGCCTGGAGGTATTGCTTATACTATCCCAAACCCTTGCCCTGTGTGTGCTGTACTGTCTGATAATGTCAACTTTTGTTTACATTTTTGTGTCATTAGATATGCTATTATCTCAGACACTAAATATGAGTCTGACTCAAATAGCCCTCTAATGAGGTCAAAGGGAATGCAGGCTCTATGCTTGTGCAAGTATGTTCATTCCTATTTAAACTGTTCATGGTATGTGAAGTTGACAGGAAGGATTTCTGATGAGCAATGAATTATCAGGTAAGTTTAAAGACAGTTTTATTTGGAATACAAGTTTTTTTACAAACTTGACGGGTATTGATATAAACATGTATTTTTTAATTTGTACTTATTGACCTCAATATTTCAAACTATTAGAGCATCAAATGGTGTCAAATAGTACAGTATTTTAAGATAGTATGTTTCTTAAAGCTTTGAAAAAAGACATATACACATGCACTCTTCTCGTGAAGAAAGTGCAGGTCTTTAACACAGATAAATGGGAAGGTTTCTGGAAGTGCAATGAAAAGTGACAAGCGCTTATACACAGAGATGTATGTTGTGAGTAACCTTCTTAAACACACACTTAGTCAGCCCCATAAAAGTCCATACCATGCCTCATGGTGCCTTTCAGTAATAGGAAGTGTAAAGGTATAATGTGTCACTAAGGCATCAAGTTTGACATTTGCCTGACACAGGGATGGATGAAATGCCTTTGGTAAAGAAGTCTCACTTAAAACACTAACCCAAGAAGAACACAAGCACCTAATTAGATTTCATGGATCGGTGGTCATAGTCTCATCAGCAGGTAGAGCACACAATCCAGCCCTGTGATGATGGCCACCCGGCATTTGACCAGCTAAATGCCAGGTTAAAGGGTCTCTCTTGTAGATCATATAGACATTCACCTTGCATTTCATCATCAAGCCACAGGTTACTAAAGCGTTTCCTGCTTGGCTGGGGTAGAATTTACTTTGTGTACACACACGTGAAGAGCAGACAGAACTAAGTTTGACAACTTACAAGGTACTTTTTTCAAAGACTAACAATTTTGATTTTTTTTTACCTTTGTCAGCAGACCTCACCCAAATGAGCTCCATCTGGGATGGTTGCATGGGTGATTTTGCTTTTTATGACACAGTTTGAAATAATATGTTGTTTTTTGTTAAAAGGGTAAAAAGTCTTCAGAGTATAATGTGGCATTGTAAGTTAGCATTCTATTTGCACTTAAAAATTTTGTGCTTGAAAAGGATGAAATGAACATGATTAAGGTAGTTATCCTGTATCAAAAGTCTGAGGAGATTGTGTTTTGACATCTACATGTCCCCTGAAGGATGGATTGGTGAAAACTATCCTGATAACAGACATGATAAAATGCAGGGAATGTGGGTGTTATTTAATAGATTAGTTTGCATGCATGGGTTGATATTTTATTTTAAACATGGGAGAGAAAAGATATTATAGATAGCATGGGCTTTCAGATGTCAGAAAAAGAAAAGAAACATATTTATATAAAAAGTTCAAACAAAGGTTCATTCTAATAAAAAAAGATTGATGAAAAAATAAATGGAATAAGTTCTATGCAGATCAAATACAAGTGTAGTGTGAGAATATTTATGAATCCTGATAACAATCTTTTTCATTCATTCACTAGTACGTCTGCCCAGATATTTTGCTGCAGTTCGGTGGTCCAAAAGGTACCACACACAGCGCCAGGTCAATGAGGACCAGGGTTCCATGTACCTGTTAGAACTGGACATTGTATACCAGACATTATAATACCCCATTCACACTACAGTTGCAAAAATGCGCATTTCTATAATCCGAATTTTTCGTGAGGAATTCGATTCGGTATTGCGTTCACACACGCTGAGCGAAACCGAATTACACGTTGAAAATGTCAGGTTTAACTTCCTGTTTTGAACACTCGCGCATGCGCCGCACAGGAAATCTTAAAATACCAACAAAAATTTGTGACGACAAATGCAACTCTAAAGACATTCCAGCATTCTTGAGAAGTATAAGATGGCAAAATAAGTTTGTTTCCTCATGTTGTAGTGAGTGGTGACCTCCAAATACGTTTGGTGCAATCGCTAAAGTAATAAACAAGCGTTCATAGATACCCGCACTTATCTGCACACATGCGCAGTTAGATCTGTACAGGTGTCGATTCCGGTAAGTTATCCGGATCGCGCTTAGAAATCCACCTCGCTTGCAGGACTTTGAAAATGCGCATTACAAAAATCCTCTTGCGTTCACACTACTGCATTTATTCGAATTGTGACCTAATTCGCAATTTATCCNCGTATCGAAATATTTTTCCTGTATCTATGCGCTGTACTGTCAGTCTACTACTGCCTCAATAATGTGTATCAAATGCATTAGTGTGAAGACGCTGAAGCTCTTGTCAGTGCTAGTATTTCTATGAGGTAAGCATATTTGAATTGGAAGCATAATGAAATATACAAAAAAAGTTAAATCCAAAACAGTAAACTGTACATACTGTACACATCTGAATCAATGTACTGGTACATCAACTGCTGTTTGTCTTCACTGTTATTATCATTGATTTTATAAAGATACACAGTGACTTTGAACAAATGGTAACTTTCATGTCTTTCCCAGCTCATCTCAACAGTGCTGTGAACATTCTCAAGACCCAAACAACTCCTTTAAATTATATACTGTAGAAGGTCAGAAGGTCACTAATTAAGCCATTAATCAGTAATGTCTTTGGTGACTTTCTTATAGCTGGAGGACTTTATTATTCTGAGTCAGGATTCATCTATAAGTGCAAGTATAAAGAGAGATAAGGTGTCCCTGTTTTGATGAATAACCTTGGTCAAGCATCATGTTACATGCAGATTTGCATTTGATGTGTATAATGGTTTTAGCGCAGTTTTCAAAGAACAAATTTTACTAAAATGATATTTATTTGCATACTGAATTTTAGAATGTCAATGTGGACATTGTATTTATTTGTTTACTTGGCAAATATGGTGACAGTTTCTATGAGATCCCACAGAATAATATACATAGCCTGGAGATATTGTTTATGATATCCCAAACCCTTGCCCTGTGTGTGCTGTACTGTCAGATAATGTCAGCTTTTGTTTACATTTTTGTGTCATTAGATGTGCTATTATCTCAGACACTAAATATGAGTCTGACTCAAATAGCCCTCTAATGAGGTCAAAGGGAATGCAGGCTCTATGCTTGGGCAAGTATGTTCATTCCTATTTAAACTTTTCATGGTATGTGAAGTTGACAGGAAGGATTTCTGATGAGTGATGAATTATCAGGTAAGTTTAAAGACAGTTTTATTTGGAATACAAGTTTTTTTTACAAACTGGAATGATATTGATAGAAACATATTTTTTAATTTGTACTTATTGACCTCAATTTTTAGAGCATCAAATGGTGTCAAAAATTATAGTATTTTAAGATGGTGTGTTTCTAAAAGCTTTGAAAAGAAGACATATACACATGCACTTTTCCTGTGAAGAAAGTGCAAGTCCTTAACACAGATAAATGGGAAGGTTTCTGGAAGTGCAATGAAAAGTGACAAGCGCTTATACACAGAGATGTATGTTGTGAGTAACCTTCTTAAACACACACTTAGTCAGCCCCATAAAAGTCCATACCATGCCTCATGGTGCCTTTCAGCAATAGGAAGTGTAAAGGTATAATGTGTCACTAAGGCATCAAGTTTGACATTTGCCTGACACAGGGATGGATGAAATGCCTTTGGTAAAGAAGTCTCACTTAAAACACTAACCCAAGAAGAACACAAGCACCTAATTAGATTTCATGGATCGGTGGTCATAGTCTCATCAGCAGGTAGAGCACACAATCCAGCCCTGTGATGATGGCCACCCGGCATTTGACCAGCTAAATGCCAGGTTAAAGGGTCTCTCTTGTAGATCATATAGACATTCACCTTGCATTTCATCATCAAGCCACAGGGTTACTAAAGCGTTTCCTGCTTGGCTGGGGTAGAATTTACTTTGTCTACACACACGTGAAGAGCAGACAGAACTAAGTTTGACAACTTACAAGGTACTTTTTTTCAAAGACTAACAATTTTTATTTTTTTACCTTTGTCAGCAGACTTCACCCAAATGAGCTCCATCTGGGATGGTTGCATGGGTAATTTTGCTTTTTATGACACAGTTTGAATAATATGTTGTTTTTTGTTAAAAGGGTAAAAAGTCTTCAGAGTATAATGTGGCATTGTAAGTTAGCATTCAATTTCCACTTAAAAATTTTGTGCTTGAAAAGGATGAAATGAACATGATTAAGGTAGTTATCCTGTATCAAAAGTCTGAGGAGATTGTGTTTTGACATCTACATGTCCCCTGAAGGATGGATTGGTGAAAACTATCCTGATAACAGACATGATAAAATGCAGGGAATGTGGGTGTTATTTAATAGATTAGTTTGCATGCATGGGTTGATATTTTATTTTGAACATGGGAGAGAAAAGATATTAGATGACTTTCAGATGTCAGAAAAAGAAAAGAAACATATTTATATAAAAAGTTCAAACAAAGGTTCATTCTAATAAAAAAATTATGAAAAAATAAATGGAATAAGTTCTATGCAGATCAAATACAAGTGTAGTGTGAGAATATTTATGAATCCTGATAACAATCTTTTTCATTCATTCACTAGTACGTCTGCCCAGATATTTTGCTGCAGTTCGGTGGTCCAAAAGGTGCCACACACAGCGCCAGGTCAATGAGGACCAGGGTTCCATGTACCTGTTAGAACTGGACATTGTATACCAGACATTATAAGTCTCATACAGCATTACTGCTGAACACTTGGTAGAATTTTATTTTTCGTAAAGAGGAAAAAGTTTGTCTTTGAGATAGATACTTTTCTGTGCCTGTAGGTTTTATAGAATTTTGCCCATCCCTTACCACCCTTTTGTATCTTCCTTTGTCACTGTATTAGCAAAGAACTGTCTGAGTTTAGGGAATGGAAGAGATGTTATAGCTTAACAATGTTGTTTTGGCAAGTAAAGATTTATCCTCTTATCACACTTGGGTTCATACAACATAATTTCAAGAACTTGACATTACTCCAGTTACCTATACACATTTCTGTGTGAGTGACTAACAATAGGATCACAATGCCGCACTCAGACCATCATTGTTNTCAGGTTTAACTTCCTGTTTTGAACACTCGCGCATGCGCCGCACAGGAAATCTTAAAATACCAACAAAAATTTGTGACGACAAATGCAACTCTAAAGACATTCCAGCATTCTTGAGAAGTATAAGATGGCAAAATAAGTTTGTTTCCTCATGTTGTAGTGAGTGGTGACCTCCAAATACGTTTGGTGCAATCGCTAAAGTAATAAACAAGCGTTCATAGATACCCGCACTTATCTGCACACATGCGCAGTTAGATCTGTACAGGTGTCGATTCCGGTAAGTTATCCGGATCGCGCTTAGAAATCCACCTCGCTTGCAGGACTTTGAAAATGCGCATTACAAAAATCCTCTTGCGTTCACACTACTGCATTTATTCGAATTGTGACCTAATTCGCAATTTATCCGGATAACTGAGCGTAGTGTGAACGCGTTATAAGTCTCATACAGCATTACTGCTGAACACTTGGTAGAATTTTATTTTTCGTAAAGAGGAAAAAGTTTGTCTTTGAGATAGATACTTTTCTGTGCCTGTAGGTTTTATAGAATTTTGCCCATCCCTTACCACCCTTTTGTATCTTCCTTTGTCACTGTATTAGCAAAGAACTGTCTGAGTTTAGGGAATGGAAGAGATGTTATAGCTTAACAATGTTGTTTTGGCAAGTAAAGATTTATCCTCTTATCACACTTGGGTTCATACAACATAATTTCAAGAACTTGACATTACTCCAGTTACCTATACACATTTCTGTGTGAATGACTAACAATAGGATCACAATGCCACACTCAGACCATCATTGTTCATGGAGAAAACACACCTTGGCTTTATTCTCTATGCATGTTGACAGTGAAGTCACCAGACCAAATTTGGACTGACACTGGAGGGAATAGAAGCTCATCACTTCCTAATGTTGTGTTCGGGAGCAAATATCACATTCATTGTAGTTTTGCACACTACATTTGAGAACTGTTGTATCAAAGGATGGGTTTCCCCACAAAGTTACCAACATTCCTGTAATCAAAGTGTTCTAACAAGAATAGAGCTGGAATTGTGGTATAAGATCTCTGAATAACCTCTTGATGAATGAAAAGCTGGGCTAATTTGTGTAGTATCAAGTCCAAACAGTAGGTAAGTCAACCAGAACATGGTGTGGGAGTTCAATAGTGCTGGCTTGGATCTCAAGGGAGAAAGTGCAAAGAAAGAAAAAGAGAGAGAGGGAAAGAGGAAAAGACCATACTTCAACGCTGTTTTTTTATTGTTAATACATCAAGTGTAAATGATATTTGATGTGGTAGCTACCAATTCCATTCCTAACGTTAATTTTGTTTTCTACGTATCAATTTCTCTTTGGCCCAGAATGTAAAAGTGCAAATTATTGGAACCAATTAAGCTGGTGAAAAAACTGAAACTAAGTTCTGTGGTTTCAGAAACGGTGTGAAAACATTTCTAGTGGAGGCTAGAATGTCAGTTTTATGGAAACAAATTCCTGCACCACACAAATACACAACTTGCTCAGATTTTTGTTTGGGAATGGTAAATGATGTTATATTAGTGTTGCAGTTATGAATTTAGTTACCTTCCATTTTGTTTGAACTTTCTGGAGTTTGATACTTGGTGAAATATAGATAAAAGCTTAATTGTTCCTGTCCACAATAGTGTCATGTGCCCCTGCAGTCATGATAACAGAGAGTCAGCAATATTGCATACTAGTAAATACATTGTTTTTTCTATCACAGATGATTTATTCAATGGGAATGAATTGATAATGATGAATTTTGTATATTAGATAGTATTTGTGATCAGTGAATTATAAATATTCATTGTGTAAGATTTTTTTAGTTTTTATGGGTTTTTATGCATTTGCATAAAGTACTAACAGTTCTGCTACGTAGTCACCTAATGTAGCAGAACCAGTAAAATTGGTCAGTTACAGGTAACTTGCCAGTGTTTCTGCTTTTGGTCTCTAGATTCTTTGGTGGCCCAAAGGGTCAGTAGGTATATGTTTTTTGGCAGAGACTGGCATAAGCAAGGTTCCAGCTTTGTGATATAAGACGTGAGGAGGAATTATTATGTGGTGAGATTTTCTCAGACTCTCTGCTCTTGATTTACCCAATACAGGTGCACATATATAAGTATACAGTTTATTGGTGCCCTGTGTTTGCCTACAGACTAGTCTAGTATTACAACTAGGATTATATACATAGCCCAGATAGAAGTATGCAGTATTCTGAGTGAATATACACCTGGATAAGGTTCCCAGGTAAAGAGAGCACTGGCGACCAGTTAATAATGTTTATTTGGCACCTCATTTCTCTTCTGCAGGATAGGTATGCAGATTATCATTATCCTAGTACATAATATTAAGAACTGCTTGAAACCCCATATATTTCACTGAACTGGCATGTATTTCTTGTATTCTCAATCCATTTGGCACACTTTGATCATGTCAAGGAGTGAATGGTATTTTGCTTCTTATTTTGATTTTGGATTGGGCCTTACTATGTTGGTATGCAGTTTTGCATTGTTCCAGTTCAAACCTCATTGCTAACAAAAAAGTATAATCCACATCTTCTCGGTTTAGATAAGATTGCAAGATATCAATGAAATTGCATGTTAAGTGGTATTGATTGCTTTGATGGTTACCAGTATGAAAGTTGGTACGTGCAAACAACATCAGATGAAGTGGGATTTCACAGCAGGTCTTATCTGTGATGTAATAATAAGTGTGCTGGGTTCTGAACAACCTGTGTGTTTGCCTGTGATACAACTTTACATACTGTACATGTATACTCTGTATATGTATACTCTGTATACGTATACTATGAAGAGGCTTAGGTCTACAAGTACATTGCAGGTAATATATATGTGACCTGTTACTATCCACAAGGTTTTCCTAACCTTTTCAGATAAGACTGCTATTTGGTGAAGCAGTGCTGAATTGAATTCTACCCACTGGGTGCCTTTAAAGCAATCTTATGTAGTGTTTTCAGTCTATTAAAAGGTTTAGCTTGATTGTGTATATGTACTTGGATGTCCTTTTCCTTTCCTACTTTTTTGTGAAATGATGCATATCCTGGAAGAAGCATGAGTCATACAACTACTTTCCTTCTGGTTAGAAGCTGTCAGTCTGTTTGGCTCTTTTATTAGCAACAAGTTAAATCAGTCTTAACCAGCACTTGGACTTCTGAAAGAGTTGTTCCATGGATTCAGGTATTCACACAGTGAACTTGGTGATTTGTTTATGGACTGCCCTGTACACAGTCTCCAATGTTACACCTTCCTGTGCTGCCCATTAATCAAAGCTGCCTTGTTATGCTAAGGTTGAGTAGTCTGTATAGTTAGTCATTCCACTGAAAGGTAGGTTAGGGATATATAGTGGCAGTGATAATATTGTGATATTTAAAAACACATTATTGGAGGTAAGGCTGATGCTGGGTGGACTTTGACTCTGCCTGTATACTGTAGCCATATAAACACATGTAAAGAGTGGCTTAGTTGGTATAATTTATTATTTATATGACGTCATAGTGGTTAAAAGACTTGATTGTTTCATTGAAAAAGAATTTTTAGGTAAAATTTAACTTAGATAGCTAAATGCTTCCCTAATTATCTTATGAGTAAAGAGATAATTTAGGAATTGATTTAGTTTTAAAGAACAAAATTTTTGTTCACAGACTTCAAACTTTCAACATGCAATGGCCAATAAGCCATCTTGCGGTTTACTCCTGCCAAGTTCACTGGCGTACCTTTTGCTGTGGCCACCACAAAAACCAGTCATGTTGATCTCCTGCTAGTTGAAGTTCATAAAGTTACAGCTGTTTGATCAACTAATGCTTTACTTGCCTGTAGGAAGAATATTTCTTTCAAGTAAAAGAAGCCCTTTGATGGCACTTCATTTTCATCACTCAGACCAGCAATTAGAGTAATCCAGCCTGTGTTTTCATGTACAGCCATGTATTTCAACAAGAATCAGGAACATGATAAGCAGGTTCATTGCCATTATTTAGGTGTGGTTTAATTACATTTATGGTAATTTACTGACATGACACAGAATCTGCATTGCAGATGAAAGGCTGAGCTAATTAGCTGATGAAAGATCAGTATAACAGTATAAAACATTGTCCAAGTTTGATGTAGTGTTTGCGGAGGAGTAGAGGGAGGTGCATGCATGTCACTTTTAAAGGACGATTTAATGACTTTTATGTGGTTAACAAAGACAGGTAGATTATAAAAATAGGACTTCAGCTTGTTTTGTTATGTGATCTGGATATTTATTGCTTGTTATTTCTGTACCCAGTGGTAGTGAAAGTAAGTCAGCTGGCATCCGTATTTGTAAATGTAGTAATATACTTGTTTGATTATTAGATTTTGACAATTGATGTGTTTTTTTGTTTTTGTCAGTTAGGATTGACTCTGTCATTATAAATTGCCATTATTTGATATTGATAATTAAGTAGATTTTGAAGACCTCAGGTTACAGAAACATTTTCTCAGTTTTTGTTCTGGGGTGACTGGATTGATTTCCTTGTTTATCATTGCCTTGAATGTAAACGTAAACATGTGGCCAGTCCATTGTATTGGAAGGAATTTACCTTGTACATTTCTGTACTGTATGCTTGCTCTGCACAGCTGGTACACAGGACAGAATCAATACAGAAAGACAAACTATCTGATTAAATAAATTTAGTTAATTGTGACAAATCACATTAAATTGAATAATAGATGTGGCTTCATTATATTGGGATGTCAGAAGTAATATCTGACTGGAGTTATGGGACTGAATGCTCTAGGGGCTGAAATGGTTATATAAGATGCAATTGCATTGCACTGGAGAAGAAAATAACAGTGTCCACAAGGTAGACAGACTGTCGTGGGACTTGGGTAATATGATATAGGAACTGGTCACACTATAGAAAATATCTTTCACATTCATTCTAATGCATGAATGTGTGTGTAGGTGTGATTTTGTTAACGTGTGCTATTATGCCTCTTTTTTCAGGCAGAAATAGAATAGTTTGGAAAAAAGTTAAGTATATATATATATATATTTTTTTTTTCTATTAACATGATCTTTGTTGAGCATTGCTGTTCTTTATTACAGATTGATGATAATGAGTTAAACAACCAGAGAAAAATACTCTCCCATCCCACAAGATTCCAAGATTCGTAACTCGCAAATTCCAGAGTAGAAGTGAGATCATTTGAAGTCGGCACACCTTATCAAGTTTCTGAAAGTAACAAGCTTAACTGACTGGTTGAGTTTGTACTAAAGTGTGAAATGGCAACATAAGAAGCCTTTACACTTCCTATTAGGACAGAATAAAGCACACGGAGGCAGAAAGAGGAGATCACCTTGTGACCACCGTTTGATCTGGAAACCAGCCTGTTACCAGCAAGGAGGCTATGTTGAAGTAATTGCAGAAAGTTTCTTGACAAGACTTAGGAAATGACTTCAAGACCATCTGGGTTGAAAGCCCCATCTTCCGGGCTAAAACCCCCCTCCAGAATAGGCAAGCCATCAGGGTTAGTGCAACCCAAGGCAGGCAGCAAAGCACAAAGTAAGTACTGACCTGCATGGATGTAGAGATCTATTACAAAAGGTAACCTTAATTGTTTTAACCGTTGAGGACATATGATGAGTGAAGATCAGTTTTGAAACAGTTGTAGAGCAGAAACTTAATAGCATTATCAATTTGTCACCAGTGTTTGAAACTGTTTTAATAAAATGCACCCACAACACCTGCATGCCACTTATCAAGTTCCTTTCAGAAGCATGCAAATCTAGAATGCATGGTGAATTTTCACAACTCTTACAATATATTTTGCCAATAATTTTCCATATGAAATGCATGTCTAATAGGATAGCCAAAGGCAGCATTTTCCCTCCAACTAGTCTTGAAATACAGAACATTACACTAGTCACATTGAGAAGACATAATTTGTAGACTTTCTGTTCAAGCACTTAAGTTGAAGCCCGTACACAGGAGCCTGTGAATCAATAGATATTCCATTATCAGATATTCAGGGTCGTAGGCTTGAACAGACCATTTGCTGATGCAGTATTTTTACCAGAATGAATCACAGGAGAGCCGAAGGCAAGGAAGATGGATGCCAAGGCTAAGGGTAAACCAGACACAGTAATAAACTGGACAGGAATCACTGGCTCTTGGATAGAATTTATGTGATCTGACCTTATTAATGAATGTTTCAGGGATGACTAATCGTAGCTGGGATTCTGCTGTGTTATGTTTTCATATTTCTCTGTCTGCGTAATGATGTATGTTACATGCTATTGGTTTCAGGCCAGGCCCTTGCCAAGAATCTGCCTGCATTGTAAGCCAGACTCCGAAAGCTGCTTTTGTTGGATAATTTATTGCAAAATGCCGTCATCAGAATGAGTTGATATGGCATTAATTTTTTTCATCTGTTCCTAGCGCAGTGGTTGTCCTTTCGCAAGAGCAAAATTCAAATTATTAAGCCTGCATTTATATGTATTTTACAGTTGCCATGATTACTTCATGAATAGAAATGATAATTTAAAGTAACATGAGGTTTTACTGTAATGGAAATGCCCACATATTAAGAGATTATCAATAATGGCTTAATGCTGTTAGTAGTGTACAGCTGATTTAGTTATTATGGTACCTGATATATATGAGGAAAACACAACATTAAACATATTCATTAGATAGTAGAATTAGTACTCTGTTCTTTTAAGACATTAGAATATCTCTGAACTTCATTGTCATGTCAAATTAAAAAAATGGTAGAAATTGAGTAAACATTTTAAAGATCTATTAAACCGTGGGGGTCTAAAAAACAACTATATTGTGTCTCTGTATTCTTGTTGTCAAATTAAATATTAAGTAAAATAAAACAAACAAAATTAGAAATTTGAAGCAATTTCAATAGGAGTTCTGTTAAGCCTCAGAGGGTCTTAAACTAAACATTTTTTTCTCTGCCAGATCTTCCAGACTGCATGCTTCACCATCAACATATTTGCAGGCTCACTATAACCACATATCATCAGATGCCAACAAGATTTGTATTTCTTGATTGCCTTTTTTTCAGGTTACTGGTGCTGCTATTTCTTTTTCATATTGTTTCTGACAATTTGAGTCATATGTATATATAACCTTCCTGCAGCTGGTATATAAATGCCTTGTTAGATGAAGAAGAATTCATTAGCTCTATGTTGATAAGGGAATCCTGTGTCATAATTTCATAACTTGCAGCTGTAGGAGAGTGAAAATGGTGTTTTCTAATTGTGTACAAGGTGCTGTATAAACTCACTTTGTGTTGTTCTCTCTGCCTGTAAAAGATAAAGTTCAGGTAGAAGCTGTTATATGTGACGCTATATATTCATCATTATGAGTGAAACATTACTAATTGGTGAAAATCTGTGAGCAAACTGTAGTAGCAGTATAAGTAGTTCCTGTCAATATTTGATTTTTATTAGGGTTAAATGATGAAAATATTTGTTAGATCTTGTTGTAGCATTTCATATTCTCCTGTTGTCAGATATGTAAGAATTTTACTTTGCAATTCAAACTGTTTCAATTTTGCTAAATTATTTATGCTGACAATTTCCACTAAGGTGCTATAGCTGCAAGTGCCCGAGCCGCTGGCCTTTCTGCCACCGCCGCTGAAAAATATGCTGCACAAATGGTGCATAAGTTGCCAGGTAACCATGGAAACAGTAAGAAAACGACAACAAGATGGTGATTTGGGATGTAACTGGTATCTGTGCTGTCTTGCCAGTGTTATTAATGCTGGGTTTTATAATGTTATAATTACATGTTTCTGTCAGACTGTATGTTTCTACAAGGAAGCCATATGCTGGGACATAGTTGCATGTGGTACTTGCTTAATATGCAGTTGGTGGGGCTGTCAATAATTTTGCATGTGGAATACAGAGTGAACTTTTTTTATAGATTAATTTGAGGCCTTCAATTTTTTTATGAAGTGCCATGTTGATGTATAAAATTTACCACTTTACAATTTTTATCATAATTATGTCATTAGGAGACTATTTAGTTTCTGAGATATGTAGATGATATATTTTATAATCCATGTGATAGTTACCCCCTGTATACTTTCAAACATCAAGTATTAACTATGATAGTAATAGCCTTGTTATCTCAGAAGCACTTAATGGGAATAGTTTCTTTGATACAACCATGCACATGTATATTGATACAATAAAGGGTCATTCCACAGTATTTTTCCTCTGTATGACATTTTTTCTAAACATAAACTTTTCACTGTTTAAATTTCCACTGATTTACTTGAAGGTAATTAAAGAGGTTCAATCTTATACAAATTTGCTTGATAAAAAAGTTTGTAGATAGAGGGGGGAGGGGAATGTTGTTAAGGAAAAAGCATTGGAATGGCCCTAAACACCTCGTAAATCAGTATAACATCTATAGCTAGTTAGACTTTTCAGCTGTAACTGCACAGAAAATATAACTGTTTAAAACTCTGTCCAATTTACTGATCCATTCAATCTTATTCTAGGATGCAAGGCTACTTATTAGGAAGCTGAGAGCTAGCTGAACAGTATTGTTTTGTGACAGTGTATTTTCATGTTGCTAGAAAAAAATCATGTATTTCCATGTTTAATACATATTCTTATGTTCTGTAATACTAACCATTATGTCTTTTCTTATAGGAACTACACCATACTTATTATATGTGCAATGCATATAAACTACTACTGTATCTTACTATATTTACCAATTTAACTACAATAATATATTTTAGAAATTAGCTGTATACTAAAGGGTTATAGGGGTTCTGCTATAGGTACAGTGCTATTGCATGAACTAACATTTTTATTTCAGTTTCAAATCATTCAGTCTGTACTAGATATCTGAAATTTTCATTCTGTCCCGGTATTTCCAGGTCCAGAGCCACAGCTTCCTCCCCCACCAAGTGATGACTTTATCATAGGTGACCGTGTCTGGGTGGCAGGGACCAAGCCAGGGGTAATAGCTTTCTTGGGAGAGGCACAGTTTGCCCCAGGACAGTGGGCGGGGGTGGTACTAGATGAACCCATCGGCAAGAATGACGGCTCAGTGGCAGGAGTGAGATATTTTCAATGTGAACCTAAACATGGAGTATTTTCTCGGCCTGGTAAACTAACCAGGCAGCCGGTGGCGCCAGGGAGTGTGGAGGCAACTCCTGCAGGGGACAGCTCAAACTCTGCTTCCGCCTCGTCAAATTCTGCTTCCAGTGCGGCGGCCCCAGCTGCCACTCCTGCCAGGGCTGGGCAGGCCAATGGCACAACCTCCAGACTGGCAGCCCCAACACCCAGAGCCAGTGGACTTGTTAAGAAATCAAGCCTTGGCTCAAACACAAACTTGACTCGGTCCCCTTCAGGCTCAGTGTCAAACCTCCCCACCACGGCCAGTTCTGTACCAAAGCATAATCTTAAAGTAGGGGACCGTGTCCTAGTCAGTGGCTCCAAGCCTGGGACTCTACGCTATGTGGGCACCACAGACTTTGCCAAGGGGGAGTGGGCAGGGGTGGAACTGGATGATCCCCTGGGGAAGAATGATGGGGCAGTGGCTGGAAAAAGGTAGGAGAGGACATTTAAATGTCACTTGTGTGCTTATACTGCTGTACTTGTGAGCCGACCACTGGAATATTTACATTTGTTACATTAGGCACTTTATGTAGTATAATTCTTTTTAGAAATATGTCGGGTGGGGAGATTTGAGAATCATTTTTGAAGAAGTTGTCAACAAAATCTTTTTTTACTTGAAGTACTAAAAGACATGTCACCCTCTCACATCAATAATTGTGTAGTTAATGATTGTCATGTAAATCATGATTTATATAGCTGCAATATCAGTGACTCATTGAGTTGTACTTTGATATATGAGGAATTAATTGAAAACTGCTATGAAGTTCTTGGAAATGTTTTTTAAATTTGCACTTTGTTATGAGAAATGAAGCTATGTTTTTCAGAAAAGTATGAATTTTGATTATTAGTTCTGTAGCAAATATAATGAGAATCGCAAAAAGCAGTAAAAGATTTTTTGGCATTTTAGATTCTAAATGGCATATGCTACAAATTACCAGTACAAAATGCAATATGAGTTTTTAACTTGTTTTTGATGGTTTTCAGGAATACTTTGTTTTAGCTTCAACATATTTATCAGAACTTGTTTTTCAGATATTGTTTATTTGTCTCAAAATTCTATGCTGTTGCTCCCTTTTATGAGGTTTTCATTTCCCAATATTTTAGCTAATGAACCTTTAATGATTATTGTTAATGGTGCATATTAGATATATGAGGCTTGATACAGAAAAATTATGCCTGTGCCTTTAATTAAAACTGCTTTCCATTATGTACTGTATCTGATAAAGTATGATGTATTTTTGAACATTTTATTCAGAGTGCTTGTTGTAATTGAATATAATAAAGCTGTAAGATAATGATTTGCAGTATGACAATTCTATTGGGATGTGTCATCGTGATAATAATCGCGATACAGTTCTCAGGATATCTTTGGGACATTATTGTTGTTAAATAGATAATGCCTTCCACTTATATTCTGCCTTTTGCTCCAGGTATTTTGAGTGCAAGCCAATGTTTGGGCTATTTGCACCAGTTCATAAAGTGGCCCGCATAGCAGGGGGTGCACACAGTGGCTCAGGGAGTCCACGGGCACGCTCCCTGTCAAAATTAGGCACACCTTCCCGCGAACGTAGCGGCAGCATGGAGTCCATTAGCTCCATTGGTTCCTCGGCTTCGAGTGTGTCACGCAGCCGGGTAAGATTGGGTGTCACGTCCCTTAGCGGCCAGGTACATGCAGCATGATGGGTGCAGTTTTTTTACTACTTTTTTTCTCTCAGTCTCTGGTCCTGCCAGCTTCAAGGAAGTAGAGTTGTAGTGATGTATCTATGCATATAGCTTAACACTATATGTACTCATAATACATTCAATCGTGTGATCATTATGAATTTGATGATTTGCTCTATGAATGTACTGACAAATTACTAAGAAACTATGAACTAAAATGTATAATTTTGTCATTGAAATTGATTTTTTGAAGTGATTCATAACTGTCACCTTCAAGTACAGATCCGCTGTAAAAAGTTTCGCAATTTACTTAATCCTCATCCAAATTATTCCCATTCCTCACAGCTAATGATACTATTATGCCAATGGTGTAAAATTACTGGGGTAATTTCATGGGTATCAGGACCTGCATGGCCTGACTGTCAACTTTCCCACCATTAGCAACCTGAGCATGGCATTGGTACCATGGTTCCTTTTGGCTAAACTTCTCTTCACTTTGGTTGATAGTCCACATAGTCTGGTTTGCATTGGAGTCTTCTCATTCGTGGACAATAAAAAAAAAACTCGATTTAGGTAGATACTGTTTAGGGTTTTATTTGCATGCTTTATTAAAGAATTAAGGTGCATTCTACCATTTATTCTACTAATTTAGAACCCTTAGGAATTTTGTTTATTTATAATTTTTTGTATCACAGATTTTACTAAAATTCTAACATGTTTTTTCTCTTTTGTTATATTATCATTATTATAAAATAAATAATCACCAGATGATGCCATCATAGATACATATAGGCGCTCACATAAGATCTATTTACTTGGTAGAAATAATACTGACATAATTGCTGCATTACTTTAGTATGTATCATTTAGCATGAAAAAGGGGGAAACAAATCGCAGTACTTCAGCCCATATAAAGTAGATATCAGAGCTAAGATAAAATGTAATAACACTGGTGTCTGAAAGGATGATTACAAGCTTTGGGTCTGATTTATGCATTTAATTAAATAAACAGATCCTAGTTTATCCAACTTTGCAATTCCTCAAAAAGTTTGAGATCATTTCCTTTGGTTACTATCAAAAATATTCCAAACTCGTTAACTCTGCTTGAACAATATATATGTGGGTGGGATTATGTTTCTAAAAATGAATTGATATTACACCTTGATAACAAATGATTTTACGATAATTTAGAGAATTTATGTCCACCATTGTTCTAAGATTGAGTTTGTAGTTGCAGGTGAAACATATCCATTGCGTATTTGATAACTTAAAGTCCTAGAATAAAACAAGTCTTATGTATGGCATTCTGGTTGTTTTCGATATAGAAAGACACCACTGCAGGCTAAATCTTTTGTGATAATCGTTCCACCTTTGGGGTTTACAATTTAGGTGAAAGTTAACACCTGGGGCATGATTTATCTCAGCTGTAGCTTAATCATACAGGTATTTTATAGCTGAGGTACTGTATCAGGCAGCATGCAACACTGATTAACTAAATGAAATATAAGATAACCCCCTTTTCTTTCACCTAAAATATGTCCTAGTTTTTAAAACAAGTTTTAAAAAAGGAAATAATATATACTGAACTTTTGATTTTTTTTTATTTATCATTATTAAACAGTATATTCTTTAAGGGTGAAATAGCTGAGCTGAGGGAAGAGGGTTTTAAGTTTATTTATTTATTGTACATGTGTATGCAATTTGGGTTCTTAATCTTGAGGTGGGGAACATATATATTGGTACCTGACCTTCTGGTATTTAAAGGTGAAGCTTTATCTCTTAACATCTTCTAATTCCACCTGTATCTGTCCACTTGACTTGTGGGATTTTACCACCCCCTTGCTCAATATATTAGAAATATCTTGAAGCTGGCATGACTTGTGAAATGAAAACTCGTCATATTAGGCATTTTGTTTATTATATGCATATAATTAATGGCTTAATTTTGATAATTGAATTAAAGTTTAAATTCACTGTTGGTGTAACACATTTAAGTAAACCTTAAAAATTCACTAAGAAAATTGTTTCCACCTTTCACGTAAATGCATGCAGCTTTTTTTACTCAAAGATATAAATCATTGGGACATTTAGACTAATAATTATATTTAAGTTGGTAAATAGTGGTATTATTTTACTTAAATCTATGGTTTGCTACATACCTTTGCCTTAATGCATATTTGTTTAGCATGTCTCTTTGTAATTCATGTTATGTTAGTTACATTTTGTTTTCATGTTCATTTGTTACATGTGCATTGCAATGTATCTTGTGTTTTTTGTACTTTGTGCATTAATTTGGGGTTGGTACAGTAAAATTTTGAAATTTATGTTGTTCTGTTATGTATGTATAATTAGTTATATGCTTTCAATGTGTCTTCACTTTTCTCTTATATCTTTAATTTTTTATTGTTGACTTCCAAAAAAATCATGTCATAAAGCTAGTTTTTTTATATTTGGCCTTCTGTAAGCAAATGTAAACTAATGAAATACCAGTCACATAATAGTTACATAGTAGAAAGCATGTCGCCATTTTATACTCTTCTTTTTTCATAGACAACTGCTATTATAGATACACTCTTGCAGCAGCAAGTGAGCTTCAGATTTCAGAATTCCTAGATTTGCTTTCAGGTTGTGTTTAGTGCACAATAAAGTGGAGAACTGCTTGAGTATATATGTATATGTACCATATTTATTTGATGAAGTACATTCACTGTTATCAGTGTTAGCATCTCTGAAAATATTGCTTATTTTTGTTTTACAGTTAATGTGCTAAGATGTGCACATTCCATGCATTAGTACTGTGACAATCTACGTATATACAAAATTATAAAGACAAAACTATTTTCCACTTTCTTACCTTTAAAAATTTTTAAGAATAATTCTCTCAACAAAGGGTACTTTTTTGTAAACTTTCAAGCCCTAGAAAATCCATCAAACAAATATGGTACAAGTTGTGAAGGTCTTTGTGACTGCTTTCCCCTGGCGCCCACCTGCTGGCAGACTCAGTGCTGTCTTTAGACAGCATTTATTTGTTATTTACACAATTTTTTTTTTCTGATGATTTGACTCTGCTCCTGACTTCAGCCCACTCCAGGGAAGAGTACAAAGAGACCAAGTACCCTGAATCTTACAGCCACCACACAAGCCTTGCAGGTAAAGATAAAATCAAAGCAATGTCAATTTTCATTTTTATTGAAGTGTCTGTATATCATGTTATGTCACTTTAGGCATAATATACTGAAAGATATGTACCTCCATGAATTACTTCCCTTCACACCAATGGATGAGGCTTGTTGGCCACCAAGTGTTCATTTGATGAGATTAAGATCATAGTTAGACCAGGTTTAATAGACCAATCTTGCTAATGACCAGGCTGATATTTCAGAAAGCGCTGAAGGAGAAGGAGGAGCATATAGAGCAGCTGCTGAAGGAGAGGGACATGGAGAGGTCGGAGGTCGCCAGGGCAGCATCCCAGGTGGATGAGGTAGGGTGTGCTTGGACATTTCTGAGAAATTTGACTGTACTATTTATGATTCAGAAAAACATGAAAATTTATGATATCTAAAAATTAAGTATGGATAATAAATATTGGATAATTAATATTTGGTATAATGGTAATTTCCTTAGGTTATTCATTTTCAATCAAAATGGATCAAAAGTGTTGCATAATGTTCCATTTTGCCCTTCCTGTGAAAAATTACTTTAGATAATACAGTCCCTGTGTAATTGATCAAAATGTTGTAATGCGTTTCATTTTGTCCTCCTCCAGGCCGAGTCCCAGTTGGCGTCTCTGAAAGCTGAACACGAGAGGTATGTGCTGGAGAACGAGGAGAACATGAAGCAGATGAAGGCACTGATGGAGGAGGTGGGCAAGGAGAACAGAGAGCTGAAGGCACAGCTAGAGGAGGAGAATAGGTATGCACACAGCATGTCTAGATTATATTTACAGTGTAGGAAAGAAGTTAATATTTTACCTCGGCATTCTTCTGAGCTGGAGGAGAACCAGTAGTGTAATTGGAGTATGTACTATATAGGAAATGATCTTACTCAGTTTACCTTGACATTGTTGTAACTAATTAGCTGAAGGAGGAGAATAAGCTAAATGAATCTTTGCAGGGAGGCAATAATGAGGCAGTTGTTATAAGTTTTTACTCTTTGTTTTCAGAAAAGTAGAAGACTTGCAGTTTGCTATTGAAGAAGAGAGTATTATCAAGGATGACTTGGAGGTAATGACGTCAGTTTCTCTAGGCTAAACAGTAATGCAGCTGAAATTTTATACTATATCAAAAGCAAAAGTGAATATTGAGCAGATAATATAATACACTTTATGAAATTCGTAAGATGAGAACAAAAGAATGCGAATCATGAGATGAATGCTAAGTAATAAATTGTTCTATGTGCCCGAAGCTTTACAACAGATCCACATTTGTTACAGAATAAAACTGAGGAGGAAGAGGCAAAGCAGCAACAACTTGAGAGGAGGATAGAAGAAGAGAGGGCCAGGGCAGACAAACTGGCAGAAGAACTCAGGACAGTTAAGGTAGGTTGATTTCTTAAACCAAGAAAAAGTACAAGAATAAGGTTTTAAAAGAAAATGGATGGTTTGTGTGGATGCAGGTATATGTGTACCTTTGAGGATATCAGAAATAGCATGTTGAAGATTTCCGAATTGACATTCAGGTTTAGTTATCAAAAAATAATAATAACTAATTTTTATCTTGGTTACAGACTGAATTTGAGACTGAAAAAGCCAAATCCAAGGCTTCTGAAGATTCTTCTGTGGAATATCTAGATCAAATAGAAGAATTGACTCACAAGCTAAGTCAGGCAGAGAAACAAATCCAGGAATATGAAACGTCTAATGCTGAATCTGGAGCCAAGGTATGTTGTTAAGTCATTTACACACATTTAATAAGTTGAGAGAAGTGATACTTGCCTGAAACTTTAAAGCTACACTTTGATTGGCTACATTAATTAATTAATATATCTTTTTCATTCTATTTATTTCAAAAGCATATTCTAATTGGCTGTAGTCTTTCTTTTAATATGTCCTAACTTTCTGTCTCCAGGCTAGTCAGTTTAGTGAGGAGTTGCAACAGAAGAATATCAAAATAAAAGAACTTGAAGAAGAATTGAGTAGAAAGATTTCAGAATATTCTCAGTTGGAAAACAGAATGTCTGAAATGGTAAGTGAATCTTTTGGGAATGAAATACCATGGTAGATTTGTAATATGTTCAGAATCGTTTGGAGCATTGAGACACTTATGCTTATCCTAAAGAGATAGCAGAATGTTTGTGTGTGTATGTATCATTTTTATCTTATACATTATCTTGCATTATCTTATTGGAAGAAAATGCCTTTACTGGTGATTTTTTTCTTGTGGGTTTAGAAATACACTCAGTCCTGTTACTAGTCCTTTAGACCTGTCAGCAGCATTTAATATTGTAAACCATCAATTGTTTCTCACTTTCTTAGAGGAGAGCATCTGGATCAAAGACAAACCTCTTGAGTATCTCCACTACTGTCTGAATGGCAGGACACAACAAGTGTCAGTTGAAGGAATTTTGTCTGGTCTATTGGAACTAGTGCACAGTATTCCTCAAGGAAGTGTACTGGGTCCTCTCCAGTCTTGTATTTCTACGCTACTTCTTGGTGAAATCACTTGCTTTCATGGAATTGATTTCAATATATAGACGCTCTTGATACTCTGCAGCATCATGATACTCAGCTGTATACTCCCTGTAATATTTTTAAAAAACTCTAAATTTTTACAAAACAAAAATGAAAAGCAGTATGTCTGGTCTTGGGGCCTGGATGGTTAAGAACAAACTGATGATCAATGACAGTAAAACGGAACTACTCATCATCAAACAGTCTCATGACAAAATAGTTGTTATCAAGATTGGTGAAAATTTTGCTTTTAATGCAAAAAATACAGAGGTGTATGTAGATACCTCTGTTTATGGCCAAACAAATATCCCACATTTCTACATCATGCTTGTTTCACATCATAAGCATCGCATAACTGAGAAATCATCTCGTTGATTCCTCTACTGCTTCTGTCATAAATGCCCTTGTCACACCTCCAACTACAATCCGTTTCTGACTGCTAGAGAAAGTCAAATGTCCACAGTGCATTCAAAATATCTCTGCTCGTTTATTTACCCACACACCTTGTGACAGTCACATCATGGCTATTGTTCCTCAAACAACTTAATTGGCTACCCATTAGAGCTTGAATTCTCTTTATACTTAAAGCTGATGTCCATGCTGCTTTATAATGTATTTGTGGGATTTCTTCTTGCTTTATGTGATCCCTGCCCCTCCCTGCCAATAATGCTCCTCTGACCTTGTGCTTTTGACACCCTGAAAAGATGGACTTATCTCATATGGGGATAATTCTTTTCAAGTTGCAGCGTCAAATGAATTTCAACTTAACTATGCAGTATAGCTTCTTTGGAAACTTCTAAAAAAGGAATTAAAGACATATCTTTTGAAAAAAATTATAACTGAAATTTTATGACTCTAGGATTGTTTAATTACATTTAAATGGACTTGATGGATTAACAGACTTTTAATTATACATAATTTAAATCAATTTTTGTTAATGATTTTTTACTTATATTTTACATGCAAATTGTAAGTCTATTGAACATAGCTGGATTTTAGACTTAAAATAAATATTATTATTATATTTAAGATGTTGGTGATTGCTTTATACTAAGCTTTTTAGTTAATATCTCAGACACACATTAAGGGTCAGAATAACAGTAAATGCAAATTAAAGAAGACATTAAGTACTTCAGTATACAGTTTTTCCTTTGGTTGCATATTATATATGCAGTTCAATTACCCGCAGATGATGGAAATACAGCAAAGATTTTAAAGGATAAAAAATCTAGTGTCACACTTTACCCTACAGCAGTGACATGGTGTTTTCATGTCACCTCGATAGCTTTAGAGCTGAATATAAAGTATATTTGATTTTAAACTTTTGGTAAATATAATTATTATAATAATTCTTATTATTATTGTAATTATTATCATATTTCAAAGGTTCAAGGACCTTGGTCTATTGATTGATCAAGTTAAGAGTTGGTTTGACATATTCATACATTTTCTGCCATATGTAAATATTGAGATAAAGTAACAAGTGTGATGCACCCATGGCTGACAAGAAAGTTCTTTGACATCTAGCGTTAAATTGTCCTCAAAGCAAGCATGTTGTGAATAACATTAAGAACAGCCAGTCATGCACATTACTTACGTACATAAGCTAACTGTTTTGCAGTCTTTAAAAGAATTACCAGAATTTCTTAGAAGTTGTAGATATTTAATATTTATTTATGGAAAGGGTCAATATTTGTGCTGTATTTTTATTCTAGGAAGAGAAGCTGACTTCTGGTCAAAGCAAGAGACAAAAACAACAAGAAACAATAGATGGTAAGTCTTTTTTTGGCATGTGATGTTATTTTCTGGCCAGTCAGTGGTATACTGGTTTACTTTCCATTTGTGTTCATTTTATGTTTGGTATACAAAAAGCAATTTGTTTAGTCAGACTCTGTTAAAAAAAAAAGAAAAAAAAGTAAAAAATGAATGAAGTGGAGTAGGAAAGTGAAAAAAATGAGTATGTGCACTAAATACAAGTTGAAAAACACATAGGCACATGAACCTCATTAACAAATATTTAGAGCTGCTGTTGTTTGCTCTGGTCATCAAAGTAGACCAATTACAATTATCTGCCCATCATCTGTCAAAAAGTAATGGCAAAAAAACTGCCAAAAATACTGTTCAGAGTCAGAAATATTTTTATGTTGAATTAGACAGAAGGAAGTTAAGATTTTGTTATGACCCTGTTTAATCCAACATTGAGTGCCTGGAGTCGCATTTCACAACACTGACCTGTTGTGTGCTGCCTTGGGTCGCACCGACCACCTCTTTTGGCTGGCTCTAAGCTCCCGAGTACACTGGAAATATAAACTTAACAATTCAGTCAGCCTAAATAAGAAATGGAGGATCTAGCCTGAACAATGTTAAGAATTTGTAAATTCAGAATCTCACTCCTGTAGTGCTCGGTGGTTAACAATAACTTTTCACTTTGGTGTGTAAATCTCCCTGGAATAGTCAGGTTTTTTTTGTATAATCCTTAAGTAACTATTCTTGGTAAGCAGAAGTGATGATATTGCATTTAAAGTAGTTGCTATGAAAGCATCTTCTAAATCAAAGAGATTCTTACCCCTTTGGTCTTTTTATGGATTTTTGGTTATTCTTTACAAACTGTCTCAGTATTGATTCCATGAGCTGTAGCTTGGAGCATTGTGTTCTGTTTGCCTGGGTATGGTGAGATGGTTCTAACACATAGTGGTAAATGTTTGTTTTTTATATTCTGTAGAACTTATGCAGAAACTGGCCAGCAGTGACACGGCCTCCTCCACACTTGGTGCAGAACTACAGGACCTCAAGACACAGATATCAGGCAAGACAAAACTCCAGTTTTTTGTACAAGAACAGGGTAGAAAACACGGAATAATTTTATTCTTAACTGAAATGAAGACTATGAAGGTTTGCTAATGATCAGAAAACTGCCTTTTTCTTTTATGAATTGGGCAGAAAACTCCTATTTATTTTAAGCTTAACTCTGACAAAGATTCTGGGTATTATAGGCAAAGGGAAATTTTTGTATTTATGGGTTTTGTATATTTGTGAAAATGTCTAATTATTGAAATTTCATCTTCTTAGATCTCCAGAGACAGCTTAAGGCCAGTGATGAGAAGGGAGAACATCTCACAGAAGATAAAAATAAGCTGGTAAAGAAAATGTTCACTGTCTATATGAATTGCATTTATTCAAATCTTTCTCCGGTATATATTTTTTTGATGTATATTATTTTCACTGATGTAAATTCTAATGTTCACAGTAAAAAGTGTTTGTTGCTTGCAGTAGCCTTGTATGTGCAGTAAACTAAATTTGCCTGTCAGCTCTAATGTAGTAAAATGTATTGTATGGCAAAGCTGTGTGATACTAGCAATATAAGTTATAGTTTTCTAGGTGTCAGTCTCAATTTAAATTCAATAGTTTGATAATTACATACATTTTAATCATTTGTGTAGAAACAGATATTTGCCCATGAACACCGACTTACTGTCTGTATTATAGTTTAAATACAGAAAGAAATGTAAGGTTTTTAAGATACAGCTTCATGCATTCGCAGTGGCATGGCCAGCACTACACCCTGAAAACACTATATGAGTGCCACACCCATATCTGTCAACTACTGTCATGCTAATATATGTATGTTGTATGCTTTAGTACTGCTTGTATTGCACTCAATTTTATAGTCCATTTACACAGCCATCTTTCCAATATTTTCCAAGTCAAATTTGTTTCTTTTGGTTATCCCAAAATGCTGTAGAAATATATTTTCTGTTACCTTCTCCATTGGTAAAGTAAATGCATCCACTTGAAGATGCCCATTAACATTATTAACATGGAAAGAAAGGAAGAATAGAAGTTCAGGGAGGGGGGGTCAACTATGTCTTCTGATCAACATGAAAGATGGCTGTGGTCTTAACTTACCCCCAAATCTTTTTATGTTGTTGTTTTCTTAAAGGAGCATCAGATAGCAGAGCTGATGAAGCATTCAGGAGACAGCTCTGAGCAGCTCTCCATGATGAATGAACAGCTGCGCGAGAAAGATAGGTCAGTCTTGTCATCTGCGCTTTTGGTTTGTAGTCTTATTTTTCATGTGTGTGTGTGTGTGATTTAAAAAAGTGTTTAAGTTTATGATTTGTTGTGCTTCTTCAGTTATTTTGACATTACTCCCACAGTGATATTATTTATCAAATGTGAAAATGAATTTGCTCTAATATGATATATAGCCTATAATGATATAAGCTTATATGTGTCATATGTTAGTAAGTGCATTAATTAAATTATAACTACTAAGATATTTTGATGATATAAGCTTTAAAGCTTGTCTTTGGGGCTTGCAAATACAACCTGTAACCATAGTTTTGAAAACCATTTTGTCTTTAGTTGCCAGTTATGTTGTTTTGAATACACAAGATGCAGAGTATGTTAGCTTTTAACATTAAGTGTTCATAATGCTGTTCCAAAAATGTTAATGGTTTGCCATTTTAAAACAAGCCATTGAAATACTATTATAGTGATGTTTTTGGTGCTCAAAAATTTATTTAGATGCCTAAGTGATTACACTTTTTATAGAGAGAAAAAGTGGAAACAAACATTTGAAAACATCACATCCGATTATCTGATGAAATTGTGTGATATGCTATATTTTGTATACTAAAACAACCGATTAACATTTCTTCTAAACTCAATTTTGCAATCAACAGAAAGCTGGAAGAGCTCCAAGCAAGCTTGTCCAGCTCTACACAAAAAGTTGGAAAACTCGAAGACCTCCTTCGACAGGGCAAGGAGCAGAGTGAGGCGGAGACAGAGGTGCTCCTGTCCAAGCACCAGCAGGACATTAACTCTTTCCAGGAGAGACTGGATGAGATGGTGAGGGGGCACCTGTGTTATCACTGAAAACTAGTTGCTATTACCTCTGTGATGTTTTTATTGTTTTGTGTGTTTGTGGGTATATACGTAAGAGAAAAAGTTATTTTGGAAAGAAAGAAGCAATTACAATTCAGTTCATATGGATCTCCCTGCATTTTTAAAGGGATTTTGGCCTTATTCTTTTATGAAAAGATAAAGTGTGTTCACCTTTCATGACAATGTTTTCATACAACTGAAATATAAGGAATTGTCTATTGGAGTAATCTTTTAAATGATACCAATTTCGGATTAGGCTGTGTCTTAAATTATATCCGAAGAATAAGTCATATCTTTAAGTTGGAAAAGACAGCTGAAACAACTTACCATTATTTGCATTGTAGCAAGAGGAACTAAACAAGTCCAACAACAAAATGACCAAAATGACAGAGACTTACGAGAAGGACAAGCAGGAGCTGGTGCAGAGGAAGGAGAGTGAAGTCAGTGAACTGAAGAGCCAGTTGTCAGCCAAGGAGGAGCAGGTATCACAACTGAACCAGAGTGGAGAGGACAGCAAGAAACAACTGCAAGAACTGAACAAGGAGAAAGAGAACCTCGTGGTAGGAAGGCATTATGAAGTTCCCGTAAAATATTGTTTGATTTGAAAAACAGAATTCCTTTTCTCTTAGAAAAAATTCTGTTGGAGATCGTTTGTTACATCAAATAGTCCAAGTACAGGCAAGCTGACAGAGTGGCATTGGATTAAAAATATTATTAGTGTTTCTTTCTCTTTGTTTGTAGATGTTTCTAAAGACCAGTCATTGCCATGAAAGTTTAATAATTTTGGTCAAAATGTATATACTTCCTAATGCAGTTTTATCACCTTGAATTATAATATTTGTTATTTTAGTTTGAAAAAGAGAAACTAGAGAAGCAGTTGAAAAGAACAGAGGAAGAAAAGAGCAGTATTCTCAAGGAGAAAGAGGATGCCGTTACAGAAAAAGAACAATTGCTTGCAGAGAAACAGAAAATTAAGTCAGAAAGAGGTTCCATGGACCAGCAAGTACAGCAGCTTGTCAAGGAGAGAGATGCAGCTATCAGAGAAAAGAATGAGGTAAAGAAATAAAGATTGAAATAAGGAAGGAAGGAATTGTGAAAATAACAAGAAAATGAAGGGATTTTCATTTTCCTAGCAAAAATGAACATTGGTCGTTTAATTTGAAATTAAGGTATTAACATTTGGAAGCAATTAGAGATGAGAGCAATTCATAAGAATGGAAAATACCATGTCTGTATGGTTTTTATTTCACATGTAGGCATTAAAGATCAAGGAAGAAGTGTTGGCTGTGAAAGAGAAGTTGGCCACAGAGTGGGAACAGGTGCTCAAGGAGAAAACAGACATGGAGAAAGCTTTGAAAGAGAAGAACCAAAAGCTGCAGGACATTGTGAAAGAGGTCAGTATTCTTTGTGGTCAGTGTTTTGTGTGGTCAAGATCAATTTCAGGTGTGGATAATGTTGCACTGATAATGTTATTGCATTGAGTGTTTCAAACTTTCCAATTCAGCTGTATCTCACACTGCAAATAAGGATGTACAAAAAGTGGTTGTTCTGCAATGTTTGATATTTGAGCAATAAAGATAAAACCCATTCGGTGTTCTTTGTTGTCATCTTTACTGATATTCTTAACCACTGGGCAATGGAATATCTCAAAGAACATTTACTTTCACATGTAAGGTTCCAAATATGGTGTCCACGGTATGTACTTGTATTTCTGAAACCAGCCTTAGTCATTCGTTTATTGCCATGCTAAAGTATTGGATGTATGCCCAGAGACTGGCAGCATGACTTTATTGCTTTCATATGAATGTTAAAGCTTTGGATGTATTTTGATCCAATTTTTACAATGTCAGCCAGAGACGTATTTTGGTTGTTGTTGTTATTGTTGTTGTACAACTTGATGTTAGTTGGTTTACAAACTGCTAGGAAGTTGAAAAATGAATTTTGAGATGTTATCTTTGTGTTTCAATATACTTTGAGTTGCACCTTTGCTTCGTAAAAAAATCCACAGTATTAGATTTTTTATTCACTTTTTCTACCTTGTTTTTAAGACATCCAGTTTTATTGTCCCCCCCCCCACCAAGTAGTACATTTACATGCTACTTACTGTTGTACATTCAATACTATCACCTTTCAAATATGCTTGTCATTTTTGCGATTTTTATTGCTAGTTTAACGTAACATATTCAATATCTTGTAGGAAAAATTATTTTTCTGCTTTTTTCTATTAATTTAATTTTTCATTGTTTAGATGAGGACATATGCTGTAGATATATTTTGTCTGTCAATATCTTTTATAGGATATTTAAATATTTTAATTTATATAGGATATTTTAAGACAGTGTAGAATAGATTATGTGATTTTCTCTCTGGAAACAATCTGTAATGCCTAGTCTTTGTCAGTTTATTAATTATCTAACATACTATTAGGTTAAAATTTGGTGGTCACGCCCTGTGCCAAAAAGTTATAGTATTGGGAGGAAAACAGTACTTATGCAACTGTATTATTTATTTATCATTTATTATTTTAGGTTGAGAAGCTTCGAACTGAATGGTCTAATCAAAAGTCACAGTTAGAAAAGAGCCAGCAGGAATCTAGAAAAGATATTGAGAACATGGAAGAGCTTCATAAACAGCTGTGAGTACAGAAAACATTTCAAGGGGTTTGCTTGGACACTTCAGCCTTCAAACAACTTTTTTATTGCCCCCTAAGCCCCCCCCCCCCCCAAAAAAAAAAAAAAAAAAAAAGATAATAAAGGAAAAGAAAAAAGAATGGAAGAAGTACAAATTAAAATTGAAAAGTTATTATGCAAGTTTGGACTTAAGCTATGTATTAGCATTGATAAAATGCCTTAAATTAGGCCTGTTATCATTCTGTTCCAGTGCTGGTCTAAAACAAAACATTGAGGACTACCAGAAGCAATTAAATTCTACAGAACATGAGAGAAATGCCTTGAAACAAGAGGTGGAGACACTCAAGGCAGTGCAAAAGGAAAAAGAAGAAGTAAGTTTCGCAGTTTTGTTTACATGATTGGCATGTTCTGCTGTGTAAAAAAACTTTTTTTTTTTGCATTCTTTAACAAAAGTGGAATATATTTGAAATAAAAGTACCAATACTTTTACTCTTTATTTACAGCTGGAAATGGAACATAAGAGTCTACTAAGTGAGCTGGAGAATGTTAAAGACAGGTATGTAGTATTTATTATAAGCTACAGGTGTGCTTCTTGTTCTCCATTACTATTTTGACAGCCACATTGGAGCATTATTTGCTGAACTTGTGCTGAATTTGAATATCTTTAAATTGTTCAAATTGAATTGGAGATGCAAAATATAACATTTTTCAGCATATTTTGAACAGTTTTATACATCTTTCATTGAATGAATTTGTGATTAAGCAGAGTAGAAAGTGGCATTTTTTCATTCTCTCTACATTATGTATAATAACTTACAAATTTTATCTTTTTCGGAACTTATGAAATGGCTCACTTAACCTTTTATATTTGGTAAGAATAACATATATAGTGTGGGCTATATATCTTCATACAGATATAACCTAAACATTTTATGTATGCTTAACCTTTAACAAAATAAAAATGCAGCAACTGTGCTGCTGCTCATATTTTGCTAAGGGGTATGTACATACAGTTAGTTGCTAAACTAGTCCATGGTATATTTATGATATCCATCATGGCAAGCTTTTCAGTGGTTTTCTGTTGTGTCCGTTTTGCAAATTTTCAAGTAGTTAGAGTGCTTTTTGATGTTGTAAGTCCTGCACAGCTCATCTGTTTCTGTGCACATCCATCTATTTAATGTACATTTGTCACGAAAGATGGTATGACTTAGCATCAAAAATGAAATATTTTTTGTTTGTTTTAACATTTCTCCCTTTACATTTTTCTTTCATTTATTTTGTTAAACTTATTTTGTTATTAATTTACTCATGAAGAAAATTTAGGTTATGAACATAGGGATCTGTGTATGATCATTAATTTTTAGCACTATATGAATATATCATCATGAGACTTTGTGAAGTGGTCTTTCAAGGCTAGCCTGAGGGACAGACCCACTATACAGTTCTCTAGTAATATTGTGATAATGAAGGCAATTGAATAGTAGTTTAAAATGTTACAGTATGTGAGAACATCATATGAAATCAAACCTACCTCAGTGGAATGTTGAATTTTTAATTATTTAATGTTATGTTCCATATACAACGTGTTGGTAATTTTGACAAGAATTGTTGTTTATTTGCATTTTGCATAACCAGAATGATTTTATTGTTGTCTTTTCTTTTTGCTTTTGATGTATAGTCATATGATATTTGGCTTGGAGAGGGGTAATACTAGCCAGTCACTTGGCATTATACCAGCATGTGTGGTTTTTATAGGGTTTTGTAACATTTGAATGTATTTATGTGATGCTGAGTTCTCACTGAAAGTGATTGAGAGAGGAAATATAATCTATTTGGTGCATTTAGAGCTTTATTTGATACTATACGATTTGTATAGTTTTGCAAGAGTAAGTTTGGATATTGTCAGTTTAAAAAATGAATAGAGTGAAAACTTTTGAAATGTAAGGTCTGATCCTTGTTTGCTTATCTTTCTTTTACTGAGATTGTTTTAATATGGTGATGATTTTTATCAAGTCATGTTATAATAATTTTTTATGATGTTTCAGTGCCAGGAAGCAGACAGATGACTATGATGTGGAGAGATCTGCTCTACAGAAATCTCTAGAAACTACTAAGCTACTGCTGCAACAGAAAGAGAAGGAGGTAGAGCGCCAAAAAGGAGAGGTAAGACTCACACTTTCCCTCCAGTGTGGTTGTACACATCCTTGGTTAGAATACCCATCTTGTATCATAATGATATTTAATCCTTGGAACTATAAGTAGTTAGATACTACAGTGAAATGAACATAGAGTACATTTGTCTATTAACCAAAAACATTCTGGGAGGATTTATCTTTGAAATTATAAATTGCATTTTATACATATATGTATTTAATTGGTTTGGAAATGATGTTAAGTTGCATGCTATCCTCATAGATCCCATGATGGGTAAAAAAGACATGCAGATTAAACTGGTTTGGTTATCACCTCTGTGTTTCAGATTGTGAGTTTGCAAGGGGAGACCACACTGCTGGGCAGCTACAAGAGTTCTATGGAGAACCTGGAACATGACAAGACCAGGCTGGAGAACAAGGTGAAGTCACTGCAGAGAGAGCTGGACGAGATGAAGAACAATGCCATCAATGTCAATGACTCTGGTAGGTCACAATGCCAAGGTCATTTAAGATGTGACTCTGTGATGAATTGAGATGATGATGAAGTGAACTTGTACCTCTTTTGTTGTCAGTACTTAAGATTTTAAGATTTATTTTTGTGTAAATGTTGGCTTCATATATTCTAGGGGATGCTGCAATGATCAAGTTAAAGGAAGAAAATGTGGCAGCTGCTGGTCAGATAGACTTCCTCAACTCTGTCATTGTGGACATGCAGAGGAAGAATGAAGAGATGAAGCTGAGACTCGAAGCCATGGAGAAAGGGGATTTCATGAATGGAACTCTAGATACATCTGGAGATTCACAGTAAGTTTTTAACAAAAAATAAAGCAAGGGGCATTTACTTGGTAGGCAAATAAAGATGAAACTGCTGTCATGATTTAGTTTGGAAATATATTAAGTGGTTTAAATCTTTAGACTAAATTGTGAATTGTTTTAGCTCATCTGCTTGCCTAGACACATTCCTCCTGAAAAAATTTATTGTCTTCTTGTAAAAATTTGATGTCTCATGAGTTTTCAGTTTGCTCAAGTTCCAAATTTTTTACTCTCATCATCATCAATTTCTTTTATGGGGACTGGCATCTAGGGTACTGACAAAGTATTTGTTACTCTAAGCCTATTCTAATAGATAGCTGGCATTTCACTGCTCATCAGGTATGTTGTTCTCACGTCATCTTGTCCCGTCATTCCAGCACCCCGCCCCGTGTGGCTGCTCCCAGAATGTTCTGTGATATCTGTGATGTGTTTGACCTCCATGACACGGACGACTGCCCCCAGCAAGCCATGTCGGACAGTCCGCCAGCCACACACTACCATGGCTCCAGGGACGAGAACAGGCCCTACTGTGATATATGTGAAGGTGAGCAGCATTCTTTGGGCTTAAATGTAGGTTATAGAGTTTTTTAAGTTTATATTTTTTTTTGTGACATTAAAAAGTAATATTTAATTTGTTTCATTAATGAAAAGAATGGTAGAGGTTAAGTCCAAGACATCAAAAGAAATTTTTAAAGTAAATCTGTAAGTTCAGCTGCATTGCAATTCTTGTGTTGGTTATAAGCTCTTGTCTATGATATTTGTTGAAGTAAATAATTTTAGACAAGATACCAAAGGATTAAGATGTACAGGCACATATATCCTTAATTCTTGGATTTCAGTGTTTGGCCATTGGACTGCAGATTGTGATGATGAGCAGACATTCTAGGAAGTCCACAGCACCATTGCCAAGCACAGTACTGCTCAAGGAAGTGTTCAGCCCCATTCCATTAAAACTTGCCTGGCAATACAGCACTTAGCCCACACTGCAGCCCACATGGCAGCTGTGTGAACAGAAATAATGATATTATGTACAGTGAAGTTTTATTTACAAGGTTGTTCCAGTTTAGGCTACATTACATGGTGGATGTGGGTCAGTTAAGAGTACCTCATGTGGAGTTCAGCCCAGTCTGTTGTAGTGTATGCCCCTGAAATTGGTTTTCTCATTCAAGTGCCTTCCTGACACTGCTGCCTAATGCTTTATGTGTGTGATATTTTTTTTTATTGTAATTGGTAATCTGAAATCTGAACAACCTCCAGACCTCTGGTTGAAGGTCACCCACTTTTTTCTTCTCACTTCTTTCTTACAATCCATGCCTTATTTACACAGCTCAAACACTACTGATGTGTGAAAATAATTATTTATGTTATTAAGTCATTTGTTTTATTGCGTAAATGAGCAAATAGGAGCATCATTTTAAAGAAGTCCCTGAGGAAGTTTGGATCTTCAAGTCAATCTTTGGATAAAATGTTATCCTTTTTTCTCAGGATTAAGGGCTACGTAGGAAATTAATGTTAAAGCATTGTAAATTTAGAAATACTTACAATAGATTTTACAGAATTATGGGAGATTGGAAGGTTAAAGATCTTATTCTCAATATAATATTTTGTCCAGACATCAGTTTGTGCACTTTGCTTACATTTATCTGCATATTATTTGTACTTTGTTCATAAGCATTAATTCAAATTTAGAAGCTCCTACAAGAAATAATTGTTTTGTGCAAGACCAGTTGCACAGTGCATTCCTAGAAGAATGACTTTAAGTGACTGTTAGTGAACAAAAACAGTTCCAAATAAAGATGTTTACATGTTTTAAAGTTCTGAAATACACCATGGCACATATATAAGATAAATGCATTGCTGCATATTTATTGCAAAGTCCATTTTCATGCAATGTGTATTTTGCATGATGATTTCATAGCTTTGTATGAATTGCCTATGTATTCAAATATGAAATATAAATATGTATATATTGGTCAGAATTTGTTTTGTCTTATTTGTCATCTAACATTATCCAACATTATTGAATTCTGTTCAGATGTTTTTGCTTTGGATGGAACACTGTAAAATGTTTCTTTACTTAATGTATATCACTTGCGGCCCAAAATACATATTCCAAGTTGAATTTAAAGAAGAATACAACTCTAACAATATTTTACATGTGCGTGCCTCAGCCATATTGCAGTTAGCGTACTAATAACTGACGCTGTATAATGACAATTTGGGTGTGAACGAGCACAGCTACTGCATTTGTCTGTAGCAAAGAGGCAGTTTGCCTCATTTTATGACAGCAAAAGTATTATAGATCGGGGAATGTAGGGGAAATAAATAATCGCAGACTAACTAACGTGGGAGGCGGTAATCCATTGTCAAGTACACGCCATATTTGATCCGCGGACTAGTTAGTCCGTGGAACAACTGGTCGTGAAAGCGGACATTCATTATTGGAATAATGTTGCGACATATGTCATTGGATATGTATGCACGCTCTGGACAGGTTAAAGCTGCATTGGGCGTAAAATTTAATGGGCAGGGGGTGGGTAATATAGCACATACGCGTCTTATCTGGCGCTGTATCATTGCCGTTCGTTGGCCTCTAACGTTATGCATTCTGGTCATCCAACCACCATTGCTTCGGCCTGCATAATTTGCTTACAGAGCCTCCTCCTCTCGCGTTTTCCTTTCAATTACTGTAGTTATAAGCATTCGCACAAAAATTCATGCCAATCTTTAACAAATAATGTTGTATAAAATGAGACTTATGTATTGAAGTTAAATCTTATGCATAGAATGGCGTGAACTTTTCCGAAAACTTCACTGATTTGCGAAAATGAAATATGCAAAAAAAATTTGATAAGGACTGCCCTGTATCGACTTATGCGGTGTTTTTCTAGTTAAAAAACGTAAGTCCTGGGCTACGTGTACCGCAAACTGTTGTTTACAAGATAGATAGCCTGGAAAGAGGATAATATCCCGTCCACAACTGATCTACCACCAGAAGTGGTCAGATAGCATCACTGTGATGACAAAGCATGGATAAATTTACAGCTATTTTTTTCTTGGTGAACAGGTCTATCTGAAGTTAAAGTCATAAAGGGCATATTTCATGTACCCTATCGCAATTTTAAAAAATGTTGCGTTTTGTGCTTGATTGGCAGTGTAGAATTAACTTCATAATTTATTGGATAGAATGAAAATTTGAAAATAAAATGGCGGAGATGCTGTTTAGATGTCTGAACCATAAGGAAAGTCCAAAAATGGAAAACGCGTTGGATGCATTATTTTCAATTTCAGAAAGTCAGGTCGACATCTGGTATTTTAAAAGAAAAGCACCCATAGTAAACCCACAATTTTTTTCAGAGAAAAGTAGAGCAATTTTTTATATAAAAAAGTTCAATAAAACTCCAAATTAAAACACACACACACACACATTAAAAAACATATTTGAGTTGCTGAAGACAGTTCTCGCAGGAAGCTGCCAGCATGAAATCGACTTGTAACACCGCATTGAAGTCACTACATGAAACGTGCCAGTTACATAGACATACAGTGAACACTAACACACCTATATAAAAAATCTTATTTAACAAAAACAAAAACAAAAAATAAAACAAAACAAAAAAAAGAAAAACATTAGTGAAGTCAAAAATCCAATTGTACTTAGGACCGAGGTCTTGTCCTTACTTAGTCCATATATTATCTTCAAAAACATGGCGTGACCTAGAACGAGTAGGCTAATATATTTTCTCATGACATGTCTATTACAATCTGTCTAAAACTGAAATTGTTCGTTCCATTTAGTTGGTGTGATAACAAAAGCACGTTAAGTAAATTGAGTGTGTCTAACAGTGGTAGAAAAATTTAAACTATTGCCAGAATGGACTGAAGTGGAAGATATCAAATTTAATGCATTAGATAATCTGTAAATTTGCTGTAATCTTGATAAAATAAGATTACGTCCCTACTTTGATCAATGCTGGAAAATTGGCCTTTCATCCTGCAGAAATTGTACAACAATTTTATTTATTGAAATGGGCACACTTACACATAAATTACAAGAATTAATTAAAAGATGGACGAAGTTACCAAATTCTGTCCATGGTTAAATGTAAGAAAAATCGGGAGCCTTTAACTTGATATAAATAACAGTCGTTAACCAAAGGCATGTAATCTCTTGATCGAAATCAGCAACTACAAAGGATCAGTCCTCGAAAAAAGTGAATAACAAAGAATTAACCCCGTTTTACTGTCAAAGGCTTGTCACATTCTGACAGATATTAATGTATTGTATTTGTTCACAAGCTTTTTACCCAAACATTGGCTTATGCATATTTTTGACAGCCGTAGTTTGTACACCAACGTCTCTTTACTGGACGGTTAAAATTATTCTACAATATATCTAGATTTCAAGGTAATTATTTTAATACATTTTCTTTTTGGTCGGGTGGGTCTTTAAAAGAATTTACAATACGCCCAATAACTGCAAATACAGATCTATCGTATTCCACCCGAAGCACCTCTCAGTTTGGACGTGACCCTAACGCTCCTCTTGGTCAGTTATCTTCTTAATTGCGATGCATGACTCAGGCTCCGTCACGCTGGTCATAGCAGCACGAAAATAACCAAAAATGGAGACTTGGGGCATTGTCATCTCTCCGGGGATCTGATGTCATACCTCCGGATTCATTAAGTCATCCTTCTATGTCCGTCTGTTTCCGCCACAAGGGTAGTGGAGCAGTAACACTCGTGTATGGGATTGGCACGTCGTTAAAACAATTAAAAGTATACTGTACGCGTTTGAAAATTTCCCAAACTCATATCTTCTATGTTAATATGTCCTTCAAAGCTTCTAATATTTCTCAATTCAGACCTTAAAAAGTATAAACCTCCTCAAAATAAATGTACCTGACATTTATATTTTCTTCTGAAATGTACAGGGAGACATTAAAAAGTCACTGAGAACTAAATAATTAAGTTAAACATCAAAGGAGGGACGGGTCGAGCAATTATTCATGAGTAAATTGCTTTTTTTTTCGAGGAAAATTCTATTTGGCGGGCAAATCCCGTATAGAGCATCTTTAATTTAGAATATAAAACATTTTATTAAAAAAAAAACTTTAGGTATCTGTACAACTCCTGTCGAGATCTATTATAGTTTTAACTATAACAGAAATAGTAATATTGCAAGTTTCGCCTAAACATGATTGTTGATTTCTGTAATTTAATCAATTTAATCAAGAAAGGAAAGCGTTTTTGTTCCTTTCAAGGTGACCATAAGTGAACGCTCCGCCATACAAATGCACATCTGTGCTTGCAATATTTTCCCGAAGATGTGAATAATCACTTTTATGTAATGATTCACATTAACAATGTAATACCTCCCCCGGGCTTCGGATGCACGTAATAATTATAAATTACACCATTCCTGAAAAATGCCGGTTTAAAATTTGTGTCAGATTTTCAATGGCCATACACAATACTCAGACCACCTAATGACCGCCAAGTACCCTACGGGACCGCCCCGTTAGCGATAAACTTATAGATGTGACCAGATAGCACTTCTGAGCACTTGACACTCATCGTGCTACCTCTGTCTGCCGTGCGTGTCTAAACACACTGATAACTCATCGTTACAGATCTGCTGATTGTGCTGTGGCTTTAAAAACAAACGGATCACCTCGGCGGGCGTTACTTACTGATTTCGCTCCTTCTCTCACACACCTGCCAGTTAAAAAAGCAACGGTGAGTACACAATTTTATGAAAAGTTCGTCGTGCTTTTTATTGAAGTAACGGCTGTTCACAAATATGTTATATTTACTAATTACTAATATCAATCTAACCAAAAAATCAACTGTTAATTTACTTTTTTTTTAATTTTAGATGAGACTGGCGTTGGCATTTTTAGTCTTTGCGCCCGTTTTTGTCGCGGCAACATCACTTCCACAAGCACGTTCAAAGCGAGTCGTACCACGTAAGATATGTTAAAAGGAAAAAGGAACGGAAGACCTCTGTTTATTTTTTTTTTTTTTACATAAATAATACACTTTTCTTTCAACAGTCATCACCATTAAAAAGTGAAAACATTTCCATCCGTTAACATTTTTTATCTAATTGTCAAGGTATCAATCATTTTGTAAGTTTTTTAGCCTTGACCAAGGTGTGAAGATAAAACTTCTTAGCTGAAAATAAAAAAAGGAAATGAGGCAACATAAACGATGCTCTCCTTAACCTCTGTTTTTCTTTATCAAACAACTCAATCTTGTCGAATATCATATTGCGAATAAATAAAGGACGACTTTATTCCTTGTTTTAATATTTATTTCCAGCAAATAAAAAAGTGGTGTGTTACTTTACCAACTGGAGTACGTATCGAACCGGAAAAGACAAATTCACCCCAGCCGACATCGATCCCAATCTTTGCACTCATATAATATATGCCTTTGCCAACATTGATGTGGACGGTCTGACGATCGAGGCCTCAGATGCCTACGCTGATTTAGGTAAGATATCAATGTTTTATCTCTCTATGGGTCACCGTGCGGCCAGTGATTTCGCCATATTGTACAGACATGCATTGAAATAACTATTTTGGGATATCGTATGTTCTGACATTGGTCGAAAATAATATGACTTAGAAAAGCTTTAAAATATGCAAATGTGGCTGTCGTATTGTTTGACCGCTGTTTGAACCAAAAATGAAAAAAAAAACATTCCCATCACCAGTCTTTACTTTCGTGACACAAGACGATCTAGTATTTTCTCAGTTATTATAGAATTCAAATTTATTCAGAATTGGGGTATAGGTTGTAAACAAACGCAGATTTATGATATGCATTATTTACCTAAAACGCGTTGTCTGTGTATTTTGTGTACATGATTTGTCACACTGTTTTTTTGTTTTCAGAGGAAAATGGCGGACTTGGCCACTTCAAAGCAATTACGAACATGGCGAAACAGCATCCTCATCTAAGTGCCTTACTTGCAATCGGTGGCTGGAACGCAGGCTCCTATGGGTTTATTAAAGTTACCAAAGATCAACAAACCATGGAAACCTTTGCCAGAAACACTGCTAAATTTCTGCGAGACCATGATTTTGATGGTTTAGATGTGGATTGGGAATATCCAGTGGAACCGTACAAATCTTCATTCACTCGTTTGGTGCAGGTTTGTGTTCGTTTTCTGTTTTCTTTGAAGAACACTGTAGAAACATACCGTGATACAAATACCATATATTGTACTCTTTTTTTTTCAAATATTAACTTTATTCTATTGTGATGAATGGCTTTAATAGAACTCAAAGAAGCCAACGCCTTCAATTATTAGAAACAATAGTACAGTTTGTGACACCATTTTTGCATCTACCACGAAGTGATTTCAATATTTCAGGTCCTTAGACGGGAGTTTGACGCAGGACAGCCACGGTTGTTGCTAACGTCCGCTGTATCCGCAGGCAAAGGCACCATTAACGTCGCTTATGATGTACCAGCGCTTGCAAGGCACGTCTGTAGAACTTCAGCAAAAAATAAATATATCAATATTAATGTTAAGATAAAGGATTGGAACAAATTTAAATTACAAAAAAAAGTATAATCAGAATTGTTTTTCCAATTTACACACATTTACACACAAGTTATGTGGTCAGATTGTGCCTTTTAACACATGTATCTGCGTTTGTGTTTTGCTACATGATTTAAGCTTCTTGTACATGTAAATGCCATTATGATTTTTTATATCCATATTTTTTATTACAGGGACCTTGATTTTATCAATGTAATGACGTACGATTTCAATGGTGGCTGGAGCTCCCACGTAGGTCTAAACAGCCCGCTGTACGGAAGATCCACAGAGAAAGAATGGCAAAGAGCCGAACTTAACGCCGTTAGTAGTCATATTTGTTCTATTAATGAATTAATATTTGAAATTATCGTACTCTACACACACACACACACGCACGCACGCACGCACGCAAATACACATATACTTGTTTTAGAATGTGATGAATGTGATGTTGCCAGTTGTGTATATGATTTTGAAATCACGCTACACTCTGATTGGTTTATAATCAAACAAATTCGTTTTCAGAACGCCGCTATGAAGTACTGGGAACAGCTCGGAGCGCCCAAATCTAAGCTTGTAATGGGTATGCCCACCTACGGCAGGACGTTTAGGCTCAAGTTCCCCACCGAGTACCGCGTCGGAGCCCCAGCTATGGGGGCTGGTGTGGGCTACAACTGGGAGGCAGGGTACCAACCGTACCATCAAGTATGTGGACAGGATATTACTTTCGTGGAAGCTTTTTACTATAATTTTGTCAATTCATTTTCTCTCAAATATAATTCAATCTGGCGATAAAAATCCATGCAAACGTTCAAAATTTCTAAGATCGAACCTAGCCTCCAACGACATATATGTTAGTTTCGCTGCTATTTGCAAAAATTGTGCACTTTCTACATACTCCAAAACTTGACATAAGTTTTCTATTGAACTACAAGCGCCTTTTAGAGACCACTAACACAATGTCGCTCTTCCAGATATGCACAATGGTGACTGAAGGAGGCTATCAGCCATTCTGGCATTCCGAGCACATGGCTCCGTATGCCGTCAATTTGGAAAACTGGATTGGGTTCGACGACAAAAAAAGTATTGCATTAAAGGTAAATGTAATTACTTTATTAGCAACTACAGTATGTTCAATACTTAAAATATTTACGTCCTCTGTAAATGATTTCCTAAAAGGATCAAGTCTACCTTCTAGCTTCTCTAGCATAAAATTAAGCAAAAAATAAAGGGATGGAGGTTGTATTAGGCCTATAGACAAACGTTTTAAAATCCAATTTCGTTTTGTATAATTTGCCAAATTCTCTCTTCTAGACTCAGTACGCTATCGATAACGATTATGCTGGCGCTATGATCTGGGCACTGTCTTTGGACGATTTTAATGGTGAACATTGCTCAATGGGAAAGTACCCTCTACTAAGGACAATCAACGATGTTTACAACAATAAGGTGGATCCCGACGCTCTTCCAATCCCATTTGAAGAAGTGCGTGGAGGTTATGTGGAAGGAACAAGCACAGGTGGCAGTGGACCTATCGGAGGTGGTACTGGTACCGGCAATGGCGGTACTGGCGGTGGCACCATTGGTGGTGGTACCGGAGGTGGAGATACAGAAACGCCGAAAGAGAAATGGTGTTACATCCCAACTCTCCAACCATTCTGTCCACAAGGTATTTAAAACAGTTTAAAGTGTGATAAAACCGTTTGTCTCAAAAAATCACCTTACTGCAGTTGATCTCCCGAAGTTTTCAAAATATATTTTCCACGTTTTAAACAACATCTAATCGTCTTCTCCAGGAACCTGCACCAAACCTGGGGAGGCAGCTCACCCATCTGATTGTACAAAATACTGTAGCTGTGTCTGGGATCAGAACAATAATGCCTACATTGAATGGGCACGATGTTGCCCCGAAAACCAATATTTTGACCCCAGTCGAAAATGGTGTGTGAGGAACGCGGCAGTTTGCCCCACTGGGACAATTGGAGATGGAGGACAGGGGGGAGGAGCCGTGACACAGGCACCTGCTCTGCCAGATCTCACTATGGCAGGTTCTTGTCCAACAGGTACGTTTTATGAATTTGAGTACCCTTGGCTGCCAACACACACCAGCTATTTTTGAATAATAATCTTTACCACATCATTGTTGCAGAGTTACCGTTGTGTTAGTTTGTTTAATAAGTGCACCTTATATAATCTGATTTCTGAAAATGCATGTAAGATAATATTATTCAATTTTACACCAGAATGTCCGCTTGGCGACGGAAAGTACCAACATCCAACAGACTGTTCGAAATATTGTACATGTGACATTGCCGGCAACAACAAGATAACCGAGGAGCGCTGCCCCGAATTTACATACTACAACCCAGATATTTCACTGTGTGATTACTCAAATGCAGTTTGTGGTAATACTGGTGGTAATTCTGGCGGCAACACTGGTGGCAGTACTGGTGGTGATTCTGGTGGCAACACTGGTGGCAGTACCGGTGGTGATTCTGGCGGCAACACTGGTGGCAGTACCGGTGGTGATTCTGGAGGCAACACTGGTGGCAGTACTGGTGGTAACACTGGTGGAGATATGGGCGGGAACAATGGCGGAAACACAGATAGTGGCACTGGAAACACTGGTGGCAGCGGTGGGGTTATTGATTCCGAAGCTGGAACTTGTCCACCAGGTACGAAATGAGTATTTTTAGACAAAAAACTACGTAACGAACCTCATCTCATTAGTATTTATCTATCTGACCAAATTTGTGCAACATATTCAACAAAATATTATTTTTCTACTTTCAGACATTTGCATCGGTTCGTTAAGCATAATTCATCCACACCCCACGAACTGTGCACTCTACTGTTCGTGTGATATCACCGGGAGCGGCAGGGTGTTCCAGCAGTCGTGTCCAGCTGGGCTGTACTATGATCCCGTCAATTTTTGGTGTGACTATACCTGCAAACAAAATTACGGCAGCGGTAGCAACACCGGTACAAGTGGCGGCAGCGGTGGTACAAGTGGCGGTAGCGGTGGCACAAGTGGCGGTAGCAGTGGTACAAATGATGGTGGTAGCGGCCCAAGTGGCGGAAGCAGTGGTACAAGTGGCGGAAGCAGTGGCACAAGTGGCGGAAGCACTGGCACAAGTGGCGGAAGCAGTGGTAGCATCGATGGCAGCACCGGTACAAGTGGTGGTGGTAGTAGCGACAGTGATACTACTGGAGGAAGCAGCGGCTCAAGTGGCGGTAGCAACGAAGGCACCGAAAACAACGCAGATTGCTCTACTGGTGGGTTTATTAATAGTTTCGGATGTTATAAACTGTAAATTGATTTCACGTCTAGCACGTTAATTAGCTCTTTATTAAGTATGTAAGATAAAACTTGGAGGTAAACCTACTCTCTATTCTCATTCTTAATCCCACTCCACTACACTGTACACAACCTTAAAGTCATAAATTGCCGTACCTAAAATTTTCAGTATCGCTGAACTTTGAGACCTTGTTAACGTTGTTTACTGACATTTGCCATTGCTGTATTTTTCCAGTCTTCTGTGAAAAATGGTGGCCTTACCAGCGTCACCCGTCAGACTGCGGCAAATATTGCGAATGCTTACAACTGAACGGATACTATGCTATAGAACGGGCCTGCAGCGCTGGGCTTCACTATAACACTGCCGGATACTGCGACTTCCAAGCAAATGTCAATTGTTAAAACTGAACGTTTTCATAAACGTCAGCTGGTCTGAAAACAGTATTTTAATACCTTACTAGTATATATATAACTGCCCGTATTTTTACCTCACTATTTTTATACATTTGTTAATAAGTTTGTGGTTAATGTCTGTGAATAAAAATTTAACACTTATCTTTTGTACCTTTCATATTCACATTGATTTTTGTGTAAGAAATCATGGTATATCAAGATCTTCAAATCTCTCTCTCTCTCTCTCTCTCTCTCTCAACTGCACTAACTGGTGAAACAAAAACACCAACTAAACTGCATTATATTATTGATACCTATTTCTCTACAATTTTTCCCGCTTCATACTTTTTCCTTGTCATTCGTAAATGCAATGCATATGAGCCAAACCACTGAGACCCACTTGGCATTATTATGAAGGTATAATTTATTTCACACATCACTGTCACATGACCGCGTACGCATGCACAACAAACCTTACCGTACAGGGTACATTGTGCTACAGCTCGTTAACCTACAAGTCATATTTATAGCTAGCTCGGTTAACTTAAAACGTCGACATTAAATATGAATTCCTCCGAAGAAAGTTTTAACATTTTCCGGACCAACCGGGTGCCTTTTGAAGTAACCACGAGAATTCCAATGGAAAGACCATGGAGACCAACTATGCTAGGTAAGATGTTTCAACCCCCAAGCAACATATGTCTGTTAATCGGCGCAGTGGAAAGATACAGTATTTATGCTAGTTAGAATGGGAGCATTTCTTGTGAAATTTAGTGGCGGGATGTAGTTTTCTTTGCAAGCCGCTTACATGATCTTATAATATACCAAATTTTTAAAGCTCTGTAGCTTTTATTAGCGCAATGTCTCTAAGGCAGCTTTGTTTTTACATATACTCTTTAATGCGAACAGGTAGGAAGGGCAGCAACAGCTACCAGGGGCGACTAAAGAAATCAAATATTCTAAGGCACTTATTTAACAAGAATGAAAAAGAAACGCTCCATTGAGCATTATTTTGCCCATAATATCGCTCTTTAATCCATTTGTCGCACCTTTAAAATATCACAAAACAAGTGGTTAAATGTCTACACTGTGAACAATCGAAGCCTGTTGTTGTTAGGTAAGCTAAATGCATTGCGCCTTGCAATCGCTTTGTTGCGCTCTCTCCAATACACATTTGGCTAAGATATGCTTCTTAAAAAAGTACTTGCTTACTGAAGGAAAAAATGTAGCATCTGATAAACAAGTTGCTTGTTTAGCAAGTCAAAAATGCCTGGCAGAAATACCACGCTTTCCATTTTTTTATTCTAGTTCGCCCCAAGGACAAGAACGTGCCTCAGTGGCAGCACCCGCCGTCTCTTCCTGTGCGGTTCTACTCCCAGCACTCTGAGGACTACGTGTATAAAAGCCTGGCTCCGAGACCACATAGTCGTCCACAGCTGGAAATGAGATAGATCTTAAGAAAAAAAACTGCGTCAAAATTCTTATGGACCGAATAATCATGAAAAATTAACCTCAAGCAGTTTTATTTACATTATTTCTTATATTCACATTGCGCTAGCACGCTCAGTACATGTATGTACATTAAACGTGCACAGGAGTACAAAAAACAAAACCTGGGCTCGGGAATTGCGGTTGTGGACAGTGCACCCTCATTTCGAAACGTTAAAGTATTCAAAGTGAAAAAAAAAACACATCTTTGAACTTGATTTCTCTGATATTATAAAAAAAAAGAGCTTTCTTTGTTCGTGAATTCCTCGAGATCAAATTTCTGCATCATGGTAGCACTTCTTTTGTGGGGTGACATCTGGATTGTTCATTTTTCAAAATTTGCAGTCTAAAATACAATTGGTTCAAATTAGCTTGAAGAGAAAACCTGAAGTATTAAGGAACAAATTTTATTTACAATACAATAGTCTAACAACAACGTTATCTGTCGGCAGATGGTTGCCTACGTTACTCCATACATCTCTTTCAGATCTTGTTCATCAGAGTATTACGCAATATAGTCACTTGTAACCGTTTGAACTTTAGCGTTTGTTGTATCATGTTTTTAAACAAAAATGTACAATATACTGTTATCTGCACCATTCAAATCGATTTACTGAAGCTGTATACAATAAAGTCAAGCGCCTTTATTTTACAAAATACCGCGAGATTTAAATATTTCATAAAATGAACCCATGTTGACAGTACTCTTGTATTTCTTTTTGATCAATCCAAATTTATATAATAATATACAACTGAGTCCTTTATTTTGCCAATTCTCCTTAAAATAAGAATTGTAAACAGAATGCTACATTTCATCTTTAAAATTCATTTTTAACTGGAATCTTTTACTACGTATGCTAATGTGCACTGCTGAAATAAATGGCGAAATAATGGAATATCAGTGGGGATATAATGACTAGACTGGAGTGGTACTAGTGTGATTTATAAAACCAAATCACTGACAATAATTCACTTCATAAATATCATATTATACTGTAGTTACTGCTGAACACTGCTACTGGCTTACATCAGGAAGTGTACAAACACACCTTCTTTCATAATGAAACTTGAAAAATTGCGCATATCCATATAATTCTATGATACAAATTACATAAATCTCATAAAAGATTTCTCTATTATCTCATGATAAAATTTATACTGAATATATAATTGCACCAAACAGGTATTTCCTGGAAAGCGTAGCCATAAGATACATCTTATGCTCCTGCTTTTTTGAAAATACGCAATTCTTTATAATATTATCTGGAAGTCAAGGTAACATTATGGTTCAAGTGAAGAAATCTTAAACTCAACCAATTAGATTCTAATTAATGTAACTGATGGACCCTATTGTCCATCCATATTCCATTCAACTATAATTCATCAACATCATCATCATCAATTTTTAATAATAATATACAATAAGAAATAAAGCTGTGGGCCCCTCACATACTCTTTCAAAACTCCCTAGTAGTCAGTTCAATATCATCATTATCATTTATACTAAACTAAAAGTAATATTTATTGGTATACTTGTTACACAAATAAAATTTACACAACTTTACTATATTAAGATAATATTAAGTTCACAGTGTCACATCTTTTCACAAATACTTTGCACCAGAGATGACCACAGCTGTCATGTCTCAGATGTTGACTGGGCAGATGTTTCAGGTTTTTCTTCTTCTTTTTCCTCTTTGACCTTGACAGGCTTTTCATCCTGCTCTTTTTGCAGTATTAAAATTAAGTTTTTCAGTTCTTCCCTCTTTTTGCTGACCAGTTCAACTGTGAACCAGTTTTCCAGCTCTTTGATTGGGATGTTGAAGTCCTTGATTGGATTCTGCAACAAAATAAGTTGTCACATGAATACCAAAATACTTTTGCACCTGACTGCTAAATATTTACCGACAAACCCTAACAAGACCCAACTGCAGGGCATGACACAAACCCACTGCAACCATTCAAAAAACAATATGATAATTCATAATAGCCTCTTACAATAGCCAAGTTCAAGTCCGATTAAACAAAATGTTTGGGTACTCCATCCTTGTGGGAATCTTAAGTATATAACTTGGCAATATTCGTTGATTGGGTCATGCCTGAAACTTAAGCAAATTACACTGGGTTCACATTGCTGGATGATGCAACCAAGTGTCAACTCTCTGGCATAAACAATTTCTCTCTTTCCATAACTTTAACCTGGTCACCTTACCTGGAAGAAACTCTCCACATATTGCAGCACATACACCCCACAATCACTGTAATTGTTCTGCTGTGGAGCCTTGGGATTAGCACCTTTTATGGTATCCTTGTCAAACACTTTCTTGGTCTGTTTCTTCTTGTTCCACTCTACTTGTAAATACCTACACAAGTACCAACAAAAACTTCTCTTCCAATCTTTTTGTCTGCACAAAAGGTTCGATACAAAGTTTAATTACTGCAACATTTTCCACATTTTTATGGTTTGGCTTCAATAATCATTGACAAAGCTCTAGAAATATAACTTTCATGTTGGCAAAAGAAACAAACATACTTACTCCCTTAACGTGCGAACTACTCCTGATCTCGATGGCCCAGGGAGTGAGTCAAAAATTAGGATACAGGGTCTGAAAAAATTAAAGTTGTGACAAAATCTGAAATGTTATTAAGTACACCATTATAAGGAGAACAAAGTACTCAAATCATATTTCAAAATATACAAAAAAAAAATAATAATCTCAGTTAAAATGAATGTTTCATAAGACAGATATTTAAAAGGGTACTGCTCTGATGAAAATTTAACACATGTTAAAAACATGAAAACCTCCGAGAAATTTGCTTCATCAAAACTCACTGCTTCTTAATTCCCTGCACAGTTTGTTGCAGTGTTAGTGTCTTGTTAGGTTTGGCAGAAGTTTTTTCTTCCTCTTTCACTTTCTGGGTTGTTTCAGGTGTCTCCACCGATGACTGGGAATCCACCATTTCCTTACTGCCACCCTCCACCTCCATCTTCTCCTCTTTATTGGGGGTACTTGGGGTGTCCTGAAACGTAAGAACAAAGGCTTAATTTTTATTTGTTATCTTAATATAAAAATGAGCTCATTATTTTAGCATAACGGCAAAAAATGACATTATTATAGGTGAATCAAAGCTAACAATACCTTCAAATTTTACATTCTATAATAAGATTAAATAAAGTTATTCTAATACAAAATTTTACTAAACATACAGCTTCATCACAATCCATGGGTTCTTCCTTGCTTTCCTGACTACTGCAGTTAGATGAAGACTGACTTTCAGTCTCCTGAAATAAACAAATTAAAATTAAATTATAAAATTTACTTCAATAATTAAGTTCAAACTTAAAGCCTTCAATTCAATTATTATTATTTGCTTCCACTAACAAACCTATTTGTTTTCCCTCATCTAAACATTCTTAAAATCACAATCAATAATACTTTAAAAGTGCAATGACCACATCGAACCTGACATTTAAACAGAGTAATGGAAAACATCATAGGAGGTATATGTTACCTTGGCTATAGATTCATCACCTTGAGCCAGAGTGATCAGTGTGTGTGCTGCCAGCAAGTCATTCTCCGCTTTCTCCTGTAGTCTCATATCATCCAGCTCCTCTGGAGGAGTTACTGTCAATGTCTTTTTGGACTTGTCATCTTTATCTGTCTGTTTCAGTCTCACCACAGTCACTTTACCCTGGGTTGCCACTTTGACAGCAACATTTGTGGACAGCTCTTGTTTGTTCTTCTCTTTCAGCTTGTTTTTGTCAATGGTTAATATACTTTTTGTTTTGTGGTCTTTTAGCAATCTCATGAACGGTTCCTCTACTTTAAAAGTTTTAGTATATTCGTATGTCTCTGGTCTATCAATGCCAGGAAAACAAATGATGGCAAGAAACCAATGGGCACTGTAAAAAATGCCAAAAAAAGTCATGATGAAAAGATGATTCTGCTTAACTGAGCTTCCGGTATAATGACATAGCACTTGGTGTAAACAATTAATATCACCCTCCCCCACCCTTGTTTCTTGTTAATCAGAATAAAAAGAACAGATAAAAGAACTGTCACTGATATTTATTAATATCCCTCAGTCATAAGGAACAAAGAAAACAAGGGTGAATTACAGTTTCCATGGCAACAGCTTGATGGACATATAGTTACTGGTTACAGGTGTGGGTATAAAAATTACTGAGAAAAAATTGTAGTGAATACAAGCAATATACTAACCTTTCATTGATGGGGACAATAATAAAGTCTTTGTCAAAAATGTCAACATTCTTAGTCCAAGTTTTCACTCTGTTGTGCCTCTTCTCTGATGTACTGAAATAGTTTGTCACAGTTTATTTGCAGTAAAAAAAAGCCAGAAAAATTCATACAATCTGATGATCAATTCTAACAAACCAATGATATAAACAAATATAATTTAAAGAGAAAAATAAGTAAGGTCTCAGTAACTTAATGTTTCTTCCAAGGAATAAGATACCTGACTTTATGGCTTCATAAAGGAAATAAAATGGAAATAAATACAAAGAACAAAAAAGTTACTAAACAAATTGAATTAGTAACCTACCTCATATTCTGTGTTTCTGAAGTGGAGTACCTGGATATATTCTTCTGTACCAATCTTCTGTAGAAGAATGAGCTGAAAATGTGCGTGCGTTGTCTGTCTTGTTCGCTGAGCATAGTCACATATAGGTACCTGAAAAATGCCAATTTGATAAAGCTAGTGCCATTCATTTAATAAAATTAAACTTAAAATATCACACATTTTGAGATGAATAAAGCAGCAGAAAATTCTCACTAAAACCTTAAAAAATTTGAAAGGGACATACAGAGGATTTTGGTGTGGAAAAATGTCCATGATTTACCAACCATGACTCTTTAAGTTGATAACATATACATGTAAACAGATGACACAAAATGTCCCTTTAAGTTAAAATCATTACAGAACTGTACATACTTCAAATAAAAGTCAATGATGACATCATTTAGGAACTCCCCATCATTCAGACAAAACAGATCTTCATTGGTGACAGTTATACCACCTATGGCTGGGGGAGGCGGCCATACCAATAGTCTGGAGAAAATATATATATTTTATATAATATTATTATCTCTGAAAAAAGTAACAGATTTTTTAACATAAATAAATAAATAATCTTGTTTTAAGAATACCACATAATTCAATTACCTAATAAAGATTTCATGGTGTGTGATATCACCAAACAAGTTCATGATAAACAACATTACATGTGAAGGTCAAAGATATTTCAGAATAATCAAACACATTCATTTATAGCCTTTTGTTTGAAAATTTCTATCATATTTTTTGGCAACATAAAGTAAGGGGATATATTAAAACTTCTCATTACTTACTTGACAATGGGCCCAGTAAACCTGTAAACATGAGGCATCTCCATGTCTTCTACCTCTCCCATCTGCTGATCTTCATCAGCCGCTTTGTCCTGTCGAGACCGCTCCAACTGCTGATTTTGTTTAGTATTAATATCTGTCATGATCTCCAGTGTCTCTTTGTCAGTGACATGTGAATAAAGTTTTGTTTTTTCCTCGGAGTTCTGCTCTTCACCTTGCTTCTCTTGAATCATTTCAAAGATCTTTTCTATCTTCTTCTCCTGTGCCTTTGGCTGCGGATGTGGGAAAATGATAGTGATACACTTTCGATTTTGTTCTGAAAGTAAAACATGAGATATCATTAATTAATTAGACAAAACCCACGTGATTTTTGTATTGATTACACATTTGTTCAGGACAATGATGATGATGATGATGATGATGATGATGATGATAACATCAAAGCACCATATCACTGCTGAAGAATCTAGAGATAATACACAGTATAATAATCAATAAAAACACACTTCTTTTTTTTTTAATTTTATCTTAGATTGACCAAACAAGTGCCTTTTTTCTGCTGTACACTAGTTATTGGTGCAAAATACCCAGAATATACATACGTATACTGCCAGGGTCATAGCAGGGGTCTGTAGCTTGGTTCATATGACAGAGGGACCGGACTCTGGCACCACACCCTGGGGTTGTGTACAGGAACAGCACTGCCATCTTCTGGCCAAAGTGACCCTTGCACTTCACAATATCATTGGGATACAATGATATGTTGACAGAATCATCCTGACCTGTAAGCCACAGAAATATGATTTAAAGTTCAGTTTCAATGACAGATAATGTACATGTACCTAACCTGGTACAAATACTGTACACCATAATTATAATTTCCATTTAAAATGAATATACTATTAATCATTGACACACAGGGTATTTTGAATCACATGTTATCTATAACAGAGCTATTTTAACCTAAAAGCAGAAATGATTTTTTGATAGAAAGCACTCCTCAATAAAACAAACTTGAAGAAAACCTACACTCTATTTTCATTCGTATAACTTCTGGAGATAAAATGATAGGTTCAAATGGTATCCCAGGCAAGGAACCAAGCATGACCCTCTTGGCCTCTAGCACCAGTCTCTGAATGGGGAGATCCTCTTCCTCTTGGACATTAGTGGTAGCAGGTGGGGGAGCCTGTGGCTGGGCCACACGTACATAATGAACCCCCTCTATGAACTCTGGTTGGCCACCTCCTGCTGGTTTCCCATCCTACAACACAGATATTTGGAGATTTTACTGAACTCTATAAGATGTAGAACAACTTAATGGTAGACTAAATTATTACGATAAAGCCAATAATAAATGTCTTAAAAGTACACTTCAATCAAAAAGTATACATTTGGAGAAATCATATTAAAGCTGAGAATTAAAGCTAAGTTAAACATACAAATTTATTACTTAAAGCAATTCACCGGAATATATATTACTTAAATAAAGTGTGTTCTGAAAGGCTTTACTTACTGGTCCTTCCATCTTCTCCCTTCTTGTCAAAGGTTTCTTAGGTGCAACTTCAAGCTCTTTATTACTCTCAGGAGTAGACCGAGAACTGTTGCTGATGCTGTTGCTGGTACTATGACTCTCTTCATCCTCAGAGGATGAGATTGTGACAGTCTCTGAAAAAGATAACAGATTTTTTTAAAAATTTTAAATGACAAATGTACACAGCAGTTTTGATGTACACTGAAGGTATTCAGTAGCCAATGAAACTGTTCCATATGCTCAACTAAAGAAATAACGTAATGTTTAAAAAATTATTAGATCAAAGAAAATCATTTTTGGTGACAAATAATGGTTTTTAACTACTAAGTTTGGGGTTATCATATGTCAGTACCTGGTTCTAAAAATTTAAGGGGTACTCTTCCCCTTCCTTTTCCCCGACCACGTCCTCTAATCTGGCCAGTCTTCCCTCCCCGATTCCCTTGCACGGAGGGACTTCTGGTTGTCTTTCCCAGTGGATTATCTTCCTCAAAAGTCATATCTTTATACAACGAGCTATGTACACTTAATTTTGACTTGTAGAATGTTTTCTGGTCTATAGGTTTTGAAAGTTTGACATTTTTGGACTTTGATTCCTCTGACGCTTTATACCACTTCACAGTCTCTGGTAGAGGTCGGCCACAATCATCACAGTTCAAATAATCTTTGCTCAGCTGACCACACTTGCTACAAGCTATATAATAATCTCCCTGCAATTAAAATAAAGCATAAACAGCTGTAAATAACACATGATGCAAACACTGATAATTCCCAAACTTTTGTGACATAAGTCGGGGATCCCGTTATTATATGTTGTTAACTCTAATTTACATTAAATTATGCACAGGACACTGTATGCATATACCTATAATATGTGTTTCTCACAGTACACTTTTCAAATGATGACATAAAAATTACATCTCACTTTAGCCTGAATCTGATCTTTTATAAATATGTTCTCTTACCCCATCATCTGGAGGAACTGGTCTTTTTCTAGATGGCTTCTTTGGCTGGACTGGGGTCATAGTGACAACTGACTGACCTGACGAGCTGTTCACCGTGCTGTTCTGGGTAACTGCAGTGCTGGCTGCATGGATTGGTTTCCTAACAAGTATATTTAATCACAAGCAAGTAAATCAATATGTTTATGTTTGAAAAGATGCATGATACAGAACAAATGACAAAAATTTTTTTACAAAAAGCAACTGATCTTCAATTTCTGACATCAATACTACACAGATGTACAGAGGATTGAAAATGTAAGAAAACAAACCATATGCAACCTCTTCAAAATACAAAATCCAATGTTCATTTCATTAAAATCAGGAATACATCAATAATTTACCTTGCCAGATCTTCCACATTAACATGTTTAAACACCCTTCCATTCCACACTTGTCCCGGTGAGTTTTTGCCCCCTCCACCTCCCTTTACTTGACCAGGTAAAACACCTGAAATATGATATAAACATCAATTCACTACCTACTTCGGTCAAATAACATTAATTTTGAATAGAGCTTTTGTACTAGAAAAACATGCACAAAGCGTAATGTTTTTTTTTCTCTTTTTTTTAGAAAAAGCTTTTATGCAACCTTGTCCATCCTTTTTTATTGACTAGTTTTCTGGTCTGATAATGTCTCATTCCATACTTACCACATTTTGCAAACATAAAACAACACATTCATATTTTAACACACAATTATCTGAATATATTATACTGTGTAGGTTACGTTGACCAAATCTAGCATGTAAAATCCCTGGTCTGTAATTATTATTATCCACTTTGACTATAAAAAACATATTTCAATAAATACATAAATTACTTGCACCTACCTACTTCCACCAGCTTTGTGCCATCCCACTGCATTAACTTGTTATCAATAAAACACAGGGCATTCTTTTCAATCACCATTGTATTGCTGTCAACACCACCATTTCCAACCAGGTTGGTTTGTACCGAAACTGGCTTCCCTGCAACAGTGCTGATATGGGAGACCATATGAGCAAGAGCATCTGGATTCTTGGACTCTGGGCCTAAAAACACCAGCTTCACTGGGCTCTTGTTGTTAATCAATGCTTTGGTAGGTGAAGTGGTACTGGAACCTATAACAGTTGTCTGGACATTATTAGCTGCGGAGATATTCTGACTGGCTTGGTGTGGGGTACCAAGGGGTATATGAGAGCTGGAGACTTCTACAATCTTGGGTTGGAAATCCTGATGTAACATCTGGGAATTCATAGCGTTTTGATTTTTGCTGCAGTTTGGAAAGATAGGACGTCCTTGATTTTGAGACAAATGTACCTTTGCTGCAGCTGAGGCAGAAATTTTTTGCTGCAACCCTTGTTTCACAAGTGGTTTACTGCCCTCTTTTGGTCCCTGGGCAGACATTCGTAAAAACTGCACTTCCCCATGCTTGCCTATTTTCTTTTGGTATTTTTGGGCCGGAGGTTGATTAGTTGTTGAATAAACAAGAACTTGAATATTTTTTTCGGGTGACGCAGCTTGTATTCCTGTTGGAAGGGACTGTTGTACTGTATTGACAAAATTTTGCTGTGTTGTTTGACCTTGATGTATTACCTGGCGTAGAATACCTGGTCTGTTTCCACTTCCACCATGGGTTCCTGGTGATAAAGACTGGGCTGGTTGCCTCACTGGGGCACCTGTCCCCAGGGTTGTTACTACCTGAATGGGCACAGTCCTTACTATCTGTGACCTAGGAGTACCAGGAGAGCCTCCATGTGTTACCAGAGTGAGACTTCTTGGAATCATTTTCTGAGGACTTGGAGAACCTAATGGTGATGCCCCAGATGCACCTTGGTCATATGTGTTTGGTACTCTTCCAATGTGAGCAGAATTATGTTCCTATTCATCAGAAATAAGAATGAAATGTACTCATACGTAAGAACAAAGAATGAAATTTACTTACCCCCCCCCCCCCCCAATAAAAAAGAAAAAGAGACCATCAACATGAGAAGCATTGTGAAAAATATTCATGAGCAAATGTTGGAAACTCGCTTTAAATTTACATTCTGATATTCATGCAGTAATCCTGTACAATGTCTTTAAATAGCAATAAATTTTGTCAATAACAATAACAAATATTGTCACTGGATTGATTACCTGCATTCTATGCTGTTGGACGACTGTGCCTTCACTGCTGTTAATTCTAGCTTTTTCAGCCTCAGGAGAACTTTCTATCAAAAGAACCTCACTATCAAAAAGAAAATTAAAATCTTAGACACATCAGGAATATACATATGCTTATCATAATAGAACACTAACAAATAACAGACATAATAAATGAAATCAATACATGATTATCTGTAGTTATACAGGTCTGTCAGGCCTGTATAGCTTTGGGGAGGGGGGGTCATAGGGTTTGAACGAATCAACCTTTTTTGCTGGGAAAAGGTCCCTTCTGGGTAAAATTTTATCTAGGTACACGTAGGGTTCATGGTAAAAGGTGCACTTTTCCAAAACAGAACACCCCTTTTGAAATTTCCAGCTACAGGCCTGTCTGTGTATAGTAACCTTATGGACTGCAAATTTAACCACCTGTATTCCCTCACAAGCCTTCACTTAGCAAGAGATGCAATAGGGATGTTAACAAATGATTTCATACATGAAACTCATTCATGAATCTATAAAGAACACAAAAATAATCCCCTGAGAATGCTTGATTAATTAATGAAAACAAGTGTTTGTTGCCTACTCAGATTCTGATTCAGACTTCGACTGGGAAGCACTGATTATTTCACTGCTTTGTGAAGATCCGGTTTGTTTTGTCACCCAGCTGAGAGGATCTTCAGATAGTTGTTGCTCACTACAACTGCTACTACTTGGTGAGGTTGAAGAAAACAAACTAGCATGCTTCCATCCTGACTCTGGTTGGGCATCAGCTTTTTTCAATGCTGTAATAAAATAGGGTTTTTCAAATACAAATGCTTCATGTTCAAACAATATTTGTTGTCAAATATCAAAACTGTCACACTTATAAAATATGCTTATCAGTATAAACCTGCCATGCAAACACTACGCAATCTAAATAACTGTTAGAAATTTTCATAAATCGTGGGAATACTTAATATGCATTATCTGACAAGTATAGATCGCACTTCATTAATTATTTGATGACGTTGCGCATGTTCACAAATCACACCTACATTCAAATTATTTTTACAAGATAAAACCTTCTGACGTTCAAACACCAAAGGTTAACATCTAACCACTCTTAGATCTACATTTCTTCTGATTGTGTCAAACATTATTGAAGCCTATATTCACCGACAAAGCTACACTTGCAGATAATAAGACTTAAAACATGAGTTTCTTTGATGTTACCTCCAAAATCGGGCTACTTAAATCTTAAACATGGATTTGACAAACAACCTTGATTATCTTACCATTTAATAATGACGAATTCATGGCATATTTTTATAAAATCAAGAGGTTGTGGTGGTGTTGTCTTACTGAACCGTCTTCGCCATGATGCCAAATCGCACAGACCCATTTCCGATTGTTGTAAAAAAAGATTTAATACTTAAACATCTCGTCGTTCAGCATAACAGTTGATGTTTTTATACAAACTTCATTTCAATTAAGTTAAAAAATTCAATTATAGATAAAAAATGAAACAAAAACTATATCATTCAGTTAAATACGTGACGGTACGCATAACTTGGCGGTAATTTTTCCTTTCGTACCACAGTCTAGGTTTTAAAGAACCAATCAATGAATTATAAATTGTCACATGACTGCAGAACTTTAATAAAGAGACACTAAAGGGAGGAACAATGAAACCTAGACTACTACAAAATCCACATTGTCTTCAGGCTCACAAGAATAGAAAAGGGGAAGGTAACCGTGTCCCTTTGACACATTCAAAATTGGGAGGGTTATTTTGATAATTTTTATAGATCTTTTAGAGATTGGGTTTGAAGTCGCGTGGGGGGTGGGGGGGGTGGATACAGTTCATAATTAAAGATTATATACTTTCCTCAAAGACCCTTCATGATTTATTTAAATTTTCACTAAGCTAAAAAGAAATATCGACATTACCAGTAGTATGTTGATCAACTGGAGATGCTAAAGATGCATTCATGGTGCTATAGGTACATATTCATAGAGTATGCTTCAGATAAACTTTTATTTCAGGGGCTTTATCATTTTCAAGGTGTGAACTGGGAAAGAATAGAAGCTTTGAAGGATATTTAGTCATTACAAATAGGACTGGGGCATACTTAAACAAGTATAGGTCAATGGCTTAAAGATTAGATTTTTTAAATCTTAATGAATGCGACCATTACAAATGAAAACAAGCACATTAAAGATAACACAGCCGTGGGCAGTGAACTATTTAAATAATCATTTATTTTTTGCATCTACATGTGTGTGATCAGCATACAGTGGGATTCCCTGTTTATAGTAACCAATTTATTTTGCTACATTGTACTCTCTTTTCAGACAATATGCAAGTCAAGGAAGACAAAAGCACACTCAAAATAAAAAAAATAAATAAAGAGCATTTTGCAAATTTGATATTGATCACCACAAAACTGTTGACAGATAGATTGGAAAAAAGATCAAATTTTTCAAGTTTTTTTTCTGTAGCATAACATAAAGTCCCTGAAAATGTGCAATATATTTACAGTGTTCTGTAAGCACCAGATCATATTTTTGCATAACTTCACATGGTTTTGATGAATTGTTGAAATATAATTCACTGCTGAAAATATCATACATTGTTCCTGAAAATATCATACACAGTACTGTTGTACAAACCTTGAAAAACAACTCTTTTTATGAAAACTTTGTCAGGTACAAAACAATTTTGTCCATATAAAAACATTTTTAATTTCTTTTACATATTTTCTCCAATAACTAAAAAAAATTAATACAACTATTCATGCAAATGTAAACATTACTAACACTGAGAAAGTGGCAATTCAATTTATGTGACTGGAAAATGTCAATTATATTTACAATATACAAGTTTACAATAACTACACGTATGCAGAGGATACTACTTCATATTGGATATTTTCCTTGTCTTCAAATGTAAGTAAAAAGCATGCATAAAGCTTGTACATTTTAACATGAGACTAGAGAACTCTACACTTTTTATAAATAGAGAATTGGTGAATAATGATGAGAAAAACAACCAATGACAAAAGGAAAAAAATGTTTCATTGCCTTCAAGAACCATAGAAAAATATAACTTTCTAATACTGACATGGCAAAAGTACCGAGGGTATAAGAAAATGTAAAATGGCCATGTGTCTGACTTTTAAATATGATATATGTTGACTTATTTATGACATAACTATAATATCTGTTCTGCCAAATAACTTTAAATCTTGCAATGGCATTACATTTAATTGAAAGAGTAAAAAATTATCTCTACGGGGTAGGTCCCCATCATTGTTAGAGTTGGAGGTAGAGGACAGGACAGCTATTTCTTGTAGTTTCCATGGAGTGACAGTTTCGATGGAGGGACTCTAAGAGCGCATTCTCAACGAATTAAGCCAGGCTTTACAAAGCCGGTGACCTAAAAATGGCGGACGTACATGAAAGAAAAACCACCTAATCTTTTAATAGTCTCTCCGCCTCTCACACGCTTCCCCACACGTCGTCCCTGCGGGGTACAGTAATTAAATCTCAGCTCCGAACATTAATATTTCCGTGAATATCTCTGGTGATATTATCTCCGTAGATAGTCGATTCATTGCTGCTCTACAGGCCAAATTATTCCTTTTTCGTCTCTGTTTTCAAAGATAATAGAACAGAAGAGCTTTTTTCCTTCGATCGCCTTCAGCCGCCATGCTTTCTTCACCACGAGTTTAACTGATGAGCATGCGCACTTAATATTTCTCAGGTAGCTTCCGCATGGCAAACGGAGACGCGATTTAATTACTGTACCCCGCAGGGACGACGTGTGGGGAGGCGGAGAGACTATTAAAAGATTAGGTGGTTTTTCTTTCATGTACGTCCGCCATTTTTAGGTCACCAGCTTTGTAAAGCCTGGCTTAATTTGTTGAGAATGCGCTCTAAGTGAACAGACCCTGATGAATAATGGTATGTACAGCTTTGGTATGTAAAATGGTTGATGACAGCATATATATATTCAAGGGCCATCTTAAAACCTGTATCCATAGTAGTCAACATATCTATATGCCTGGGCTGCATTAATAGCTTTAGCAAGCTGCTGAGATTTTCTTGACTTTCGTGCCAGAAGTTGATGCATTCTTGTACGTTGCCTGTAGGCTTGGTTAACCATCCTTGCTTCAGCATTCTTCTTTCTAAGCCACCTAGAATTTCATTCAATGATATTAATATAACAATATATAGCAAAATGTCAGGAATTTATTCATATTGCAACAGCCAGCAGTTTGCAAAGTCAGCTGCAGATACAGTTTTACTGTATGGTCTTTGATAAAAACTGGAAAAATCCACTGATCATATTTATACAATGCACCAACATTCATTGGGAGAGAATATCTAGTGAGACTCCCCACAGGGATAGATCGATCTAAAATCTATGGGAATGGGGTCTTAGTTACATTAGAGCCTTAGTTTCTTGGTGAATCAGTATTTAAAGGAACAGGGACTAATTCTTTTCATCAATATCTAGTTAGCTAGTTTTGTGTATTACTATTATTTGACTTAAATATGCCATGTTTGAAATGTGTAAACTTTATCAGAAATAAAAACAATCCATAACTTTGATACATGCCTGTCATAGCAACAAAATGGTAATGGATTGAGCCCGTTTAAATTTTTTGAAGATGAGCTGGAAACCCTAGAGAAATACAGAGTATTTTATCTAGGACCCACTGTTCAGTAATTTGCTTCAGTAGAAAAAGAGAGAAACAACACTTACGCTCTAAATGCCTTGTCACATTCCTCTCTTGGACTCAAATAGTAGCCTTCTTGTGTCTCTTTCTCTTCTCTTGTCTCAAGCCTCTTTTGAGTTTTAAATTCCTCTTTCTTCTTTTTCAACCACCCTGTGTAGGCTTCGTCTGCTTCTTTTTTCATCTTAAATATAATAAATGTACTAGATAAATAAAAATGATATAAATAAATATTAAATAATAAGTAAGAAATAATTGTCAATATTTTTATATGGGTTCGAATACCTGATAGTGCTATCTTTTTATTCTAGTGACTATTTTTTTAATATATTTTACTGTTCTGTTGATAACCATTAAAATTAAGCTTATCACAAGATTTATTTTCATAACTAAGCTTCATTTTTAAAAAAGAAAGACTGATCTACCACATCTAATGCTAATAAGCCTACCTAGCTGACCAGTTCAAAATTATTATAGCCCAAATTTATCTAAATATAAGAATTGGTCAACTATGCTGACTAATAGCTAAATAAAGCTCTACAGGCTATAAACCACACCCTAGCATCAGCGGATACCTCTTCTTTGTTCTTTTTGTCTTCCTCATCTAATTGCTTTTTGGTTGGTGTGGATTTCCTACGAGCAGATTCTTCTCTTTTCTTGTTACTAAGCCAAGCTTCAAATGCTTCATCATTTTCTTTCTTCTTCTCAGCCTCCTCCTTATCTTTCTGCTCCTTTTCCTTTTTCTGTCTCTCAGCTAATGCCTTTTCCCTTTGACTTTTAAGCTCCCACTGTGCAGGAGACAGTCCATACGGAGAATTGTAATGAAAATTGCTGCGTGAAGAGCTGTAGGCTCCTGCTGACTGGGCACGTGGAGAGGTTGTTGCAGGTTTGACGCCAGACCGCCTGACAACTCCACTGGCTGTGGCTGGTCTAGGATTTTCAGGTGGATTTGGCTGAACACTTGTGTTATTGGACTCAGAACTACTAGAACTGGTTGGCTGGACATCTTCTTGTGATTGTTCACTTTGATTTATTTCACTGCTATCATCATGTGCGTCATATGAATCTCCTTCCAATTCACTTGCTTCAACATCATCTGCGTCAACCATTATAAATTTTCCATTTCTTTCAATTAACACTTTGTTTTTTCTTTCACCATTGTCTTGTGAATTCTCTTCACCATCAAGACTTGATGAGTGACCATCCACCTCATCACCACGTCCATCTTTCATGCTGCTATCATCATTGTCACTAGAATCTCCAATCCTAAGCTTTTCTACTCCAAGATCATCTGTTTCTGAATCACCACTAGCACCATAATCTTTACTATCCTCTCCTTCATCATCAGAATTATAGTCATCTGGTGGTGGGGCAACAAATTCCACTGGGTCATCTTTAAATACTACTTTGTGGTGCCTTGTTGATTCCTCAGGGGAAGGTTCATCTGCTAGTTCTTTATTTAATTGTTTCAAGCGTTCCGTTACATTATATTCTGGTGGATCAGGTAAATCACCCAGCCCGTCATCTTCATCATCCTCTAAATCCTGTCTCATCTGTTCCAGTTGTGCCATGGCTGCCCTCTGGTCATCTGTGGGCCTGTAGTCTTCATCATCACTCTCTTGTTTGTGGCTATGAGGATCTGTGTTTAAATTATCCTTTTCATTTTCAGGACTGGGGGCCTAAATGATGAAATAAGATAATCAGGATTACTAGAATGGTTAAATTTGTTGAAAATTACAAGTTTTAAAAAATGCAAAATTTCAATATATAGCTATAATATACTTTTCACTTAATTACACTAACTGATTTGCACAAATGTAAATATAAAACAAGTTTCAATAATTGTAAATTAATCACATAATTACTATCTCTTTGGTTTGTTTGACGCATATAAAGACTTTTAAAGCATTAACAACAGTGTACCAGTAAAATGTAAAATGATATTTGCAACTAGAATTGCAAATTTGAGCTAACAACTTTTGTTGTATTAAGATTTATATCATGGATTTTCTTTTGTCACTTTACCAAATAAGCCATGGTATCCTGTGTAAATGAATTACTTTTTTCTGAAGAAAACATCTTTATATTTGAAACATACTTTTAAACAGTTAGATATATATTTTTATATATTTGTTTTGAAAGTTTGACTTAACATTATCTTTGACTGCAATTTCACCTTGTTTAAAACAGCCATGGTTGTGATTACTTTTGCAAAAAAAAAAAAAAAAAAAAAAAAATATATATATATATATATATATATATATATATATATATATATATATATATATATATATATATATCGTGCCACAAAATTTTTAATAAAAGCAAAAAAATATCATGCCAACACAGGAAAATAATGATTCTAATTGTACATTATAAATCAATCAAGTACAAAAGTGGCTCAATCAGTTTGCCTAATTTAATCATATCCTTTCCTAAAGCATAATAGTATCCATTATGAAATATTGATCTTCTGGCTGCCTAGTGCCTGTTACGTAGGCAGTCTGTCAATAACATGCTTTTACTGATATCTCTTAGTAATGATATTCCACCCAGTTTGAATACCACATAAATGAAATGATTTTTGATTCACACAAAAAGTTAAATAAAAAATCATCCATGGATAATGACACAGCTGGCATGAAATTGATATTTCTCAAATGTTCATGAGGCATGTGATGACTGAATATTGTTTCCAATAAACATGAAGAACTCTTTAGTCAGTTCAAGCTAAAATTATGCAGTATTTAACACTTTAGTGATGAGTTCTACTCATTCACATTCTTGCTCTGTTTCTATCACGCATGCAGTGCCCATAGCATGTATCAGGAAAAATGACCATGGACTTACCTCTGTTGAGATATGATTTTCCTGCTCTTCTTTCTCAATTAACCAATCTAGTTCTTGATCAACAGAGTCTGTATCTGGTTCTTTGTTCGAGTGTACTTTGCCTTCTACTTCTGTCATGGTGCTTAATGTTTCATCTAAAAAGGAAATAAAAATACAGAAGTGTTATCTTAATAAAAAAAACAGTGAAAAACATTGTTCAGTAGGATTTACTCTAATCTAAATGGCCATTTAATTGATGACTGTGGTATTTGATGAAAAATATATTGAACAAAGTTCTAGTAAAGCTTTCAACCATGATGAAATCGTGCATGCTGCAACCATGAAAGTATAACCAGTTATAAATACTTCCATACTGCAACTAACACAACATGTATTTTTCTAGATATTAAATGCATGGTCCGAAGTTGTAAAAATTGATAATTCTGAAAACTCAATTGCAATTTTTTAACACATTTAGACGATATGAAAAAAAGGATCAAAGTGAAGACTAAAATAATGAAATCAGACATAATCCTGAAAACGTTAAATGTCACCAAATCATTTCAAAAAACATCTCTAAATATATTTTTCTTACTTTTCCCAACATTTATCATAAACAACAAGTTTTGTGTCAATGGATTTTTGATAACAGAAAGTACTACTCATGCATTATTACCATCACACTACAGATCTAGTTGTGTAAGAACTTGACTCTCCCCACCAATGTCGCCATTATGGCAGCATTGCCACTGTGTGAACTGCATTTGTCTGCAGCCTCCAATTTCTACAGCTTCTAGATGGAGATATTTCTCCTAAATTATTCTCGTAAGGTAGGCCAAAATCTCGTCATAAAAATACACTGATGTAAAAAGGGATATATATAAAAACTCTCACCTGTATAACTAAGAAAGTTCTCGATGGTAAATGGGTGCCATTAGCATTCTACTATTACATGTTCAGTGAGTCGCACTTGCTAATCGCATGGTTTGTTATGACGACCTTTTCTTACCTTCCTTGGTAATCAGTTCGGCTAGAGCCAAACTAAGTTTTAATTTTAGTTTTGTAGCTGTGTGTACAGACGCAAAACATGGTGTTCTCTACAGATTGCTTGAAATGTTAGATAACAGCATATTTTTAAAATTGATATTTGAATATAACATTTAATCAACTATGCTCTACAGTAGTGCTAGAGTAAAATTCGAAACAAATTAAAATAGTATAATAGCTCTGCATATAATCGACACTTGGCCTACGTGTGCGTGGAACGTGCGTGGATTTATGTGAGCTAAAGGATGGCGAAGTATTGCTTGGTTTTACTGCTGTTGATTGCACACCAGTGCCTTAGTGCAGACGATGAGGCGTGCCAGGTGTTCGGCGGAGGACATGTCTACCCGCAAGAAACTATGAAATCTGCAGGTCATGCGCTACATTGGAGTAAAGCGCAAAGTAAGTTATATCGCCGCTACTACAGTACAGTACATGTACCAACCCAGGGCATTGACAGTGGTTGTTTTGTTTCTTTCGCACTGATAGAGCCAGGATATTTGTATGGTGTTGAGGCTTTTTTTCTTCCAGCTTGAGCATATTTTAATTTTGAAAATTAGTACAATTTGCATATTTGTGGTATTTTTAAATTAAAATTTTAAAGAAGCATGATATCCTGCTTTGATGCTTTTTTATTCTGTATCTAGAATCTGCCCGTGTTTAATGCCTTGTTTATGCTAAAAAGAGCAGTATGTTAACTTAGTCCTTAGAATTGCACATTTGTGCCTAATATTCAGTGTCAATAAGAAATATGTGGAAGATATTTCACATATATACAACTTGACATGTAGATTTTTATTCATATAAACATAGAGAGGACCGAGTTTTATTGTAATTTGTAAGTATAAATAGATACAATATTGCAGTAAAAATTGACTTTGTTGTCTCTACAGTTTCAAAAGCAGCACCCCATTTTGAAGGCACAGCTGTTGTAGATGGAGAGTTCAAAGAGCTAAAATTGACAGACTTCAAAGGAAAATACCTGGTATTCTTCTTTTACCCATTGGACTTGTAAGTAGTTACTGAATAGGACATTTCCCACAAGTAATGTCATGATTGAAGACTTTTTACCTGTTTTCAACCATAAAAACTCCCATTTTATGAGACTTTTATTCTGATGAACATTGGCCTGTGCAAAGTTTTTTGTAATCAATAAAACTTTGTTATATTCAGATTATAATAATTGTAGGTAATATTGTGAAATTATATTATATCCACTAAATGACTAACCCAATAAAAAAGTTGCATTTGGCTAGTGTAATGTTTGTAAACTCATTATTCAGGCATAAAAATTCTAAAAGTTGATGTTTGAAGATGAAGAAATTGGCAACTAAATATTATTATTTTGTTTCAGTACCTTTGTTTGTCCAACAGAAATCATTGCCTTTAGTGACAGAGTAGAGGAATTCAGAGCTATCAATGCAGAGGTTGTTGCCTGTTCAGTTGACTCTCAATTTACGCACTTGGCATGGTAAGTTAAAGTTTTGACACTTTCACATTGATAATAACTCGCCACGATGCACACACTGACAGCTGGGTAGGATAACTGCATCACGACTTTTGTAACTAAAGTGTTTGATGTTACCTCCTGTTTTAAAAATACTTTTATAACCTGTTGTTTTAGTGCAATGACAAATTGTTAAAAGTATTAATTGTTGGGTATTAGATGACTTGCCAGTAATTAGATCATTATAAACTTGCATGTAAAAATGGGTGTAAAATTTTTAAAAAATGTTTTGCCTAGGATTAATACTCCACGTAACCAAGGTGGATTAGGACCTCTAAAAATTCCTCTGTTGTCTGATCTCACCCATAAAATTTCCAAGGACTATGGAGTTTATCTTGAGGATAATGGGCACACACTGAGGTAACTTTATTTTGTTTTTAATCTGCAGATATTTAGATGAGAATTTTTGCAGTGAAAGTATCAACATAATATTATGTCTATTGACTTCAATACTGTCTCAGCAGTTGATGTAAATAATATGCATCTTTCAAATATTAGTAGTTATTCTATTTGCTGTGAAATATTGATGAAAATGCATCACTAAGTATCCTTACATATTTGGAGACATGTATGAAGACTTACATTATTTTTAATATTGTATTTATTTATTTTCTTCTTTAGAGGACTTTTCATTATTGATGATAAGGGAACATTGCGACAAATCACCATGAATGACCTGCCAGTGGGCAGATCTGTGGATGAAACTCTGCGGCTGGTCCAAGCATTCCAGTACACTGACCAGCATGGAGAGGTGTGCCCTGCAGGATGGAAACCAGGTGGCGACACTGTAAGTAACAGCCTTATGTTGCCTTTGAATTGCTTTTGAATTTTTATATGTTCAGTTAATTGCTATGATATAAGTTCTCAATGTAATTGAGGCTAGAACTTTATGACTAATCATTATTGGACCTTTTTTGTATTGATTAAGAAATAAATTTCATGTTTCCATGCACCATTTAGCATGTAGAAAAGTAAAATATGAAATGAAAAAATTAATGCTAGGACCAAAAAGCATTGAGTAGTTTAGACTTTTTTCAGTGCACTGATGTTCAAATTTGATAAGTTTACTTTTGCCAATTTCAGATCATTCCAAACCCAGCTGACAAGCTCAAGTATTTCAACAAGCTGAATGAATAAATTGAAGATTTTTGACAAGTTGTAAATGTTATCTACCTTCATGGTGGATTTATGCAGTAATTTTTATATTCAGATCAGTTTTATGTATCTCTGCCTTTTTCTTTAACAGGACGAGATAGAGAATTCAATTTATTTTTTGTTAGTTGAAAGTGTTCCCCACTGTTGTTAAGGCTCATTTTTCAAACNTTTTTGACAGCCCAAGATGAAAGCACGTGGGAAAAGCGTAAACTCGTACGTTCACTCATAATTTTGGGATTCAAATTTTTTGTAAAATTCTCCTTTTATTTGCCTCCATTGCCTTTATTACTGTTGAATATAAGCACTTCATGTACCTATAAGTCGATTTAATCAATATCATAACTTTTTATACTTTCACATTTTTATTACTCTCAACCTACAAATTGCTACTCGCGGTATCTCCTCTACACAAAACAATGACGTAACGTTATCTGCTGTGCACTGAAGCTGGTTAAGAACATTGTGCCTCGTTTCAAATTGTCTTTCAACTTCATATCACACAGACATAACTTCGAAAACGAGGCCACTGAGAGGGAGACTGTTGGTTACATTTCGATACGAGCGTTCGATTGCAAGCTATGGTTAGTTCTTTGCTTCATGAAAGTGGGTGAAAACAGTGAGTTTATTTGATATTTTGCTGAAATCGCTTGTGAACATAGACAAAATAAAAGGTGAAAATAGGCTGTAAAAACAGCCAGCCCGTCGGGCGGGTAATCTGCAAATCTTACCCGCCCGGCCTGAAAGTTACCAGCCTCGGGCTGGCGGGCAGGCGGCCATTTCATACACTGCAAAAAGCATTGAGTAGTTTAGACTTTTTTCAGTGCACTGATGTTCAAATTTGATAAGTTTACTTTTGCCAATTTCAGATCATTCCAAACCCAGCTGACAAGCTCAAGTATTTCAACAAGCTGAATGAATAAATTGAAGATTTTTGACAAGTTGTAAATGTTATCTACCTTCATGGTGGATTTATGCAGTAATTTTTATATTCAGATCAGTTTTATGTATCTCTGCCTTTTTCTTTAACAGGCCGAGATAGAGAATTCAATTTATTTTTTGTTAGTTGAAAGTGTTCCCCACTGTTGTTAAGGCTCATTTTTCAAATCATATTTGAAGCTTTGTTAAAATGTGTACTGACATTTTCTAAGCAGAGATGTGTTGAAATCCATCTTGATCTTATGCAACAAAAGCCAAAGAAGTATGCATGTATAAGAGAATCTAGTCCAACTTGTTTACATCACAAAGGCATGGACAAATTTTTTAGTTTCAAAATGCATGTTCTTACATGTATATTCATCATATACGTGTACTCAGTAGAAGCCATTAATTCACCCCAGACTGAATATTATTTTATGTAAGTTTTTTCTTTGAACAGCTGCATCTCCTAGAAGCGCAACATTTTTTTCAAGATATGCAAAAGAATCCCCACCATCTATAAAGTGACTTTAGATTACATATTTTTGGTGTAATATTTCGAACAATTGTGTTTGTAATTTTCAAGGCTATGTGAAGGCTTGTTAATTTACATTCAAATTGATTTTATAAAAGAGCACTCCAGAATGTGTGAAAAAATCCTGTTTCAATAGTGGGTTTTTTCTTGAGTGATATTTATTTTTGGTTCACTGTTGACTACTTAAATGTCAATAAAATGAAAATGTTAAATATTATACATTGTAAGTTTCATTTTACTACACACACACAGCTGAATTAAGCAGAATTCCTAAGTAAATGACGACCACAGCAAAATATTCCAAGTCTTGTTTTAACAGTTCTTTGAAATATGTAAAGGCGTTTGTCGTTGACGTAAATTGCAGGAACCGTTTCCTGTGATGAATTGACTGGTAATCATACAGGTAGTTGAACTACGCAGACAGAAGATTCACGTCACATCTGATATTCTCCACGTTACTGATCAACTATATTTTTACTCCTGTCATATCTTCTTTTGCGTAACTTTCTTCGCAGAGCCCAGGACTAAAACTGTTAGGTATGTCCTTTACGTGGGCAGACTCATGCCCCACGTGGTTTTGCTATATTTACACTCCGACACACGTACACAATATTTGATGACGTCACGAAAACTGCACGTATCAAAATAGCAACGACTAATAACAGGTAACATCACAGTGCTTTCTTGTAGCTCTTTAGTATAATTGATTATCAGATATACAGGTTAAATGAAACATAAGTTTAATCATGAGTGATATTATTTATGGTTACAATATATTCTGAACAGAAATAACGTCGTTTTGTACGGTAATCATCCCAAAAATACGACATGGATCAGAACACAAAGTGTCACATTTAAACCACCGTGGCTTTGAAATTATTGTAGGCCTAAGAACTATCTACGATTTCTATAAGCACAGGAACAGTGACAAGGATATACTGCATAAGACTGAACCGCAAATGCTATGATCAGCATGATGGGAAATTGTATAGCGTGGACTAAAAAGAAACGTGAACCTAGGAGGTGAGCTACTAGTACACAAGCTACAAAACAAGTATTTTCACAATTAGATCTAAAACTTTTATATTGATTTCAGATTGAATTGTATAGCTAAAGCCAAGAGGTTAACTCTGAATTTAGATGAATTTGAATGAAAACAAGTGTACTCCAGTAGAAAACTTAAATGGATCCACTGGAATATACTAGCATATACATGTTTACAAGTAATATACATGTACATTGTATGCTAAATGGATATTCAGCTTAGCTTTGTATCAAATACAGGTACTCAAAATGTGTAAGCTATAATGTCATGTAATATTTTTCAGGGCAGTTACTCTAGTCATTCTTGGCATAGACAATGCCGGAAAGACAGTGGCAACAAAAGGCTTTCAAGGAGGTAAGATTTCTGAATGCTTTTGTTAACATATACAACATATTTTTTGGAGATGTGAGAGTCAACTTTTAAAAAAGCATGTAGAAACATCATTCCCGGTCACAAGGACTTCCTTTAATTATTTTTTACTCATCCAATTAATGAAAAAATAAGTGTGAGTCAGTATATCAACTAATAATTTATTATTGTTCTTTACCCTTTATCTTATGCGATTGTATATTTTGTCAAAACAATGTGATGAATTTAGGGAAAGGCCAGTTTGACAACTGTTTTATTAATTTTTAAATTTTTGCTATTTTAGAACCTGTGGAAGATGTAGCACCAACAGTGGGTTTTGACGTAGCAGAGTTTAAATTTCAAAAATTCGACATCACATTATATGATCTCGGAGGTAGAAAAAACTTTCGAGATGTGTGGCATAACTACCTAGCAGAGGTCCATGGAGTAATATATGTGATAGACTCTAGTAATCATGAAAGAATAGAAGAAACTAGGCTTGCACTCAAGAATCTCATAGAACACCCATGTATAGGCGGAAAGCCTATTTTAATGTAAGTATGATTATGTGTGAAATATTTTTAATATAATTTCCAATTTGGTCTAAATAAATACGTTACAGAATGTTTTGAAATTAGGTGTCACTTGATGGCATTTAATAACATATTTATTAATTTGAGATCTAACATACACTGTATGAAGAATTTTGGTTATCTTCTGGATTTCATTGTCATCTAGACTTATATTTGGTAATAAAATGACATTGTCTGTTAACCCTTTCAGACTAGCAAATAAACAAGATTTGGACAATGCCTTGGATGAGTTAGATATCTGTGACAGACTCAATCTAGAAGAATTAGTTAATCAAAATAAGTGTCCAACAAGAGTGGTAAGTTGATATAAAAGAAAGAGTGATACTTATCTTTGTTTAAAAAGAAAAAGGCAGGCTTAGCAGAAAAAAATGTGTAATATCATTAGGAAACACCCTGAAAATTTAACATTTCTCATAAAAATATTAATTTTCTAAGTTTTGCTTTGAGATGTTCTAGTATGATAAGTTAATATTTGGTTTAATGATCAATTATTTATACTTGATTAGGAACTGTGCTCTGCCTTATCAGGCACAGGTAAAAAGATGGACAAACCCATAAAAGAAGGAATGCTGTGGCTACTGGAAAGAATATCTGGAGACTTTGAAAGTTTGGGTGAAAGAGTAAACAAGGAAAAGGAGGCACAAAGGCAGCGAGAAGCTGAAGAAAGGAAGTTGAAAAGGGAGCGAGTCAGAAAGATAAAAGAAGAAAGGTAAGTAAAGTTAAGGTCAATATGATTTAGAAAATTTCCAAATTAATTTGGCCAAAATTGTCATCACATGACTTGTATGTGTTATGTGGGAAATTGCATCAAAAGAAAAAGGAAAAAAGTTGATATTGAACAAAAAGGTTTTTGATGGCAAGAAATACCAATCAATGTATTTCATTAGGCTCAATTGAAATTGGAAACATGATGTGAGAAAGGGTTGGTTAAAAGGAATTTATTATATTTCTACAAATTGTTTACAATGTATTTATTTCTGAAATATGGATCTTGTAAGAAGGATTGTTATCCTTTTAAGTTTATAAACTATACTGTTCTATTTAGGGAGAAAAAAGAGGCAGAAGAAAGAGCTATGAGAGGTGAGCAGGATGAAGGGGAAAATGAAGAGACTGATTTTGGTGGTGATCCGTTCAAACGTTTAGACATTGCAGAGTTGGAGAAAAAGGTGAGAGAAGAAAAAATGGTGGTTACTTCAAAGCATTTGAAGTGCCCAAATTATGTGTATGTTGTATGTTGTAAATAATCCCGTCTTTCATTCTTCCATATAGGTGCACTAGGCATTTAGGAACAAGTTTACCTATATAAATGAGTCTTATGATCTTATGATAATCTATTTAAACTTTTTCTTGAATTCCTTGATTTGCGTGAAAAGTATTTGTTTATATTTTTCAAAACTGAGTGCTTGTGATAATTGCAGGATGCAGCATTGAAGGCAAAGAAAAAGCAAAAGAAATTAAAAGAGCAGCAAAAAAATAAAGATGATGATTTAGATGTTGAAAATTCTGAAAGGACTAATTGCTTAAATGCTGATAAGAACCAACATAAAACAGATGATGTGAATGAAGGTAGTCAGCCTAAACAATCTGTGGAGGATCTATTGTTTGGTACAAGTAATACAAAGAGTAGTGACAGTATGGAAATGTCTTTGCCTGCCAGAAAAAACATCCTAAGTCTGGATGGATCAGGTGGGTCATGCTGTTTATTTCTTTTCTTTGTTTATAATGGAAAATAGTGAAAATGTTAAAATGATAATAAAGATAATATAAATTTGTTAAAAGACTTTAATAACTTACAAATCATCTGTATGTATTGACAGTCACTCAAGATAAGTTTGTGTGTTTGTGTGTGTGTGTGTGTGTGTTGGGGGGGAGGGGGTAGAGAGAACAATAATCAAGGATTATAGGAAAAGGTAGATAACATTGAAGAAGATTTTTTTTAAATAACAAAAGGAAGATATTTTATTGAATGAGTGTACTATCACATTGTAGAACCAGACCAAGATGTGGGAAAGAAAAAGAAAAAGACAAAAAAGAAAGCTAAGCGTAACCAGACTGCCCCAGGTGATGATGATGGTGTTGCACCCAAGGCCTACCCTGATGCTTTGGCCCCACTCACAGGATGGCAAACACCCCCAGGGCAGAGAAGTTTGATAGAGAGACCAGTCTCTAGGTCACCAAGACTGGCACCCATTGCCGAACCAAGAAATACTAGTACGTTTTAGTGTGTTGACAGATAAATGTCACCTGGATTGGAAAATTTAAAAAAAACATAAAAATGTGTCAATGGTTGTGTTGTTAAAAAGGACAGTAATGGAATAATGAAACAAGTCAAAGTCAATATTATGAAGCCAACAACAACAACAAAAATTATTATTATTATTGTTATTATAATGCCTAATTTGATATTAAGATAAAAATGCACATGTGTATAGAACATTTTATTAACTCATAGTTTTCTATTTTGTAGCTTTTGGTAATAACTGGAAAGACGAGCTACCAGAGCTGCCCCCTATTAGAAGAATTGGTCCCAACACAGATGCAGATGATGTAGTTACGTGATCTTGGTCAATAAACATTTGGGAATGTTGCAATACATTAGCACTTGTATAGCAAATCTTTGGAGAATGTGATGTACACATTATTGACATCCTTTGGATTGTCCTGTTCATTCCCACCAAGGATTCAGAATTTGATTGGAATTATTTCCACCCATCTTTGTGTCCTTACCACTGTTAAAAAAAAAAAAGAAAACAAATGAGATATATGGATGATGTTGAACTTATGGACTAAGACGTAAAATTCTTATTATAGGATCTTGACAAAGTACCTTGAGTAATTTGTATGTAATTGCTTATAATTTGTTTATTATAACAGTTTATATTGCCACAATTTTTAAAATTTTTATTCTCTTTTTGTCATTTTATTCAAAGAGTTGTCTGCATTAATATGAGCAGTGATTAAACTATGGATATTTTAAAGATCCATTATGAAAGTGTTATTGGATCTTACCATGGGTTGAAGCAGATTTTAAAAGGAGATAGATCACTTAACTTCTTCATTTGAACCCAAATTTATCATTATTCATTCTGTTTTATCTTCCTGCATCTATTGTACTGTGGGGATGTCGGATTGCGTAACTGCCCCGCTCAAAGCACTCAGTATTAGTAATTATCTGCAATGTATAATTTTAGAATTTCGTATTGGTGCTTAATTTTTAACCCTATGTAAAGTTAGTAAGTTCTGTTCTTCATGTCAAACCTGTTCATTATCCTTAAATGTTTGTTTTTACTGTTATAGTACTAAGTGTATATATATTTTTTCATTTATGGATATTGTGTGTGACAATCTCTTAGTCAGATAAATGCATTAAGAAGATGAAATGTTATGTTTACATTCCAATCAAAAAGGGTTACTTTTTAAAAGTAGAATGTAAGGGCTTGCATACTGTGTAAGCTAGAAGAAATGTAGTTTTGCTATACCGTCCATATTTGTTTTATGGTGTTGAACATTTTGATGTTTTCAAGGTTAACAATGGAGATGTGTAGACATTTGATTGTTGGAAGTTGATAAATGCCATGACATTTGGCAATATGTATTTTCCTATCGTACTTTTGTATGTGTATTGCTATGCACATAATAAATTTTGATAAAACATTTACCTTTTACTATTATAAGTGTGAAATGAATATTAAATTTTATAAAATTTTGTCTAACAATGCAAAGGAGAAAAAAATAACCAAGTGTGCGGGTTAACGTGGCTAGATTGCGATAGGTGTGATATTGTGGGCAAAGGTCGCAATTTGAATTGAACCGAGAATGAGGCCAAAAACATGACGACCTAGAGAAGCGGCAATTTTGTCAACAAGGATTTAGAAGATTAACTTTTGGGCTACATGTATTAAGAGATTTGGCACATAGGTGGGTATGGCGTTAAGTTGAAGGACGGATGTTGAATGTGTATCATAGTACTTCAAATATACGTGAATGCAATAACAATTTTGACTCCATTTTTAGGTGTAATTTGTAAAGTCAATTTCGACACTGCATTCACTCATTCATTCTGATTTCTTCGCGGGAAGGATGTTAGTCTCGACAAAGATCCGCTAAGTAAGTCGAAAACGTAATATCCTATTTCGGGCTCACGCTTGAATAATTAAACGTACTTAAATTATATAAGTTTAGGACATTCCATATGCATGAAAAGATTCATAACCAAGGGCTGTACATATTGGGGACCGAAGTAGAAATGTTTATTTTGATACTTCTCACTAGAGGCAGATGTCCTGAAAGATTAATTATTTAAGTGCTGAATTTTGTGAAGAACTGTCTATTGTGGACTCGGCATTCTATATTGTTTTTATCCTTTACTCAAACCTAGACTTTATTCAGACCTAGACTTTATTACCCTGGCAATTAACATTAGGTACTCATTAAACTGTCTCTGTCTACAGTGATATCTGGAAAATCTATTATTGCAGGGGCAAGCCTTAGACATCTGTCACTGATGTCAACCCCATTAGAAAAAATTGGGTTGTGGTTATCTCTGATTTGAAATCAAGATCTCGGGACCAAGTATTGAGATGACAGTTTGCAGGTTGATATGCCCAAGGGTTCATACTAGTAGGTTGAAATAAGACAGAAATTGCATTGAAAAGAATTATGGGTTGAAGGCCAGTTGCAACATAGAATCATGGGACTCTCTAGAGATATTCAGTATGAATGACAGTATCTGCAGAAATTGTTGCCATCTTATTTTTCTGATCAGGATGGTGTATAATATTGAACTTTTGAACAAACTTTAAAAATCTTCTGATCAATAGACCTTGGGATTGTGAGTCTTGAACTTGAAGTAATTCATTACACACGCCAGGCATTGCTTTGAAGGGAAGGGAAACTGGACACTAGCCTATTAAGTTATTCAATTTAGGCAAAGGTGGTTTCAATATTTATTAGCTGAGAAAAATCATTTTGTTAGCATGATACTAGTAAAAAGTTAAGACAACAATAAACAAAAATAAGATTAAAAAAACATGATTAATGATAATAATGAGACAAATGAGAGAGCAATAATCAATGGCATTATAATAAGTGAACAAATAGATAAATAAATAAGTTTATGGAATAATGGTAACTTAGAACTCAACTGTTACTATGATAATGACCAGGTATAAATCATATTATTTACCCATCAACCTAAAGAAAAAAATAACAAGTCACATCCTCAAATATAAAAATATATATGTGTAAACATGAAGACTTTCCTTTCCAGTTCCGATTTTTTATTGTAAACGACATACCATGTTTTGAAACAGATCTTTCATTTATGTTATTTTTTATAATGGTTTGTGTTCTAACGCAAAGAAAAAAATAATTAGTACTACTCTGCTTTCATCCACTTCGCCAACAAATAACTCCTTATCAGTGAAGTATCAAGAATATACTGCATCTATTATTATATTTACATAGCAAATATCATAGATTTATATCAATTCTGCACACAAACCCTTTTTTTGCCTGAAGAAAGCAGTGACATGTTGCATTGGTTTTGTGATGTTATCATTCAATAATTTTGATTTATTATTTTATAATAGTGCAAAATAGCAGAGGAATATGACAGAGGTGGAGATGTCACCTGTAATTGAAGCAAACTGCAAGTTTCGTTGGCCACGGACTGTTGAAACAAAAGCTGTAGAAGTTTTCCTGCTGGGTGCTTTTGATAGGGTAAGTTATAGATAAATATGTTAGAAATGTCTCAGAATTCTTTCACAATATTACTCTATTATCAAGAAAAGTTGCTTTTAGGCATGTGAATATGTTGTGACCTAGAATTTTTCTGATGTGATAAAAAAGTGAGATGTTGCTAATTATATATACTTAAGGTGAAATAAATGAAGTAAGTACGAGGGTGTTTTCCTATAGGAAGACTGATAAGACTGATTAATTGCAGGACCAGCCTATTTGCCTGCGTTGGAGTAAGAGCAAGGAGTTGTATGAGTCTGACTACGTCAAGGTGCCAGTGGGAGCATATGTGAGCCAGTTGATGGTGGATGATAAAACTTATCCTCTGGAAAAGTTTGATGTCAGATCCTACACATTTGAAGTTAGTCTGGAAGTAAAAGAAGGTATGGCAATAAAAATTTATTTTTTAACAACCCTTTTTAGTTTGATGATACTTTAAATGAATTGAATGAAGTTAGATGCTATTTAGCAGCATATTTTTTAAAAGTTGATGAAATAAAAAATGTCTGTGCAATCATGGCTTTCAAAAATACTGTCAAAGAATGTGTACTCATGGCAGCAGTGATATAAGATAACACTGAGTTTCTCTACAGGTAGTGTTGCCAGGAACATCGGTCAGTTATAACTCAGTTCATATTCTTAAGCCAGTTTATAGAAGTTCTCCTCTTTAACCTAGCAATTATCAGCAGGTTATCATGATGGATCACTGTCTTAAAGGCTAATCAGTGTGGGACAGTGTTTGCCTTACACAAATTATTAAAAATACACTTTAAATCTGTAGGTGATGTATATATTTGTAATGGTAGAGTGGATAAGAGTACTAAGGGTGGCCACATGGAGAAGAAAGAAAATAGTGCTTATTAAAGAATTGTTACTTAAAAAATGTAAATTCTTAATCTTTTGTTGGTTGAGATATGTTAATTTCCTTTCACTTTCATTATTTATGTGTTTTATTTTATGTAAAAAGATTAAAATCTACTTGAGTTTTTTTTTCTCAGTTCTATATATATGATAATTTAGTATGAAGGCAATTTTGATAGACCTGTTTCTTTTAGGTAAACAGGGTGTCAATGAAGTCTGGGAACATGGACATTTGATTACTTCATTGATTTGCCACTGAGCAGTTTATAGCTATTTTCTTGTAGTACTCCATTATAAATAGAAGCAACTGGAGTATGTATTGTGACCAAATTGATTTTCTGTGGTGATCACTTCGGTCAAACCCAGCCAAAAGTATATAGGAGACAAAGACCTTGATGGCTGACAGACAGGGACATGTTATTGTTCTTTGGATTATTGGATTTTGAAGACAGGTGGTTTTCTGTTTCATTTGTCACCTATGTAAAGGGAAGCTTATAAATGTATTGATTATTTGGCATATTTAAGTCTTTTTGACTCTGTTAAAAGAAGTGTAATAATTTACATTATTAAGCTCATTCTGGAGAAAATATAGCTGCAGGAAATAAGATCAACTTTTCTTAATATTTATCAATATTTGTTTAAGATTGAAAAGAAACAAAACCTGTCTCTTTGCAGACTTGTATGAATGTGAAACCATTTTATTTATCTTGTTCATCAAGGTAACCTGAGAGAATGATTTCCTATAGACAAACATTATTGGACTTCAGTAAAAAGGTTTTGTAGTAAAGACCATTTAAAACAGTGATCATGGATTATCCATGGATTGCAACAACACGTGGGCAAAAATCAACTTGAAATATGATTCATTGATTAGACTCTGAAATAAATACCAGGACTAGTAACTGAAGAATGGACAGGAAAGATTTTAGATGAAAACAAAAGCCAAATGCCTCCACATAAAGTTAGGCATGCAGTGCACCTGCCAAACCTGGCCATTTTATCATTGACAAATTGGTGGCTCTGAAGTGCATAACAAAGTACAGTTTAATTGTAAGTCCTGTTATTAGCTTAGACCTGAACATATAACCCATCACCTTTGAAATTCATATGCAAATAACTGGGTATTCAAATCAGGTAAATAGTCGGATTGATTGAAACTGTTTATGGGGCTCCGAGCGCCATTCATGCATTTGAATGTAACGTTTAGTCAAACAGGCTTGAGCGGAAGAATAAAGAGAAAGTAACAACATTCTGGCCAAGAAGCGTGCTGGAGGTATGTTTTTCTGACCATTCTTCTCTGTCATTTTGTTATGATTCCCCGACAAAGATAACTTGTGGGCCGCCAACACAGAATAACACATTTAATCTTGAGCAGGTAAATATTTTATGGCTTAATCAAATTTGAAGTTTACTCCTAGATGTAAGTAGAGTCAACAGCCTGGTGTCGAGCAGTCAGGAGGTCCATAGTTTTAAACATTGGAGCAGGTGAAACTTTATAAATCTTGTCACCAGTATAGCACTGAATGTGGCTTTAGTCAGTGGTAAGTGTATTTGAGAACGGCATCATGAGTTTTATGCTCACTAGTTGCTTTCATATGCTGCATTAGTTTTCAAGTGCAGCATGGCTTGAGGGAGCTTGGATACAGTGCAGCCTTTATGGTTAGAGGCACTTAACTGCTGCACTCAAGATTTTAAAAAAGCTCAGTCAAAACGTGAACTTGAGATAAACAGTTACTTAAGCAAAATGGCCTCAGAGAACTTAACATTTGTAGTCCATAATGTATTTGTATCAGTCGGAAAGACCAGTGAGACAGGCAGCCATATCTGTTTACATTGGCAACTGCTTGACTTCATGTTGATAATGTGACTAGTCCTGGTTTATAGGTTGTGTTTGATAAAGCTTATACAGTTCTCTACAAATCTGAGATAGAGTTGAAGCTATCATTCTTTCAGGGGAATAATGAGCTCCATGCCTTCCAGTCAAAACCAGCACACTTGGTAAAGTGTTTGTAACCTTCGGTGTTTGCTCTTTCTTAACACTAAACATAATGTAACCGAATTATCATTGTGTAAATTGACAGTTAATCTGGAAGTTTTGATTTATTGCTGCTATAATTTTCAGTCAGATTCATGTTTGCATCAGTTTTGAATCTGTGATATACTGTAAATGGTGTGATTGTGATGCTATATTAAGATAGGTGTAACTACTACTATTGCATTTTAAATTAATTTTTTTAACAGACAGCCATCTAAAATTCTAAAAATGTTGAATAATAAGCACTGTCAATGTTCATTTTAATAATATCATTCTGTGATGTATGGTTGACCTTCCCTAATGATATTATATTGGTCAATGTGCTCCTAATCATCCATGAAATAACAAGGTGGTAATTGATTTTGAAGAAAGGAGCATTATGCCGGTATTAGGGTTATTATGAGAGGTATATGTAATGCATCTCAATAGGTCTGGAGTGTCCTTGTTGTTATGTGCCACTCAAATATTATCTTGCAGTTGTTGGGTTGAAATACAGTACAAGGATTAAGGTTCTTAATTAACATATACGAGTGTCTTGGAGCTTTTTATAGAGCAGTGGCATTATACAGTGAGGCTGACAATTAGAAAGCTTGTTCATTATACTGAAGTTTAATATCAGTAATATCGGTGTTAGATGGCTTTCTGTGACATGTGACATCTGTATTAGAGGTCGCCACCTACTTAAGATATGTTGACTAGGTAGCTAGTTACCAGTACACGACATTGGAAGGGAACATAATACTGTTTTACATATTAACACATTTCATCACACTGTTTTTTGTGTGTAAGATGGTTCATTAGTACAATCATTTTGAAATGAAAATTTAGTATAGCTGCACTTTTAGTAGAGCCATTTTTGAAATGCTGCCAATATGTTCATGAACCAGTTTTCAGGTTATGAGGAAATGTGATTCTTTCATTGATTTTCTGCACAGTAGTAAACATCTCTGACATTTTTTTTTAATCCAGGTTCTGAAGAAAGCTCAGTAAATACAGTGGAGACACCTGTCAATGGATTACTGAATGGTCATCTACAGCAGGACATGGAGCCCAAGCCAGAGGAACCCCAGGGAGCCAGCAGTGCTATAAAGCGCTCAGGACTTTACGAGGAACTAGTGCGCCATCAAATGACGCATGGTGAGCCATCGTGGACAAAAGAGGACTCTTACTCTCTAAAATCGGATATATCGGATCGTGGATCTGTGGATTCATTACGTAGCAGAGATTCTTATCGTGAAAGAGCTCCTAAGGATTTGATAACTGACAAACTACATACTGGAGGAGACAAACTGTATAATGGTGGACTAAATGATATTCGTAATGTAGACAATGGAGAAGGCAGTCGCCATAGCAGAAGTAGAGGCAGCCAAGATGCTTTGGATAACTTGGAACAATACAGTCGGCATAGTAGCACTAGTAGCCGCGGAGCAGGCAGGGATGAAAGTGGATCATATCGTGAACGATCTAGTCATTACAGTGATAGAGGGAGCCAGCATAGCCAGGAATACGAGCGAGGCAGCCATCAGAGTGATCGTGGAAGTATTCATAGTCAGTCAAGCAGTAGGCAGGTCAGTAGACAGGGCAGTTACAGCAGCGAGCAGGAGCTCAACCAGGTATTTCATTCCAATGGCAGGGAGAGGAGACCCAGTCTAGAACGCAGAAGCTTGGATCAGGACCAGAGCAGGGAGCATGATCGCGATCGCACATCACCAGCTGGTTCCAAGTCCAGTCACAACAGCCGAGAAGATCCTGGGGAGGTCCACAGAAAGTCCAGCTATCACAGCCTTCCTCCCATGCCTACATCACAGCGCCTCACACAGCAGGACAAGAGGAGCCTGACCCCTGATAGCTACTCAAGAGTTCCAAGGTCATTAGGCCAACAACCCCCTGTGATGAGTCCCCTGGTGACCACCAGGACCACGCCCATGTCCCCACACCCCTCATCCCGCAGCAGCTCCAGGACAACTACACCTGTTGTTGCCAATGGGAACCAGGAGACGGCACACAGCCGAGAGGTAAGATACAGGTGCTGGCAAGATTTTAAAATAATTTGGTAGGTAAGGAAAACAATATAATTATTATTATATTTGTTATATAAGTTATGGGAGATGATAACTCTGGTCTTAACTTTTATTTCGAAGAAACTACATTGTCCAGCTCTCCGGTGAGTGAGATTTGAATGATGCTGAAGGAATCCTAGACAAGGCTGTGATTGATAGTTTTATATTACTCAAGGCAATCAGGCAAAAAGAGAAAAATAAAATTGCAAGTATTTTGAAAAAAAATGACATCATGATCTTATATGATATTCAGTGACTATTTCATTGATCTATTAACCTACTAGAAAAATAAATTGCCTTAAATGTTCTAGTAAATAAACATAGGATGAAATGTTTTTAAAACTAATAAAACAGACAGTACTGAGAATAATTACAGAAATGAAAATGTACTAGCTTTTTAGCTTTTGGTAGTACCATAAACAGGAAGATAAAATCAAGTGAGAGGAATTCATGCCAAGGCAAAAATGCACACTTTTAATATGAAGGTAAAAGAATTCCATCAGAATAGAGACCTATGCATTATCCCATGAAACAAATAGAATTGGTAATTGAGATAGTGATGCTTATATTTTTCCCCACTTTCCAGTATTATTGGTCTATGACTGTGACAGGTGAGACATGCTGTGAAGATAAGCTGCAATGAGGCATAGCTCACACCTGCAGTTATAAGTGTTCTTAGTCTGCTAATGAGGCTAAAGATACTGAAGTTAGCTCACAGAGAAAACTTACAAGCTGTAATACTCCTTGCATTGATCAAGACATAATTTCAGATGACCTTGTTTAATATTAGACCTGCTGTGTCTCTTTTGTCATTAAAGAACTGGAAATTGGTTCCTCAGGTGCTAATGAGCTCAGGTGTACTGGTGATAATATGGCTGATGTTAATTATGTGTTTCGTAACTGCTTGAACAAAGACATACAGTAATACGTATTTTACCAAGTATCCTAAAAGAACATTTTATTGCCATTTTTCCTAAACATAAAGGACCTTTTATATGAACATTGAGCACTAGTATTAACTCTCACAGTATAAGGGAGATAGCAGGTAGGATCAAGTAAAAATATGAGTTGTATCACAACAGATATATTTTGGTTTTGAAGATAGCAGGATATTTGTTCAGATAAGAGCAGACATTCATAATGTAGATAAAAAATAAATTGTAAACATTTATTATGTCTATACACCCATCAACGTTGGGAATAAGTGGTAGGTTTAGAGGAAAAAAACCATTAAAGGTTTTAATATGCATTTTCAAATTTGAACATATCCATTTCAGAGAAGAATTCATTTCAGTATTTATTTGCTTAGGTGAAAGAATTGAGTATCTATTATTGTGATGTCCAAGATGAAATGTGTTTGGGCAGTGAGAGAGTTAGTTGTCACTGGTTATATATAATTCATTGTACCTTGATTACATCTTGTCCATTGCTGCAGGAGAGTGGAAATATTTGAAATTGCATGAAATATCCCAAAGATAGCATGAAATACCCCCACAAGACTTTCTGATAATAAAAGTGCTGTCATCATTCTAGGATTATAACAGAGTCCAGCAATTGGAAGATACAGTGGCCACTTTGAAAAAACTTTTAGCTGACCGTGACGTGGAGGCAAGGCGATATCAGACAGACATTGCAGAACTTTCACAAGAAAATGGCCACTTGAAGACAGAACTGTCCACTATGAAGAGAGCAGGAGGACAAGAATCATCTGCTTATCACCATGGTGATGACAGGAAGGAGGTAAGTTGATGTATCAAAATGATGAAAAATTGCCTCAATTTTCATGATTTCAAGAAGATGATATCATTTCTTCTGAAAAGATTCTGGTAACAGGGAAGAATGTCAGTGTTGGCGATTTGAAAAGGTCTCATTTTCAGTCATTTGTTAGTTTCAGCTAAGACTATACAATATTTTGTTTAGACATGTATCATATATGATAAATAATAGTATTTTGTTTACCTTGCTGCTTGTGAACAGTGGGAGAATGGATATCTCAGAGCATCCATGGAAAAGGTAACAGGTCCCAAGCTTGTATATTGCTGTGGGTTTATTCAAAAGTTTGGTTATTTGTCAATAATATTTTGTCACCAATGGTGCATTTTATGGTGCATTTTTCCTTTTCACCTCAAAACCCCAGTGATGCTTGGTACCAAATAGTTGAGTTAGTTATAAAATGCCCATAATTGTGAAACTAGTCCTTGTCACATTTTCTCGAAATTGTTAGCTCGTGTTTCTTTGCCTAGCATTATCTGAGTACTGTATGTATTAGCATTATCTGAGTACTGTATGTATTAATGCCTCAGATGTAGGTGTTTTTATGTAAATTGATTACCACCAGAAGCAATTAGATAAGTACATGTAGCTGCCTCAAAAACAAGAACTGCAACATCATGTTATTTTTCAATTAGATCAATCAGATGTATAGAAAATTGGAATGTAATCACATTAAGGAACACACCTGAAGAGACTGTACATTAATCTTGATTGACATAATTGATTGGCGTCCAGTAAGGTTAATATTGATTAAATTACTACGTCGCATGAACAATATAGGTTACCTATGAAATATATATCTGCATAACCTCCACCCTGTGAATTGCAGGCTAATGAATGGATATAGCTATTTGAGACTCAGGGTAACCAAACACCGATTATTTCCAAGCCCTTCAGTTCCAGTTGTGCCGCATTGATTTCCTATTGATACAATTCCATTATGCTGTTTAAATAATAAGCAGGCATGATGTAATGTTTGTTGACCACTTGTTAAGAAATATTCTCTTCAAAGAGCCACATCTCTGCCAGAGTGGCAGAGAACTAGGTGACATGGGTATGTGGCAGAGGGAGGCCGGTGCACTTACCTGATACTGAGGTAGACTAGACGTATAATCTGGATGTTTGAAAGATACTGAGCACTCCTGGGAAAGTGTCAGATATGGAGAAGAAGGACAGGGGAAGGCTGTGTGTGGTATGTGGGACTGAATTGCTTCAGGTTCGCACATACAAGAGTATATTCCCTCAGAAAGTGTCACCAAGGTCTCCCAGAAGGGCACCTGTTGGTGGAAAGAGCCTGTGTAGTAGAATTGCGGATATTGTGGGCACAGAGGTGACACCAGAGACAGTGGTCAGCTCTCTGGTGTGTAAAGACTGTGAAGTCAATGTTGGGAAAATTGAAGAAGTTCTGCCAATATGGGAGTTGTTCATCACTGGGTTTTACAGCACTCAGTTACAAGGTGGTCAGGACTATAAGACAGGAGACGAGAAATGTCCAGCATCAGGGGATTTGAAATCTCCAGCAGAAATGCTGCGGTTGGCGAAACAAAGGTTGAATGGGGTTGGTCTTGGACAGGTATGAATGTTTAATGAATAGCAGAAAGCTTTTGTCTTTATTACCAATTGCTATTAGGTTTACTTATTTAGATGGATTGCTGGGTGGATTGGATTATTTCCTGTGGGATAAATTAGAATGGTATATGCTGTTGTTGAAAGGGTAGTCAGATGTAACTAGAAATTGGAATACTTCGTGAAGTGTCATTTTCTTAAAGCTGACAAAAGATGTGTTTGAACCTGTATAGATACATGATTAAAATGATGTTCTCAAAATAATTTTCAGAATTAAATGACAAAGGGTAATTTTTAGGAGGAAACTAATTTAGATTATATTTAAAGTATTGTAAATATAAAATTATATTATTAATACTGCTGCCAATGACAAAATGTTAATAGATGCAAAGATACAGCATGAAAACAAATTAAGTGTTGAAATATAATTTGAAAAGAAAAAAAAATTAGTTTGACATTCTTTCCTGGATACCCCCAAAAAGTACGATAGGACACACCTTTCACCTAAACACCTTTAGATTTAAGGATAAGATGCAAATAATTTCTGCAGTAGGAGCACACACTGTAAACAAATAAACTGAAATAAATTCATATGTTAATTTCTTGAAAAGCAAATCTTACATACTAGAGGTAGGCATTCAAGGGTCGCGATCAATACACCTCCCTGTATTTCACTTTCAACCATTGTAAACTTAGCGTATTTTCTACATTGTATGGCGTGTTTGATTACTGAGTAATACAGCTGTAGCGTGCAGGCAGTCAAGCATGAGTATAGCAACAGAGAGCATTAAAGACGGGGGACTGCTTTATAAGTAAATTGCACCAAGCTTATGCCAGATTACAGCCAGGCGGGCAAGCCTGAGCCCCTATCTTGCAGAGGGGAGATATTAGATTGTTGAAGCAATCTTGATAAATTGATGGTGCAGAAGTGTGTCAGAGATAAAGGTGATGGATATTGAAACAAGTTGATGCAGCCATAAGAAAAATGGCATTGATAAATAAAATGTTCCGACGGTCAAAGAAATACAAGTCAAAGGATAGTAAAAATTCTCCTCGTAACTCACCAGATGAGGTAAGTTCACATTGCTTAACAGGTAGTTGCATGTTGTGAAGGAGTAATGTGTGTTAAATGTTTGAAGATTATTAGAATCTTTTGCTAAATTAAGATTATGACGTATCTTTCGTGTAAGCTGCTTTACTGGGGAATTACGATAAAGGTCACAAGAATTCTAGAGATCTGTCTGCCACTGACTGTGCTATAGACTCCAAGACTATGTTATTGTTTTTGGTTATTTTGTAATAAACATGGTATATAATAGGCACTAAAAGGTAAACATTCGCAGTTGAACAGTTTCTTTTACAACAGATCTGTTCTCACATTATGTAAGAAGACTTGTCAAAATATTTATCTTCTACTGTGTGGTTTGTTCCTCTGTTTGAGTGTATATGCAATGATAAGTTCACCCTCACATTATAGTGTGACTCTTTGATCCCTTGGTATTATCAGGGTTTAGAAAATGTGTATACATGGGGCAGTGAAACCGAGTTGCTCTGTTTTTGTGCCAGTGCCAGGTTTTATATTGTTTCAGTTACAATGCCACATTTCCAGCTTTTAGTACAAGTTCAAGACCTTGTCATAGAGCTGAGGAATACCAGACATACTCTTAAAACAGTTATAGCTTACTTGGTTGAACTGAAATGTGCTCTTTTAAGGATCTCTTCTTACTTCTAAATACACAGAGCAGCCAGAAACATGACTTGTTTCTGAAGAAAACTTCACGTCAGATACAGCAGTAGTGATATGCAATCAAAGATACTAAGTGCATTGAATAAAGTTACCTCTATTTTGTTACAATTTGAACTTGATATAGTTCCATCACATTATCATAAAACCTTACCACGTTGTTTGTGTACTGTATTGGTTAGAGGTGTTAGAAAAGATACCACAAAGATTACTGTTGTCATGATATTATGATATACTGGGTTGCTAGCTGTAGATACTTTGCACTCATTTATGTAAAAAAAATAATCAAGTTTTTTTATTACCTTTGTATTCTTAACAGCTGGAGAAGAGATTTGATGAACTGCTGAAAGAGAAAGAAAACTTGGCAACAGAGGTGTGGAAATTAAAGCAGGAATTGGAGAAAAGTCAAGGGGACAGACCCAGGGATGGCAGCGGAGAGTCTGGGCACTTGGATAACTACAGTCCAAACAATCCATATGCACTGCAGAGGAAAATAGGTGGGTTTGCAGATATATTTACTGTATGGCAGGTTAACTTTTGTACATATTGAATTTACTTCTGAAATTGACATCATCCATTGACAGTGCAGTGTTGCATGTCTAGTTTTTCTGTAAATTTTACTATCATTTTGACATTATTTTTGAGAATTTTCTTAAATTAAACTTCAAAATTTAATAATTACCATATATGTAGAGTATTCTATGTCCTATAATGATAACTTTTTTTATTTTCAGAGGAGCTAGAGAGCCAGATCCAGGATCTGCAGGAAGCCAATGAGACGGCAGCCCTTGAGCAGAGCAAGGCGGAGAAGAGGGCGCAGGACCTGGGGGATGAGAACGCCACTCTTAAGACAGCCACTGCAGGACACTTGCAGAAATTACAGGCAGAGAACCAGAAACTTCAGGAACAGGTTAGACCTTACTGTGAACGCTTTAAAATCACTGTGATTAACAGATATTCTGTAATGGTAATGCCCTAGACATTTTAAAAATTCATAGCCTTCATGTAAACTGCAATGTATAGAAGCCATTGAGATAAGGAAGAGTAAGTGTTTGCTGAATAACACTAATAGATTCCCATGTGACAGTAATGACTCTGAAAATGCCAGTTTGTAGGTATTTATGTATGGAATATGACACAATGTATATCTATTTGGCTAGATTTAGGATGTAGAAATTAATTTGATGTTTGATGAAGTTTTGATGTTTTGATGAAGAATAATTTTTGAAAAATTGCCTTAATTATTAATGGTTTTTGCCTTGTCTGATATTTTTTGAGGTTAACTATTGACAAAATGTATACATAGGTAACAGATTATTCTTACATAACCATTTGTACCTGTTTAAATTAAGACATGGATTTCTTGAGTTCAGAACAATTAGTAGTGTCAGAATTATTGTGTGTTAGGAACTTTGAACCAAAAAGAATATTGATCCCTCCTAAATGTCCAATAAGTGATCAATCTTTTTGCAGTCCTTGAAGCAAAAAAAATGCTTTTGTATTTAACAGATCTTGCAGTTGAATGAGCGTAATACAGAATCTGTGTTGATGGAAGACGAGGAAGAGCTAAGAAAAGAAATTCAGAGACTAAGAACAGAAATGCGTAAGCTGAGAGATCAAAATCACCAAGTGAATGAAGAGAATATTTCCCTGCGAGACCAGCTACGGGACTCAAAGAGACGAGAAAAATACCATTCCAGAGAGAACAGCAAAAACAACGGCTATGTGGGGCAGTTGCAGGAGGAGGACCCTCTAGGTATTAAATATAGTTTTTATGGCATTCATTTCAAGAAAATGTTTCAAGTCGAACTAAATACCTGTTGCTGAAAGGTTTCATCGAATTTTAGCATTAAAAAGCTGGATAGAAATTGAAGTACTTTCTCTCTCAAAGCTGGTGTGACGGGGAAAATGTAGAATGTTTTAGTGCATTGATTACTTGTATTGATTAACATGGAGCAGCAGAGATGTGAAATTGGTTCAACAATAACACCAGTATTGACCAGTGCCCATGTGGACTTGTTTAGTCTATTCAGGTTGGCTTTTTATTTGCCCAGTAATGTGTGTTTGAATGGTAGATATATATTGGTAAGTGAGGGTTGACAAAATATGACCATGCTGAATCAAATTTGATACTGTAGTTTTATCTGTAGGAATAAAATGATTTAATCTACCTTGCAAATCCAGCACCTTTCAATATTTTACAGTTCTATGAAGTAAAGAAAACTTTCAAGTTCAACATCTGCATTTTATGTGTCTTCATGTTAACTGTAAAAACATAATGTCGGACAAAAAAGAAGTAATGTTTACCATCTGTTAATTTCATCAGGTGACAGGAGGGCGCTGATAGAGACAGCAGAAAAGTACCGCCAAGAAAAGCTAGAGGCTGTGGCAGAGATCAAGAGACTGAGGGAAAGAATAGCTCAGTATGAAAGCAAGACAGGATATAAAATTCCCTCACCTCCCAAATCGTCAGGTATTCTTAAAAGTTATAGAAATTTGATTTGGTATAAGAAAGATTTAGTGAAGGCATTTACAAGTACAAGTATTAGATATTAGTGTTTCTTCTTTTGTGTGTGTATGTTAGAACTAAACAATAAAAAATGCATTTCAACTTTTTTCAACAAATCAGAAGTATATTTTATAGAAAGTTTTTATTTGCAGCAGACCATGTGTCCCCGTACAGTGATCGCAGTGATAGTAAACGCTATGATCTCACCTCAGACACGCGTTACCATGGCAGCATGTACAGCTCTGCTCACAAGTCTTCAGGATATGGATCCAGATATGAAGGTTTGTAATACATAGTTATTCTTGATAACATATCTTTTGAAGCTTCAAAGATAACTATTTTGTCAGCAGGTTTTATGGCCTGGATGTATTTCTTTAGAAGTTGAAAAGATTGTTGAAAAAGCTTACTCATTAGCCATATTAAATGGTTTGGAATGCATTCTGGACATTCTGGTGATTTTTATTTTAGAACTGGTTGAAGATTATGTGAGTCCCCCAAGAGTGAATGGAGTACACTCTTTGTACTCTGCTTATACAGGTAAAACTGTTACCTTGCCTGCACCCCTCATGTCCTTTTTAACACCCTGCCTGCACCCTTATTGGCCTCAAATACCCTTCTGTCTTCTTAAACACCCTGCCTGTACCCTACCTGTACTGTACCTGTCCTCTTGCACTCCCTGCTTCTATTCTCTTTAACACCTTATCTGTGCTGTACCTGTCCTCTTTAACACCCTGTTTGTGTCCTCTTTAACACCCTGCCTATACCCTACCTGTACTGTACCTGTCCTCTTTAACACCCTATTTGTGTCCTCTTAACACCTTGTCTGTACCCTACCTGTCCTCTTTAACACCCTGCCTGTACCCTACCTGTCCTCTTTAACACACTGCCTGTACTGTACCTGTCCTCTTTAACACCCTGCCTGTACCCTACCTGTCCTCTTTAACACCCTGCCTGTACCCTACCTGTCCTCTTTAACACCCTGCCTGTACTGTACCTGTCTTCTTTAACATCCTACTTGTATCCTCTTTAACACCCTAACTGTCCTCTTTATCACCATATTTGTCCTCTGTAACTTACTGCACCAGTTCCTTGAGCTCTTATGTTATAGTCTTTTACATCATGTGAAAGTGTTGAAACATTGAAGAATGCACTGTGATCATTCCTGTAAATTTAATTCTTCTTGCTTTGGCCAAGTAACTATTTTCACAGAAATATTGTTGAGTAACTTTACACATTAATCCAACATTTTAAAGAAGAGATTGTATAATAAGTATTGGTACTTTTTCTCTGTCAACTGTTAGACATAACAGTAATGTTATTCCACCTTATCTTGTTCTCATGCACATACATTTGTACATACATTTATATTTCATGTGCATAAATGGTTATCTACATATTGTTTACATTTACTTTGTTTTATTTGCTTAGCGACGTCAATTTTGCCACTGTAAATGTGCAAAGAAAATTGGGAAGTTTTGTAAAATAGTTGTATTCGTGTTTATACACTTTATATTTTTGCCCATGTCATGGTTCAATGTCATTTGATTTTTTCAGCAACAAGTGTTTGAAAGAAAACATACATGTATGTGAGATTACTAATCTTATACAAATATATTTTACCCCATGGAACTTACCTTGGCAGTATGATACAAATATATTTTACCCCATGGAACTTACCTTGGCAGTATGATTTTTCCAGGGGCTCCCAGATCTTTATCACAGCCTGACGTCACACAGCATCTGTTGGGGTACTTTTACTTCATGTCCATTATGATATTTCAGAGCCTGAGGTGCCAGTGCCACGTGTCCCCAGTCCTGCACTGTCAGACAGAAGTGACACCACGGAATATCTCATGGCTCCTCAGCACACGGAGAGCCATCATCCTCACCTCCCTCCTCCTCCTCCTCACCACCCTCCTCTGACATCTCACAAAACGTCTCCGTTCTATGATGATAGAAGTATGGAAGGAAAAGGTGTGGATGGGACACTGCTTCAAACTGAGATGCTTCTCACTAATTTGTGCACATACAGTACAGCTATTAGGCTATTGTGTGCATTTTAAAAAGAAGTCATTATTTATAATCAAACATACTGGTTCTGTAAATGTAGTTTACAATTGTTGAGTTGTAGTTTGCAATAGGGGAATAGTGTTTCTTGCATCTGTTAAATGAACTACCTTCGCTTAGATTGAAGAAATGAACAATTAGAACAAAACACAATTACTTTGCTTGCTGTGTAGCACATCATGGCATCATCACTTTTCTTTAATATTCACATCTACCTGTTGAAAGAGACAAATCACCAAGTTTGTGTGTTAGAGCCTTAATGATGAACTGACTAGTTTTATTTTGCTCTCTCTCCTTGTTAATCTGTCTTGCAGTGATACTATTGGTATTTATTTAGTACTAATTACTCAGTGACTTGATCATGCAGTTCCTTTATTGAATCACTGTGCTTCATAGTTAAAATAAAACTATAGCACTTGCATTGACATAGATTGTCACAATTTTCCTAGTCTTTATCAGATTATTTATAGATTTGAGTTAACACAGTTGTGGCATAAGTAGGCATAGATGTGTGAAAACTACTAGGCAAGTTTGGTTGGGTATAAATGAGCGCACCCTTTATATCCAGTACATTACACATGAAGGTCTTTTACATGTTTTTTATGGCTTTGCCTTATTTCATTTCTCCATGTCTCTGTCCCTCCTAGGTACACGGCACCATGGGGCATTTGTAGATGACGAAGTTGCACCTTCTGAGTCGACCACAGATTTGATTAACGAAATTCATGGTCTGAATATGAACGGCCACGTGCCCAGGCCTGCCAGAAGGAAGTCCATTGACAGCACCAGCTCTGCCTCCTCCATCATGAGTGACTATGATAAAGAGTTAGGTGTCAAGCCATTGACAGGATCTAGAAGTAGGCCTAGGTCGTTTGATGTAGGGGGTAAGTTTCATGGTATTTGCCTAATTTTCATCATCTGAATAAGAAGCTAGATATATTTGGTAATAGCATATTATGCATTTCAGGGTTTGTAGTGTTAGAAAAAAGAAAGAAAAATGTGAACAAGCATGTGTTATATATGCTGCAATAATTCCACTGTCATTCATGACAAGAAAAAGTAATGTAGGATGTAACCGTCAGTGAAAAAGTTTCAAACTTAATGTTTTATGTTTTCCCCCCAAATTCTTGATTATTATAAATAAGGTCATAATTGATGTGTCCTAGGTAAGACCCACCGCAGTGGCTCCCCCACCTCTCCCCCCAGGGTAACATCCCCTACAGCTGGACTGAGGTCAGTCAGTCCATCAATCCTGGTCACTCAGCACAACAAAGGTCTCATTGGTCAAAAGTAAGTCTATGTTTACCAGTTTTATCCAATACCTTTGGAGCATTTGCTCTTAAAGTTTAAATTTTAAGCATGTAGGTATATTGTTAAGTATTTGAAAAGTGAACCTGAAAATTATCTTGACATTTTTGTGTGCTGTAACATATTTAAAAAGCATACTGGGAAAGAAAATACTATTTACATTAGTTTTCAACTCATCTGGTTCCCGCCATGACATTTGTTTTGTTATTGAATTAATTATTCTAACAAATGTTATCGAAAGAAATTCTTCTGTCATCGGAAGTAGAAAACAACCAATTACATTGGAGAAAAAATTTAACAAAATATCTTTTTGCCAGGCGTGAAGGTACCAGTACTTTGGGCAGACGTCCATTTGCACCTCGTAGTCCTGGTGACATCAGTCTGGAAGATGTGATCAAGTTTTCCCGCCAAGGAGGGAAGATCAGCCGCGGTCTGGTTAAGTTTATTGGACACCTACCAGGACGGAATGACACTTACGTGGGAGTGGAGCTAGAAAATGAAGGTAAGACCAGTGGGGCAATAATACTTCTATTCGTAAAGGCTAGGAGACATCCTCATGTAGTCTTGGAAAAAGTGATAAAAGTTGGATTTTTGCCTATAGAATGAATTGAATAAATGTGGATATATTTGATGCAGCTGATTACATAGTGATAAGACTTGTCATCTCTATCTTTTATCCCAAAAAGAAGATTTGAGTATTTCATTATTTTTTTCATTCCAGAGGGTAAACATGATGGAACATTTGAAGATAAACGGTATTTTAGATGGTAAGTTTTGAATGATACTAAACAGTTGACCTGTGTGTATCAGGTAGTCTAATGATTTTTGATGTGGGTAAATATCCTGATGTTATTATTATGAAATTATATTCTATAATCTAAAAAGGAAAATATGAAAAGTAACAGATATTATCTCTAGATGTCTGCATACATATGATGGTATTACATCTGTATTCTTGTATTCATTCCAGTAAACCTAACAAGGGGGTCTTTGTAGCTTTTAACAAGATTATCATGGTATACGGGAGTTATTGACACATATCCAGAAGCTGTAACATGAAAAAGCTGATATTTCACTGACAGAGCAACGTGGGTATACTGGTATCAAATCATGAAGAGAAATCGTGAACATTGCAGTTGTTGAGAAGATGGTAATCAGAAGGCAATACTGCTTTCAAGCACATCAACATTCAAAAGTATCTCACATTTAACCTCTAATAATTATTTGGTGGTACAAGATCTCAGTATATGTGGTGTTTAAAGCCTATGTATTTGTCAAGTAAGAGTGACAGTGATTATTTTTAAGAGTACCCAATGTAATATTTGCTCTTTAAACACAGGTGTAGAGTATCTCCCTTGTTAAAGCATGAGAACCGTTTAGTTTGAGGATCCGTTCATTATTGAAAACTTGCTAGGTATATGGAAAGATGATATGATTCATACTAAAACAAACGAGTGTCAGTGATGTATTTTTGACATAATTATTTAATTGTTAAGTCTATGAGGAAATTCTTGATGAGGTGTACAGATTAGAAAGAATTTTTAAACTGTAAGATGTTGATTTAAAAATGATAATATTGACATAATATACTAAAAATTACACTAATAATGCTATTTTTGAAATATTGTAGTATTTATACATTTACTTTTTATTTTAATCTGTACTTACATATTTATAGTACTTAATGAACATTTATGGGACCATTTCCATTCAGATATACATACAGTGTTGAAAACAAAATTTACCAGTTTTAAATACAGAAAATCAGTATTTTTAACAATATTTGTTCTGCATGCTCTTCTTGAGGTATATTTTTTGAAAGAGGAATGTGGTTTTTGTGAACCAGATGTAGCATTATTTCAAAATATATATTTTCTTTTTGTAGTGAGATAACAGTATATTCCAGGCATTGGATAAGATATAACTAGATGTCTGGATTAATATTTGTACACCTGAAGACATATCTTTGGAGTGATCCCTGTGTCGCTTCATATCTTGCATTTTTTCCGTCCATTATTTTCTTTCAATTTTATATACAGTCCTTAAAGAAAAAAACACTATCGGCAATCATAAATCTGATAAAACGTATATTTAATGGAATCCAACACTTGCAGAACTTGCTCACAATGACATTGAAATGTATGCTAAATGATGTCTATAATCACAGTAATTGGTCTGCAACGTTTTGTTTCGATGTGCGTTTTTGCTTGGCTTGTGTGTAAAAGGTAGAACAATTCTGATTTTGTTTTAATAAAAAAAAGCTATTTGTAAGTTCTTGTGTTATGTGGTCATTTGATTGAAGGTGGGCTTCGATGTCTCCTGTGAGGGGAAATCGTAGAACTAATTAGTTTCATCAGAAGACTTACATCAAGTGGGCAAATACTACTGTATATTAGTGGCCAGCTGAATGATGACATAAGTACCATGCAAAAAATCTTGTTGGACAGTAAGGAAATTTGTCAAGAATTAGCCACAGACATCTGTGAATATCTAGTGAAAAATGCAATATTTGGCCCTGGTAGAAGGTATGCAAATTCCACTTATTAAACGAAAAGGAACCATAAAAAGTTTGAAGATAAATTTTGAAATAAAACTTTTTCCCCTTTTAAGATAATCGGAGCGGACTGGTGAAATGGGCTTTTGAACAAAATTGGCTTGATGTTGGTCAGGGAGAGCGCGTCTTTTTTTATTTTTCGCTCTCAAAATCCTCATTTAATTTCAAGTATTTGAATTCGAAAAGAGGTTTTCAATTTTGTTACAAAAATGTGATTGAAAACGTTTGTCCCCCTTTTCCAAATGTCGATCTGAGTAAGTCATAGAGTTTCATATTGTGCTTTGTATTTTTGTAATCCTTAAGAATTGTTTGGATTTCAATTCATACATTAAAATCGGAACATGAAAAACCAAAAAGGCAAATATTTACTTTTTATACAAATATATTTACTAATAATAATAGTAATAGTAAAGAACGATGGTAGAAGCACATTCAACAACTACGACCTTTTACGCATAAAGCAAAATACAAAGATTCCGATGTAAGCCATGGTAAACTGAGTTTGTACTCGATTAGAATAATAACCCATAAATATGTTCCATAATATGCTTACAGATATTGTTCCATATACTTGTATTTTGGAGGCCACTGGCTGAAAGAAAGGTTTGATTTTTGCGGCACCCTGTACGTGAGATTATACGATAACCTCGGTGCCACGAGACTAACGGTGTCAGCGTTGACGTTGGGAAGAAAATTTCTTTCATACCCTCTTGCAAAGTGCCTGTTTTTCTGTTCAATGCAGTCTGAGCAGTATCTCCGCCCTAACACGTCACAGTACTGGCATCTTTCCAACTGTTCCTCTGCGTCCTCTCTAACCCGCACGGGTTTAACTTTAGCACATTTAATTTCTCTGTCTTCTGAGCGACGCTTGCTCTTTTTATCATTTTGGTACATTGCTTTAATGTATACTTTTTGTCTGTGTTCGGATTGAAAGAAATCGCGATAAACAGTTGGAAGTAATGCTTTATCCCTAGCAAAAGATTGTATACTTTTCATTCGAGTTCTTTGCTGTTCAATAAGTTTCTTTTCTTTAGCACCCTGCACATCGATCCGTTGCTTGGCTATTTTTTCAACAGCTGGAAGTCTCATTTTTCTCTTCAGTATTCCACAGTCTTCTTTATACGTGTGTCCGTATATCGATTCTCCATCCATCTTGTTTCCTTTCGTACGTGTTTTTTCTTGTTTGGTTTGAGAATCTAAAACACTCCACAGATTCTGCGGTCGACGATACAAGTTGATATCAGGATTGCCGATAGATTTATATTTGTAGCAAGTGAGTCTGGAGGTGGGGGGTGACACTGGCGTCCTGTTGTCACTGGTATCAGTGGAAGTGTCACACGAGTCCTGATAATGAAGTTGATACATCTGGTGGTGCGTGAGAAGGCGAGGGAGAATGGGGCGCCTTGATGGAATGCTGGCTGGTTCTAGCCTACTATGAACTGATTTTTTCACATTCTTTTTTACATCTTTGTCCTTTCCTTTCACCACCTCCAGCTTTGGGAGACGATTATTTGACACCTTTCTCTGAAGTACATTGCTTCTTTGCGCAACTTTCATAGTCAGATTCTGTGCTTTCCTTAAATTTTGATCTTTTTTCAAAGGTTCAAGTTTTATCAACACATTTTTATCGTTGTTGGATTCCATTGTATTTTTGTCACATGCTTCATTATTACAGCTGTCATCTTCCGCGTTCTGCTCAAAATCTAAAGTGCACGGCGATTCGGAAAAAATAACTGAGTTTGTTAAAGAAGTATCACCTAACAAAATTGCCAGTGCCTCTCTTTTTTCTGCATCTAACGAGTTTAAATCCACGGTTTGCTGCGTAGCGTCCATAATACCCTTAGCCCTGTCATGGCACCCCTTGCAACCTTTCCGCAACAACGAGGCCCGCTCCTCGGTCGTCGCATGTTTCCGAACCGGCTTTACCTTCGTGTGTTTTTTCGGTTCTATCACCTCATTTACCTCACTGATAATATAGTCACTTTTAATAAGATTGTGAGCTTCTTTTGTCAGCGCAGGCGAGATGGAGTCCGTGTCGGAAGGAGTCGGTGTTCGAACCTCTTCCTCTTTCTCACTTTCATTCTGCTCATCCTGAGATTCCTTCTTTTCAGTATGCGTTGACACAGCTGATTTGCTGTTTTCCAGTTTCATATCTTTTTAAAATCTGTTTCCAGTTACTCGAACGATGGTGTTTTTTCTGTTAACAGCCATCTTGTGATTTGGCGTCATCGGGATATCACATAACGCTTGGTTTCTAATGCTCACGACTGGGTCATGGCGTCTAATGATCGGTAGCGTTAGTCCTCATGCAGGCTTCTCGTAACTCCAAGATACTTTTGAAACCTCACAAAAGTTTTGAAATAAACATTTTTTCAGTCCACAAAGATGTATCAAAATCATGCCACTTCAACTGACACAACTATCTTGGCGACCTCACGATCCCCGGGTATATCTTTCTGTTGTGCTATTTCAGTTAACCGTTGGTTAACTTCCAGCCAAGAAAAACACACATATTTCATGTGTCACTGGCGCTGCAAACATTGAATATTGACGCGTAGCTGCGCACACTAGTCGAGAAAGAAACACCTGTTTTTCTTCCCCAACGCTCGACCTCTTTTACTGAATGTTTTAGCCGCGGGTAGTAGCAAAGGTCTGCTTAAATGGGCTTACTTAGAGATTTTTTAATGCGTCGGAGCATAAAGAGCATTGAAAATGATTATAATAGACGCTGAAAAGAAGCGACCTCATATTGATTGAGACCGCCATAACACTAGGTAACAAAGAAACGACGAAAAGTAATCTCAGTCCCATGTACATAGTGATTCGCTTTTAGCAAGTATGCATTATTAATCTACAGTAAGCAATCGGATGCTGGCTGCACTTTATTTCATTTGGTAAATCATGGACACAAAACTGCACTGTAAACACTGATCAATGCGCCCTAAAAGGGTGCATTGTTGTGGAAATATTTGTCCAGTGACACGGTCCGATGGTCTATACTTGTCCTTTTTACTGTCATGAATATAGTGGCCATTTGATTACGAATTGGACAAGCTCAATTATCTTCCGATTGACTGTTACTGTTGACATCACAAACAAACAAAACAATTAAACCAAGCATTTACTCCGTTCCGGTCAAGTTCTTCTTGTTATAGATACGTCTTTTAAATTACTGCTCACAATGTGAAACGCAAGATGCAGTTATGCAATTTAACAGAGTCTCAATATTTGGTATTTTCATTTCAGTGGCGGAATGAGTGTGATATAGGACCTTCAATAGTCCTCTTTAGTTACCTTTTAGTTACACACCTATCGCAATTTGTTAGAGATTTGAAGCACAATGTATGTGGTGTAAAGTTCTTTTGTGCAACAACCCCCAAACAGTAATTAACTTTTCTGTTGACCGCGAAAAGATAAAACAAACTGTTCGATTTATAAAACTCACGCTTCTCTCAAAAATAATGCAGAAATCGCTTTGAGATTTTTTTTGCAGTGACTCAAATAAATCATTTAAAATCGGACCCTGATTCTACAACTTAGGTTATGTCATGTTATATTCTCATTCTCTTTGCCCTACGTAAGGAAGCTTGCAATAAATGAAGCATGGCTGTACATGACAGTGATACACTACATCTATGATCAGTGGAATTTTCATAAAAAACATTTTGTAATAAGCTGACTGAAATGCTACTCTGTATTTATGTGAAAAGCACTTTAACCTTCATAAATGCTGAGCATCCTTGCCAACCATGCGGTCTCCGTTGCGTGATCAGCCTAATTCAATACCGGGGCTGATGATTTTTTGCATCATACAAAAATGAGGACGTTGTTGGCAGAAGAAAATGCTCTACATAATAAGCACATTTTTTCACTTTTCTACAACTCTTTCCGTTGCCAAAACCATGTTTTCCATCCACTAGAAATGCAATGAAACCTTTATGAAGTCTGTTATTTTTAATCTGAAATAGCGATCGACCTGACCTTGGGCCCATAAATGTAACCCATACGCTGTACAAACTGTATCATATCATACTGTTCGATTACTTTAATATTTTGAAAAATAAAGCAGAGGTCAGGCAAAGTGGTAAATATAAAACGACCAAAGAAACTTAATTATGTATAACATCCTTTATTTTTGACAATGCTCTCTGGCACGCACATAATGTAAAATATTTTCAAAAAGCAATATTTATTTTTGTCATACGTACATGTAGATCACCATAAACAGTCCATATCCACTGTAACAATTCATTAAAATCAACATTAAATATAATAAAATAAAATAGAAAATGAAGGTTTGAAAAATTGGACATGAGCAAAGAGTTAATGATTTTGGCACGGTCACTTTTTAAGTGTCGACCGATACAACCAATTTGCCTGCATTCAGAACATTTGAAAGTTTATTATCACAAAGTCAATTTCAAAATTTAATAACAATTTGATTGCACATCAAAGTCACCACGTTTTAATCATTAGGCTGCGTCGGTATGATAATATTTAACTTCTTTCTGAGCTTGCTTGCATCATTTTCGTCTTCCATTGTCATTTCAAAGGCAGAGCATCCCATCTCTGCCATTGTTTCAATGTTTCTCTTAGCACTGCATTCTCCACAGAGAAGGCCGTCCTTCTTCAGATTAGGAAATTTCGTCATCTGGCCCGTAGTATGAGCTCTGTTCATATTCAGTCTGTCTCTTTCTTCCAGCGTCAGCTGAATACAGTTATCAATGGTCGTTGGAAACCTGTGCATCTTTGCAGCCTTATTGTTGAGTATCCCCGACAAGTGATCTGCACCTTCTGATTTGCTCATAAATTTTTGAAAAGACGGGACAGAGTCGTATGCCGCTGCTCTGTTAAGGCGACTTCTCTGTATTGCCTCGTATGTAGCAGATCGTGCCTTTACTGCCTTTTCTACCGGCGACAGAATGGGGCGCAAACTGCTTGCTGAAAGGTCGGATCCCAATTCCGATCCCGAGACTCTTTTTTCTTCCCTTCGACTGCGACTGTCTGCTTTAAGCACCAATTCCACTGCATTAAGAGACGTGCCGCGCTTTCTGCTGTTCAACTTACTCATTTCTTTGATACGTCCCTCCGCAAATTCTTTATCATTTGAATGCTGTGAACTGTTCCCTATCCGACTAACAATTTGCGATAAATTAAGTCTGTCTGGATCTTCGGTATCCTGCTTTTTCTCTTTGGGAAATTGTTTGACGCGATAATGGAAAGCTTCCGAGTTTTCTCGGAATTTCTCCTGGAGATCCAGTTCTCCTGGGGTCAGTTTCATTGTCCTCCAGAAGCCTTCCCGCATTCTTTGAGCACGGCGTTCATTTGCCTCGAATATGATAGTCGACGGCAATCGAGAGATTGGCTCTCTTTTCTTCGTTGGTTTGATTTCGCTTGGACTTATGGGCCACTTCGGTAAAGTGTGTTCCATTTTGCCAGAACCTTGCCTAGAACCGCTGTCATTGCTGTGAGAATCAGTTTCATTGATATCAGTCTTAGAATCTGGTTCTTGTGGCTGTGTGCTGTTTTCTTGACAACCAGCGGGAAATGCACTGCCACGTTCAGCACTTGATGCAGTACTTAATTCATTTTTCATGTATTGCTCAGAATCGAGAACTCTCCCGTCCTGAACATTTTCATTATCTTTGGCCTGGCCGTCAGGCTCGCCGAGTTCATTTAACTTGGAGAAAGAACGATTGCGTGTCACTGCCAGCACAGGAAATTCTCTGGACGGGGTTTTCTCTGTGATAACTGGTTCTTGTATTCCTTGATTGAGAGGCTGTGACAGTATAATTAAAGTCTCCATCCACACAATTGTACCAATCACAGTGTCATGCTCTGACTTCTAGGTCGATTTAGTTATCCTGTCCGTTAACAGTGTCACTTCTTTCCACCAGAGTATTTAAATTCAGTTTATGTTCTCACTTGTTGTGTGACCGATGAATATTTTTTCTTATATACCTTGAAGATTTCTCGTTTTCCAATCCGTCTGATATTGACTCCAAAACGCCCCTGGCTCCAATGGTAATATCTGAAATAAATGAGACCCACATCAGCTGGAACATTTTGTTATTTTGTTGGTTATGAACACAACATGTACTTGCTGCTCTTTATATGTATATGTGGCCATTATACAAATCACTCTTTCTAAATAGTTCAATGTATTTGTTTTTCTCTGTAACCAGTCTATTTCCATTTTACGATATTGGTGTAAAGAGCCCCGGGCAGCTAAAATAGCAAACAATACTATCCTTAGTAGTTTGAATTATATCCTAAGTAGTTAAAAGTGCGCCCCTTTCAAATACTTTGTTTAACTAAACGAAATGATCTTAGTTTTGTCACGCGGACATCACTATCAAACTTATGATTTCTTAAAAGGTTTGAATCGAGACTTCAAAAACTTTCAAGGCGGAGACGCTTAGTACTCAACAATTTGTATTGTTTACATTACGTGATATTGTAATGACCTCTTACCTTCGATTTAAAACGTTTTAATTTGATATCAGTGGTGTAAAGTTTTCTGTGATCTGCACTAAAATACACCTTTACCTCGAGGTTAGTTAAAGAAACGAATGAGGGTCTCATGTCATAGTAAACACTTCGGACACTATGGGAACTTCGATACATATTGGAAATATTGCCTAAGTAGACTACTGGGTTTCGCTATCAATTCGTTTGATTCGATATCTTTTGAATTGGTTATTGGTCTTTCATGGTCGGAATCAATATTTACATCGAAGATGCTTAACGATTTCAAAGGTGCCATTGATTTTTATAAACATCACCGTCTTTGAACAATGTCTGGGGCGTTTTGAATATTTAATGCCAACTACTCCATCGACTTTATGTAAGCGGACACAATCAAAATGGTAGGAACAAAACCTGTCATTAATCCCGTTTTTGTTAATCCAATTATCGTAAATAGATATTACGTTGTGAAATAACAGAGATGTGTTTTCTTAAGTTGACACCCAGCATTTGTTCCATGTGCTTTTGGCTAGAATTAATGATTTAATGAGACCTGTCTTAATGATGTAGCTGTTGTAATGTCAATTAATAAACAACAGGTGTAGAAGAATATTGACAAAATTTTGATACAACAGTGATCGCATCATCCATTTCAAAGTACTTTCAAAGTACATTTTTTCATCATGTATGTCAAAGACTCGTATAGTAACACTTACTTCTAATTGTTGCGTCTTCCAAATAACTTTAAAGCCTGCTTTTCCGGTTAAATGTTCTTTCTCATTTTGTAATTTAGTTTAAAAGAGAATACCTCCATCGGTGTGCCAACATTTAAATTCTGTTGCATCCCAATCAATACAAAAAGATGTTCTTCTTTCAATCTACAATCCTAGCGACAAGCAAATGTGTCTCCTCAATGCAGTGTACCACCGAGCACCTTATTATATCTAGCCAGATAGGTTTATATATTTAACCTTATGCTCTTTCTTGTATGTTGTTCTTGTAAAATTAGAAGGTCTCATGTAGGATCATGTCAATAAAAACAGCTCAAATCTTTAGTACAAATACCCTCCGCCAGCATACGGCCTACTCCAAATAACAACCAGCACAAAAAGGTGACCCAAAATGGTACGGCGAACATCAAGGTTTAACTTATACAAACTTATATCTTTGATGTTTTTACAGCCGTGACTTTTACACTTTTTTCGAAAGATGGCAAATGGTGCTAATTTGAAGCGGAAAGAATTAAAAAAGGTGACAACCTTAGATACAAAATGAAAGTCGAAACGGATCTTCACTGTACATAATTTTGAAAGATAGTGGCCCATAGGTTTTAATTTGCTGAGCGAAATTATGCATCTTTTAATCGTTCCATTTGTATAATATTGATATTGGTTGTGACAAAATATTCTGTCATATTCTGAATATGGCGTGATATTCAACTTAAGTTTATTAACGCTTGCTCACAATAATAATTCTTTAGAAAAAACAAATTTGTGAAGTCAAAAAAACGACGAGAGGGATAATCTCACGATCATAACCGTAAATACCTTCGGGCATTAAAATATCTTGAAAGTAAATTTCAGAAATTCGTTTTGTCAACAACTTATGGATATCACACGTACCTGCATCCTCCAGGCGTTAGTGCCACGAACCGAGTGCGCGTCTTTTAAGATACCTCCACACCCATCTATTTCTTATTAACACCTGCGGCGTTGTTCTCAATCACCTTGAAATAATTGGCTCAAATGATTTCAAGCATACATATAGCCCATAATGATGATGTCACGACGAAATGTTTATCGATTTATTTTTGCCATTTCTTCAGGACGCCACTTTGCCCTCTTTGTAAGGAAGCGTTGCCCTGGTGTGGATACCTGTGTCAACTACTGATGTAACCCATTATTATATGTTTTATTTACCATTCGTTTGTTGAAAAGGTTTGCTTACCATAATATCTGTTGAACATGTTTGGTAAATTCAAGAAATTGATAGTTTGTGGGAGTTCAGGCGTATGCTGCGTACACTACCTAGACATGCCAAAGTAGAGGATTATCGCGTACAGTAACAAATGGATAAGGTTACGGCAAAAAAATATAAGTGACTTAGATTATGTTGCGTGGTGCATTTGTTTTATTTTCTTTATAAATTTTTGTGTCTTGGCAGACTCACAATCAAGACGATTTTAGACAGAAAACTTAACACGTAAATCATCGCGTATTTTAAAAGGAAGCCTGGCTACACAGGGAGCATTTTTAAAGCACAAGATTTACAGCATTTAATTTGTAACACCATAAAAGTTTTTATAGAGAACGTTTTTGTTGATAACTGACAGTAAAGAGAATACTACTCGTCAAATTAAGATGTGTCACGTAGAGTAGATTTAAAAAAAAGGTGATTTACACCTCCATCCGATAATTTGTAGACAGACAGTATCCACTACGCATGTTTACACTTTCTTTGTTGGTTATGGTTTTAAGAGGAAACACCCAATGATTACAGCTAATCACTGAATGCTCCTTTCTGTCGCATGTTGCACTTTTAACCTTCTATTTGTTCAGTGTTTTTCCTTGCACCTTTTTTCCCACGACCTATTCAAATTCATTAATGTGGTGTGTAAGTGCAGAGTAGTTAATTATGTTGGCAGGCTGACAAGATTAGTGATCTGTTAGAATTTCGGATTAATGAATAAAGTTATGTCTTATTCATTCATATAAGTAAACTTAAAATATTGGTTTAACAATAAAATTGTTATTGACGCAATGTTTCCACTCTACCACAATCGAGTGAGCAAGAGAGAGAGAGAGAGAGAGAGAGAGAGAGAGAGAAAGAAAGCATTGCAGAAGATGGAAAATAACGACTGGATCCGCTATTTCAAGTATTTATTCGGCACTCTTATTATGTCATCTTTTTTTTTCATTTTGAGCAATATTCAGTAATACTTGAGAATAGAGAGTGAGCAAAAATATCCTCTCTGATTTACAAAAGAATTGAAAAAGGTACATTTTGCACACACACAACTTAAAAACAGTTGATACGCTTGAAAAACGCGAAATATCTTAAAGTTCTTGTTTCATTATTTATGAATTAAAAATGGTATGAAATACAGATATTCCCAAAAACAAAAAAATAGATGTAATATCCATGAGTCAAAACAAAATTCACAATATGGTCAGCATGTTTTGTGAGCAATAATAATAATAATAATAATAATAATAATAATCAACTATAAAAATAATTAACGAATCATTTTGCCCAGTTATATGATTTGCATGCACATGGTAGCCTGTTATTTAGTGCAATGGTATAGGAGCAAATACTGAAACGCATCCTTTTAGATTTTGATTTTTTTACTCTCTTTGGCCATTGTCAACTTCACCTTATTCATTCATTTATTCATTCATTTCCTCATTCATTCCCTCATTCATTCATTAAAAACACTGTATCCAAACGGATCATTTAAAATTCAGCCGTTCCATCACCAACTCTACCCATTATACAATGTATTCCTTCTTAGTGTATGATCTCAGATTTAAATCCTTTTTTCTACTAATGAAGAGTAATTTCTTAACATAATATGTCAAAATCACTCAGTGGTTATCAATAATAAAATTTGCTTCATTTTGTTATAATGTAAACTACCCTTATACCTTAAAAAGACTAACACAATATGTAACAACGTAAGCCTAAGAACTCAGCCCATACTGTGGGTGCTTCATGCTTTCCTGGGGGGTGGACGGCACGCTAAGAGGTAAAGACCTTTCCGTGCGAGCACTGCCTTGTGAAGGCGTGGCAATAGACCCAGAGTCCCAGGACTTGTACTCGTCCTCATCTGTGTCTGAAAACAGCCTGCTTGGCAGTCTCTCTGGCAGCGTGTACTCTAGGTCAGACCCAGCGAAGAAAGACGGTTCCGCATTCTGTTGCTCCACTGATAGAAGAGGAGGAGAGTATGGTGTAAAGTGTAACGATTTTTCGACATCGACAGCTTTTTTCGTACTGACGAAAGTCGGAAACAGTCTCTCAGATATGGTTTTATCTTGGCGGAGTTTGTTAGATTTGGGGCGCGACCCGTCGGTCATTAAGTCTATTCTTCTCGGAACTCTCCCTGACACAATCTTCGCGTTTAAATCTGCGATACCGTTAAAGTATGTCAGTGATGTGCCGTCATTGACAACATTTTTGAGTCTGTGTACTCCTGTTTCCGAATTAGCGAAGCTCTCCTGTCTCAATTCCCTACTTGAAACTAAATCTCTTGGACTGAATGGCTTCACGTCGATATATTCCATGGCAACGTTTTTCTGTATTTCGGTAGGACTCATATTAGGAAGATATTTTTTCAATATAGTAGTCGTCGCCAAATTCCTTGCAGATATGGTCAAGTTTGGGAAAGCATGGGCAGATTTCCGTGTATTAAAATGCCTTCTGTATAATCTTGAGCAATCACGGCAAAGTCCTGGACCCAAAACGTCACAACACTGTCTGGGAAGCTCGCCAACAGATGGTTTTGATTCGATGGACATGGCACTTTCTGCTCTTTTACATGTTAATTGTCCAACTCTCTCTCCCCCCTCGGACACCGACGGCCGCCTGATGATCTGGTCGACGGGAGTTGCCCGTTTGGATAACATTGCTCCATGGGGCTCTGTGAGTGACCTGTTCTTATTGGGGAGGTTCTTAGGGGGAGGAGAGAATTGTTTGATATGTATTTCTTCTATTGTGTGTCGCCTGGACCTGCAGGATTCTCTCAATCTGTCTAATTCTGCCAGACGACACACGTCTGTGAGATTCAAGGACAGCGCCTTTTTCCGCCCGCGAGATTGAGAGATCGTCCAGGAGTCCATGGTTACTGCACGAGGCCCCAGGCTAGGACGGCTAGTGACCAGACTCATCTGAATAAAAAACAAACAACATTTCATTAATCTACTTATACGATTAAAAAAATGAAAACTCAATTAGATGTGTTGAAGAAAATCGGGACCTGACCCTGTTGTCAGATCTCTGTTAACCTTACCTTATATTTAAAACTATTATTAGAAACCGTGATTTTTTATACCCTGCTGAAATAATTCACTGATATTGACAGCTTTTGTTTCGCCCCGACGTATTAATCTAACTAAACAGGAATATTTTACAAGAATCTACGGATTCTTTTAACCACAAATAAACATGTTTTTAAGGGCGGAAATTAGCCTTACCCCGTCCTCTGTTGTGTCTGGGCCTTATACCTAGTGATATTGATTGAAACAATTGCTCACGTGGGACCAAAACCTCATCATATTGATGGGACAAGAGGGGTGAAGGAGAAAGATGGTCGATATCCTTATCAAACGGAATGTATGCCTACTCTGTTGAATAAATCTGGCTATTGACTGTAGCACTAAGACAATCTATATTTTTGACGTCCCAGGAGAAGAGAAGAGATATTTTTAAATCTAGCAAATATAGTGGTAACATAATATTTACCTTTAGATTCATTAAAGCGTTACTGTATATCGCCAGTAAGATATAGACATCACAATAATCAGCTAATAAACTGTAATGCAGATAACAGTACTGAAGACAAAATCAGTAATACAGACTTGAAACCAAAGTGACTCAACCTTCTTCTTCCTCTTTTGAAAATTGAATTAGAACCTCTGTTTTTGTTTTAATACTCACAGTTGATATGCCAGACATGCAACACATTAATTCAATTCCCTGAAAATCTGTTGTTTTTTTTTTCCACATATCGTATCAATCAGAGCACCTGGTGTCTATAAAAACTCACCTTCGAGACGGTCTCCTGCCTCCTGCAATCCTTCAAGTTTACTACTACGTCAGGGATCGCACTTGTTGTCTACATTCTGTACCCTCTGTTCACTAAATCTTCCAGTCAGTCCATTAGCTGTATCAGTGTGTGGCCCTCATTTGGCCAGTCATCACGTCATACTTCGTTTCTGTCAGAGATCACAAACAAAAATCAATAGAAATTGTGCATCTACCGTTTCTAGCCTGGTGTTTGCATTTCTGCCCGAAATGTTTGCACACACTATGTAAATCTCCTTTCATCGGACCATTGCTGGGTTACAAAGATGTAGCCCTAGCAGTGAAAGCCCCGGACTAATGGGTTTGCTTTATTAAATGAAGCATTGTATATTAAAAGCTTGGTAAATACAGATTAGATTTTATCACTCAAGAAAGAAGTACAGTTCAGCGTGTTTGCGAAATATTAAGTGCATTTTTCGGACGTTATCTTTATATTTGATTTTGGTTCTAGAAAGTTAAATGTCAAGTCAAATGTGCAAGATAAAATATATTTCTAGTAACCAAAAAATGCGCGTTTTACTTTCATTTGACGTAGTGTGTACTTTTTAGTACCTTGTCGCTCCGATTTTCTCACAACAGCTATTTACCTTTAATTCACAACACTTTTTAAAGGCATTTTAAAGGTCTTATTTCTGAACTTTACCAGAGACGCTACTTAGCATCCCTGTATTATATTCTGCATGCTCTATATCACGAAGACCAGGAACGATGGAAATATTGTGGCTGTTGCCATTTCTTGTTATCGCTTATCTTTGTTTGGATAGTTATTGCCCAAGCCAAGATGTGTCATTTATTTGTCCTGTTGAGTAAATAACGTTAAGTTTCTCCGAGACCTCGGCCAAATTTAACCGCGCATGCCTATATCTATACTAATGGGTAAACTTTTCATTTGAAAGTCGTAAGAGAACTTACGAAACTGTTCTCTTTTATTCGTAAACACAGTACTTTCAAGAGCTCAGAACCAACACTGATTCTGCATACACTGTATAGGACGTCATGCTAGTTTTTAGTAACCTGATTTTGCAGTTGGGCCTGCACGTTTTTTTTTTTTTCACATCTACTGCATTACCGCTTGTAATTTGTGTGATAAATACAGTGTATATAATATGGATACTCTTTTCAACATTCTACTGGTATGGTCAACGTGTCACCGAAAACAATCCCATATGTTGATTGGTAGACAAGGAAGAGCTCATTTCTCCTAACATTGAAACAAAATATACTCCTCTTATTAATAATCTATGTGGGGGATGAAATTAACACTGGCAAAACATTGCACACCAATTAGTACTAGGAGTTTTTCCTGCTGCATTTGAGAATGGCATTGCAGAGCCAAAACTGCCAGTTCTGGAATTAAAACATTTATGGTTTGCTGAAGATGTTTGTTCACAGTGGCAGGAAGTTAACAATAGAGTGGATCTACATGGTTTTATTTTTGCTTGTCACAGAAAAAAATCAAACTACATAACACTTTTTTTCTATATTTTTTATGTGTAAAAATGTAAAGTTGTCATTAAATATTGTTGAATTGCACTTAGGATGTAAAATAAATTACATGTTATAAAATTATTTGTTATAAAAAAACAAATTTTTCAATTACATCAAATAATTCTGCACTTAGCCCCTCATATAAAGTAAGGTGGAAGTGTACAATGGAACCAAGCTGTGTGTGTGTTCGTCCATCCATCTGTGCACAGAATCCAGTTGTCTTTTTTCAACTAATACCAATTATTGTTGCTTACTCACTCAAATAATTAACATGTACAGTACTCTTTGGTGCAAACGTGCATTCTTTTTTTTTCATTTCAATTTTCTACACAATTCAGTGATCGATAGCGGTAGTTATTTTCACATGATATGTTGAAATAAAGTTCACTTGTTTATGACATGAACACAATTCCACCTATTGTTATCCATGTCACAAATTTTTCACTTGGCAATAAAGAAAGATATGCCTCCTGAGAAACATTTAATGTTCTATCTTTACTATTTACCCCTCCCATGGTTTAGGTTTTCTCTTCAAATGCGAAACAGTTGGTTCAGAATCTGTTGATTTTATATTCAAGTCTACCACTCCTGGAATTGGCTGTCCTGTATCAACTAAATGCATTATTTCAACAAATGAAGCTGGATATTTGGGAATGGGATTGTCATCATTAGTCTGAGTACTTGTATCTTCATGATGAGAATCTATGAAATGAGCACCATGTTGTATGTTTTTTACCTCGTCATTCTCATCAGTCAATTGTTTAGAATTCTCCTTATGACATTGCACTAAATCTGTTTGAAATGGTTCAGTATCAGAAGACTGGGGAACTTTTAGTCTTGTTTTAGAGCTTTCAGTACCTGGAAGTAGCTCTGTAGATCCAGACTCATTTTTATCTGGACTACAAATTTCCTTTGACTTTGGATCCTTGTGAACAGAATTATCTTCTGTGCATGTATTACCTTCTGTTAATATCACATTTTGAAGGAGCCACTGTTTATATTTGTCCACATCAATAGGTTTATGAAATCTGAAGCATAATGAGTAGCAATTAAAACCGGGGAAAACATGTCAATTTAAACAAATTAATTCAATTACAACACGTTACTAATTATATCAACTGCATGAATCTACGAAGTTTGTAAGTTCAATAAATAAGACTAATCAACACCAGAGTGTGTCGAAAATGGGCAAATAGCTTATCAAATTTGGGAAGAACCATGCGATAGAATTTAGATGTTCTAGACCTACTGGTAAGACAGAAATTCAGAAATTTACTCAGTAGCCTGAGTAGGGCATCAAATTGAATTATTTGTTCACCTTGAGTAAAAGAAGGCCTTAGCCTTCAATAGTTGAGAGCCAGCATCTGCGTCTGTTTCTTCCCTCAAGCGTTGTGCTATCTGCTGCCAACCTTTTTGAAACGCTACATTACTTTCGAAATCATACTCATGGAAATCTCGAAAGTGCGTACAGTCTGCCGCTTCCATCATGTATGCTTCGTGAGGGAGCATTTGATTTGTTAGTTCAAAGTACATAGTTCAGTATTTGATTTGGCAAATTTGATATTTGCCCAAAATATTATTTGTATGATATTTCTACATATAAATATAAAGTTGGTTAGCTTGCTGTCGAATATTGAGATATTATGCCATATCGTTAAAATGTCGCAATTTTAATTGAAAAAGACTATGAGCTGCTCCTTAGATGACCTTGACTTGAAATCCAATTTAACACAAGCCCTAAGCAAGCTTTTGGTAATTTCCGCTCAAATGTCTATTAAAAATAAGACATTTGTTAATTAATATTGAATGTCATGTGCTAAAACTAATATATTTTGGAGCTTTCAAGTTATTCGTAATTTTTACCTTTACATCTATTTTGGTATTAAATGCATAGAGCGTAACAAAATCCAAGGTACGGGCTCTCTTACCGGTTACATACAAACAGCGTGTGTGCCGCAGGAAGTTTGTTTAGGGCAAGTGATCTAGGGGTTCTACAAAATCGCAAGTGCCATAATGGGACCAAAAGCAAAGAAGGCTAAGGTAGATTCGGGCGCTTCTGCACCGGTGGATGGAAGTGGGGAATTCTTTCCAGGTATCTTTAATTACTCAAACTTGCAGCTTGCTAAACGGCACTGAGTGTAGTGGCTAGTGCCCTACTTTAATTTTGAACTAGGGATGGCGTTATCAGTTTCAGATTTTGGGCTTGGTTGGGTCAACAAGCAGCAGGTAAGAGGTCAGTAAACGGAAGATATTAACGCGCAGGATACGATTATGTAATTGGTATGTTCAACTATCATGGCAACCTTGTAAAATTTCAATGCGCTTGTACATATTAATTAAATTACTTAAAAATTACTTAAAAATGAACGCCACAAGCTCAGACAAAAAATACTTAGCCAAAATGAGAATTAGTGACCACGAGCTAGCGATAGAGAAAGGCAGGCACATGAAAATCACCCTGGAACAAAGAACCTGCACAAGCTGTAAAACGGAAATAGAGGATGAGAAACATTTCTTCCTCACATGTAGTAAATACCAAATAGAGCGACAAAATATGCTCAGTTCCCTCCCAAACACTGTGAGACAAAATAATGAATTAGCAGGCAGTGATCAGAAACTATTCATCCTCCTCAACCCTCAAGATCAGAAATCACTAAAAGCATTATCACAGTATATACAGTTAGCAACACGATGAAATATCACTTTCTCTCTTTTTATGTAAGTACAATATGTTAGATTCTGTAGTAGACTAGACAGCAAACAATGTTAAACTGTAACATTCAAAGCTGAATAAATTATTATTATTATTATTATTATATTAATTGTTTTGAAATATGGTTTCATTTTGCTATTTCTAGGTATTAGTGCCATCCAATACAAGCCTGATGCCCCTGCAACAGACACCCTATGTTATAAGCATTACAATGCTAAAGAGGTAAATATGTTGATTTATTTTGGTGTTGTAAAGAGATTTTGAAGAATAATTGATAACACATGAAAGATTATGTCATAAAAAAAATCCATATACAGTTTGTGTAGTTAAATATCATTCTGTTTTCCATAGGTTGTTCATGGTCGTACAATGGAAGAATGGCTGAGGTTTTCAGTGGTGTACTGGCACACCTTCCGTGGCACAGGTGGTTATTTTAATAAATTTACTCAAATTTTATAAGCACAACAATTTGTCATATCAGGGATTTTATTTGTATTGAAAAAAAGATCATCATATCAACTAATAACTGAACTTTGGTGCCAATTAAGTATTTGTCTTTGAAGTTGAGATTGTCTCATTTTCTTGCAGGTTTGGACCCATTTGGCTCAGCAACCCTGAAAAGACCCTGGGAAGATGGCACAGACAGCATGGAAATGGCCAAGAAAAGGCTGCGTGTAGCTTTCGAGTTTTTCACCAAGCTAGGGGTGAAATATTGGACCTTCCATGACAGGTAGTTTCACTATGAAGATTTGATATATGCTGTTTTAATTAGTTAGGCCTTGTTTACAAAGATATCACATTTCTCATCTAAGGGCTCATTCCCTTAGTAACTATTAGTCGATATAGGTCAATCCAACTCTGCAGGTTCTCCCTGAATGCAATCAGTTTAACAGATTAACATGCTTCCTCTTGTTTCCAATGTATTTGCATGATCACCAGATTTTCTGTATTCTACTTAATGCCAGTGGGAGGCATGTGAACCTATTATCTTTGTTGTCCACCAATGGTTTTAATGAGAATGAACCCTGACTAAAAAAGGAAATAGTGATAGTAAATCATGTAAACTTTTGATATTAGTCTTTTATTACTTATACTGGATGTAACATGTCTTTGAGCCTAGCTATCTTAAAAGTAAATAGGAAGATTTATGGAGATTGTGTGCACTATTTCTGAAGTGCTTTATCTCATAAATGATTTGCATTACAGGGATATTGCCCCAGAGGGAGCCACCATTGAGGAGAGCAACAAAAACCTGGATGAAATATCTGACCTTGCCCTTCAGCTGCAGAAAGAGACTGGCGTTAAGCTGCTGTGGGCAACATCCAATCTTTTCTCACATCCAAGGTAAAACTGATTTTTTATGTTGTTTCATAATCATTTGAAATTCATTCATTTTCTTTTTACAAAGACAATGTGTCTATTTAAAATGCCTATTTATTGCAGATTAATTTTTACAAATGTAGCATTGATTTTATTTACATCATTAGTTAACTTTTAATATTTTTCCAGATATATGAATGGTGCGGGCACCAACCCTGACTTACATGCCTATGCATATGCTGGAGCACAAGTAAAGAAATGCTTAGAGATTGCCAAAAAGCTTGGGGCAGAAAACTTTGGTTTGTCATACTTTCTTTTTTATTAGGCTGCATGCTCTTTAGTGAGTCAAGTCTGCTTGTAAAAGTTCTACATTGAAATTATTTGAAAATTGTGAAATAATACATTTCACATCTTTGTGATTTTTAAATGCTTAAAAACATATGAGATTTCACTATAATAATTTATATATAAACCAAACAATGCATTTTTGGTTTGTTTTAGTGTTTTGGGGAGGAAGGGAAGGCTACCAGAGCTTGCTGAATACTGATGTTCATGCTGAACTTTCACATATGGCCAACTTCTTCAAAATGGCTCTTGGTAAGTATAAATTTACACAGATTTTTTCCCCTCATCTTTGCATATTAGTACGTCAGTAGTGTAATCCCTTTTTGATTTTAGAAAAGGTCTCTGGCATGGTAACTAAGGACAAATACATTTAATATTTCTATGGTAATTTTCATGCTGTTAATACATCTTTCCTTGACAGATTTTATATGCACTTTTTGTAGCATACAAAAAGAAGATTGGATTCACTGGTCAATTCTTGATTGAACCCAAGGCCAAAGAGCCAACAAAACATCAATATGATTATGGTGAGTGTGCTTTCTTTTGCTTTTCATAAAATCTAGCAAAAGCACCTATTAAATGTTAAACTAAACTTTGTTAAAGCAGTAGTTTTTTAAAATTTTTGTTTTTGGAGGATATTTTGCTTCATTATCATATGCAATGTTAGAAAATTGTCATTGCTGAAATTTTTTTGAGATTACACCATATAGAAAGATGTCTAAACGTAGTCAATTTGGAGCATTAAGAAGTTGCTCTCACTTCCATAGTAGTTACAAATAAAATATTTAACAATTATTACAATAATTTGTATTTATTTGTCTGCAGATGCCATGACTGTGATTGCTTTTCTGAAGACATTTGGACTGGACAAAGACTTCAAGGTATAGTTTTCAAAGATGGATTACAATCTGCTTAATCTGGCACCTTTGGTGAGAAGCCATTATAAAATTTACATACAGTACTGATATCTAGCTGTAGTTCATACAAAAGCATATAAGCAAAAATTAAATAAAAAAATTAATATGTTATGTATACAGTTAGATAATTTTTCATCAAGTTACTTTTAATTACGCCTATTACGGAGGCAGTTAATTAAGTCATGAATTATTTCTTGGCCTAAAGAATACTACTTCCTGCACATAAATAATATGACACAATATCTATGTTCAGAAATAATATCTTAAGTAAAAATAAGGTCAAATTAATAACTAAATTGATAACATCTTCTCTTTCATTACAGATCAACGTGGAACCAAATCACACCACTCTAGCAGGACATCCATATGAACACTGCATTGTTATGGCATCTGAGTAAGTCAAGTGCTTCAAGTTGAGTGAATCTAGCTGTTAACAGTCCATAAACTGAGTTTTTATAAATTGTTTCTTTGATAAACATACCAAAACAGAAATTTAGATGTCAATGAAATTATGTGTTGTGTATTCAAGGTTTGGGTTTTTGGGTTCCATTGATGCTAACACTGGGTCTCCAGACTGTGGATGGGACACAGACCAGTTCCCCATGGATGTCAAGAATGCTACCATGGTCATGAGGGTAAGGCTGGTGCTCATTTAATATAAGAAAACCATATAAGAAAACATGCTTTCTAATGAAATTGTGGGGCATCTTTATCAAATACTAGGTATTTCGAAATGAATAGAGGAACCTTTTTAAACTCCCCACGTGGTACATACTAGATAATCAAACAGCAAGGGCAGACAATCTCTATACCAAGTGATAACCTTCATCTTCTAGCAGTAAATACAAAGTAAATAGTGTATCATGTCAACATGTTGAAATTTGTGCTCATTCCATAACAAATTTTAACATCGTGTGTGTTTAATTTCCTCCAGACTGTGATCAAACAGGGAGGAATCCAGCCTGGTGGCCTCAACTTTGACTGTAAAGTGCGCAGAGAATCCACAGACCCCGAGGATATGTTCATTGCACACATTGGTGAGCAACAAGTTTTAAATTTTGATGACAAAAATGACATTTTCTTAAACCAAATTTCAAAGATATGAGATGGAGATTTGAATGCCTTTGTTTAATTACAAGTACAAATTTAGTCTGACTGAACTAAAGCAGTCTTAATGGAATGAACAATATGCAAGGATGGCAGAGAATCTCTTGTTACTATACGTCTCCAGTTTAACGTTAGTTCATGGTATCAGATAACACAGATCTTCCGGCAGTGACAAAGTTGAGGTTTGAAAATACTCTATGGCGTCATTACAGGTGCGATGGATACTTTAGCTCGTGGGCTGAGGAATGCTGCAAAGATTGCAGAAGAGGGTCACTTGGATAAGTTGGTTCAGGTGTGTAGTGGAATATATTTTTGGTGTTGATTGAAATAAGTTTAGATCTGAGCTTCTTGGCAATTTCTAAGCATTTCTTCTCAAGTTTGGCAGTAAAATACAAAATTTAAAAAAGATTTTTGTTAGCTGCCATTCATAAAACATTCTTTTTAATTTATTTCATAAGAAAAAGATATGAAAGAGAACTTAAATTTTTTCAGGAACGCTACAAAACCTTCAAAGTGGGTCTGGGTGCCAAAGTGGAGAAAGGGGCTGCAACATTTGAGGAACTGGAGGTAAATAGCTGTATTTAACAAAATTGTCACATTTGTCATGATCTTTGACCTTTGTAAACTAGTCTCCATTATCAGAATATTCAGTTATTGGTATTGGTGGTTTCAACAAAAGTTGCACTGAAAGAAAGGAAATACAATGGTCATTTATGTATCAACTATTTATTTGCTTTTGTGTTCAAGGAGTATGTCAAGAAGAATGGGAACCCTGAGATGATATCTGGCAAGCAGGAGCACTGTGAGGCAATGTTCAACCATTATGTGTAACTAGGCCCTATTGTGAATGCCAACACTCAATCGATGCCATATTTTAAAGGTTTCTCTTGGAAGCCCACTTGAGTCATGGTGCATATGATTATAACTTACAATTTATAAATTGTTCAAATCCACTGACAGCATTTATTAATTTTTGTGTAAAGTCAAACATAGACTACTTTCAACCAATCAAATTTTTACATTTCACGTATTTTTGGAATCAAATGTTATTTTTGTAGCCTTTAGCAGACAATCGCACTATATCCTGAGCACATATTTTACTATTATATGTACATTATCTGAAAGTTATGTATACAGAACATTAATGTACGATGTGCACTAGTTTCCCATGCTGCACTGAATCGACTAAATTTTGCTGATAAGCAAGTGTCTATTATGCAATATATTATTCCATATAAAAATTGTATGTGGACACATGGTGGGGAGATGCAATTTCTTAGAAACATTATTGGATTTTAGCACTTATTTTATAGAACTAGAAAAATTATAAATATGAAAGTTTAAGGATCTTTCAGATTTTGATAGTCTTACATTAGAAGTTATAAAAATGTGTTTAGAAGAAAAACGAACTGATTGAGAATAAAATACTCCTTAAGATGAATTCCTTAAATTTTATTCTCCATAAAATATACAACTCTTTCAGATCCATATCACCATGTTTTGAAACTTACATGAGGACAAATGTACCCTTCTTTGGTTTTCCTTATATGTAACTTTACAATGGAATTTTGTTTTTAAAATGAGAACTTGCAAATGCATAATACTGACCAGAATAGTTAAATTTGTATTTGACTATATGATGCTCAGAATGACTATAAATGTCAGTGTAATGACTTGAATATAAGTACAAATGCATATTAATAGCACTCTTTATATAAGGCATAACCATTTTCTTAAAATGAAATTCCTCCACTTTTTAAACAACTACAAAGAAGACAACAGATAAGCAAAATTTAGCTAGACCTGCCTCATTTTATACCTACTGGTTTCCTGTACTACTATCAACAACTTGGTTTGACAAAATACACTTTTAGTTCATTTTGACCATCCAAAATTTAGTGTTGAAACATTCCAATCATGAAATGTTTTTACACTTCACCTCCAATCTGCTCCTAGCTGACAATATTTGAATTCTTGGGATACATTCAAACTTTCCAGAATTCTTTTCTACACATCCCTACAACTTAGAGGGATGACAACTCTTCATTTTGATGGGTAGAGTGCCATAAAACAGATTTTCCTGGGTTAAACAACAATGTTACCATACTTATCAATGGTTAATCTATTCAGACATTCAAAGTTAGTTGATTGAATTCAAAATAATTTAGATAAATGCCATTTTGGTGGTAAATTGAAATTCATTATATTTATATTTGTTGTTTACCATGTTTTTAGTGTGGAATTTTGAATTTCATATGAAGAGCTGTTATCTCTCTAATACTAATGCCAAACTTTTCTCACAAAATGATGTGACCCTCTTAGGCCACATTCAGAACAGTGGAATATCTAGTCCTAGGGTCAAATATGGCTGAACCACTTGAACACTTCACCTCGGGGAATCTATTCAGTATCTATAAGACCCCATTCCCATAGATTTTAGATGTGGGGAGTCCTGTGGGGAGTCTCACTAGATTACTGTCAGCTTTAAGCGTCTGTCCTGCCTACTAAAAGCTGTAAGGGGGTAATTAACTATGGTGCCCGCTCGGCTGATTGCAATTTAGGGTGAACCCCCAGGGAGTTAGGTCGATCTAAATCTTTGGATCGATCTAAATCTCTGGGAATGCACCCTTAGCTGATAAGACAGCAAGCTTTTATACCCATATTTGACCCACTGACTAGTTAGTCCACTGTTCTGAATGCTGCTTTTGAGGGTATTGGAGGTATGCATCTATTCCATGCTTTCTTACTTCTGCAATTCACTTTGGAGATTTTATCAAAATCTTTTACTGACCACTCATTTTGAAAATATACTAAATTATCATTATTTCACATAATGTATTCTACTTCAGTGTAATGATCAAAGTATATTCATATGGTGGGCTTTCTAAATCTTTTCATTGCAATACCAATCAAAATGCTACAACATAAATAATAAAGATTAAATAAGAGATACCACTTCTTAAACAACAAAATTCTAAAAATAAAAGCATGCTGGGCAGTTTGCTAGAGTAGCATTTAACATGCATTATTTCTGTGTAACTGCACTGGACATATACTGGTCAGTACCCTGACTGCTAACTAAGGCCTCTAGTCAGTCTCGAGATTGACCAACAAATAAAAACTTGAATATAAATTGTCTTTAAACTGAAAATAAAGATTTTTCATGAGGCAGATATTTTCCTTGATAAAATCACTGTTTTGCTGCTTTTTGTATCCAGTTTATTCTAATCAGATCTCTCAAAAAGGAAGACTGCAAACAGGTGAACTACACAGCACAGTAAATTTCTACATGTAGTAGTAGGTTTGAAATAATGTTAAAATATTGATCAAGAACTGCATTTGTTATTTTCAGGGTATATATTTGTAAGCTGACTTCCCTACACATACACACACGCACGCACACACACAAAACTTGACTTGGCATTATAACTNACGGCAACGGCAACAGCAACAGCAACGGCAACGACAGACGCAGGTGACGGCTATATGTACAGACACATCTGTGTCTGTACATAAAAATGTGTTTAGAAGAAAAACGAACTGATTGAGAATAAAATACTCCTTAAGATGAATTCCTTAAATTTTATTCTCCATAAAATATACAACTCTTTCAGATCCATATCACCATGTTTTGAAACTTACATGAGGACAAATGTACCCTTCTTTGGTTTTCCTTATATGTAACTTTACAATGGAATTTTGTTTTTAAAATGAGAACTTGCAAATGCATAATACTGACCAGAATAGTTAAATTTGTATTTGATGCTCAGAATGACTATAAATGTCAGTGTAATGACTTGAATATAAGTACAAATGTATATTAATAGCACTCTTTATATAAGGCATAACCATTTTCTTAAAATGAAATTCCTTCACTTTTTAAACAACTACACAGAAGACAACAGATAAGCAAAATTTAGCTAGACCTGCCTCATTTCATGCCTACTGGTTTCCTGTACTACTATCAACAACTTGGTTTGACAAAATACACTTTTTGTTCATTTTCACCATCCTAAACTTAGTGTTGAAACATTCCAATAATGAAATGTTTTTACACTTCACTTCCACTCTGCTCCTAGCTGACATATTTGAATTCTTGGGATACATTCAAACTTTTCCAGAATTCTTTTCTACACATCCCTACAACTCAGAGGGATGACAACTCTTCATTTTGATGGGAAGAGTGCCATTAAACAGATTTTCCTGGGTTAAACAACGTTTCCATACTTATCAATGGTTAATCTATTCGGACATTCAAAGTTAGTTGATTGAATTCAAAATAATTTAGATAAATGCCATTTTGGTGGTTAATTGAAATCATTATATTTATATTTGTTGTTTACCATGATTTTATTGTGGAATTTTGAATTTCACATGAAGAGCTGTTATCTCTCTAATACTAATGTCAAACTTTTCTCACAAAATGATGTGACCCTCTTAGGCCGCATTCAGAACAGTGGACTAACTAGTCCTAGGGTCAAATATGGCTGAACCACTTGAACACTTCACCACGGGGAATCTATTCAGTGTCTATAAGACCCCATTCCCATAGATTTTTGATCGATCTATCCCTGTGGGGAGTCTCACTAGATTACTGTCAGCTTAGCCGGCTTAAGCATCTGTCCCGCCTACTAAAAGCTGTAAGGAGGTAATTAACTATGGTGCACGCTCGGCTGACTGCAATTTAGCGTGAACCCCCCGGGGAGTTAGGTCGATCTAAATCTAAATCTTTGGATCGATCTAAATCTCTGGGTATGCACCCTTAGCTGATAAGACAGCAAGCTTTTTTAGTGGGTCGCCATATTTGACCCACTGACTAGTTAGTCCACTGTTCTGAATGCTGCTTTTGAGGGTATTGGAGGTATGCATCTATTCCATGCTTTCTTACTTCTGCAATTCACTTTGGAGATTTTATCAAAATCTTTTACTGACCATTCATTTTGAAAATATACTAAATTATCATTATTTCACATAATGTATTCTACTTCAGTGTAATGATCAAAGTATATTCATATGGTGGGCTTTCTAAATCTTTTCATTGCAATACCAATCAAAATGCTACAACATAAATAATAAAGATTAAATAAAAGATACCACTTCTTAAACAACAAAATTCTAAAAATAAAAGCATGCTGGGCAGTTTGCTAGAGTAGCATTTAACATGCATTATTTCTGTGTAACTGTACTGGACATATACTGGTCAGTACCCTGACTGCTAACTAAGGCCTCTAGTCAGTCTCGAGATTGACCAACAAATAAAAACTTGAATATAAATTGTCTTTAAACTGAAAATAAAGATTTTTCATGAGGCAGATATTTTCCTTGATAAAATCACTGTTTTGCTGCTTTTTGTATCCAGTTTATTCTAATCAGATCTCTCAAAAAGGAAGACTGCAAACAGGTGAACTACACAGCACAGTAAATTTCTACATGTAGTAGTAGGTTTGAAATAATGTTAAAATATTGATCAAGAACTGCATTTGTTATTTTCAGGGTATATATTTGTAAGCTGACTTCCCTACACATACACACACGCACGCACACACACAAAACTTGACTTGGCATTATAATTCTGTTCCAAAATATCTATCACCGAAGTTTCCTGAAAATGGAAAAAAAAATTAACTTGCTAGCATTTTGGTTAAACAAATCACTGACAAAAACTTTTTAACAAGCTATTATAAGGATTCACTCTTTTTTGAAGTGTATTAAAAGTAATTTTTAGTGACACAATACATAACTACACAGACAAAAAGAAACAATATTTTAAGTTCTATAATAATCTTTTTTCAAGTTCCTCAAAGACCCACCTATCCCTGGCAAAATGTGGAAATCTTCATTGACATCTGGGTCCACAGCTGTGCTGATTATCTTCACTTTGGGGAATGCATAGGCAACTGTGTGGACACCTATGAAAAGGATGAACATATAGACAGTCACCATCAAGTGGAAACACAGTAGATGATTTCCTTATTGTACCCGCTAAAATAAAATAAAATTTTGAAAAAAAAACTTAATACAAATTGAATTTCTTCACTTGGTTAAGCCAAAGAAGAGTCAATTTCCAAAATTTGAATTTGATAACTATCAAATTCTAGAACATCAACCTTTCTGACCAGAAGAATTAATTTTACAGTAAGACCAACCTGGCAACATACCATTCAACTAAAAGTGCTACTAACTATGCATTATCTGAGAATAAAAGGTTAAAAGCAATATTTATGAATAAGAGCACATCATCACCTTGAGCTGCCATAACCAAAGACAGAAACATAATATTTTCTTCCTGAACATCATGGTCCAAAAGCACCCTTATAGCCATCATGGCAGCTGCCCCAGTTGCCACAGTAGCATCTGATAGGATTACATGGTAGTCTTTTATGTCCTTCGGCAGCCTGACATAGTGCAGCTGAAGTGGAAAGACCACAACATTAAGGGCCAATCTTATCAAATGTAAAAGCAGCACTTTACCATTTATTTCATTACAGTAGAAATACTATTCCAGGAATGTTGTTGGACAGAAATAAAACCAGAAAACAGCTCAAATCAATATTAAAATAGTAATAATAAATACTGAATGTACCTCAGGTTCTCCAGTGTCCAGATTGGTTTGTATGAGTATTTTTCCCAGCCTGATATCCTTGAG